CCTGCCCTGTGACGATAGGTACATTTTAAATTTAAGCTTTGTTGCCGGCTGTTTTCAGTTCTTTTCGTATGTAGCCACTCACCCATATATATATATGTCTCTCTCTGTGAAACAAAAGAACTGCCCTGCAAGATGGCTGCCATGCAAAGCCTCTGTACGTTAATACAAGTGTAACATAGCCACGAATGTCAACGTGTTCAAGAATAGGCTGTAATACACAGTGTAAGTAGGACAAATACAATAAAATCTATCTTAACCATAATGTGCATAGACTTATTTCCCATGCCACAGACTTGTCTGGTTTCTGCTTTTAACTTCCTCCAAGAGAGTGCTGTTCTGCTGCAACAACATGAAACCCAGTTCAGTTAAATGACGAAAATAGGTTAGAGAAATAAGCTGGAATGTAAGATTTTATTTTTATGCATACCTGTAGCGCCCTTGTGATTGCTACAGGTGTGTGTAAAAATTAATATTCCCCTTGCATTTGTAGGTGCACACTTAATGGTTATTCCTTTTACTAGTTATTTGTTGCTTGCCACGCGTTTTAATTCACTGTCCAGAATATAAAGTTTGCTGTAATTTTCGAGCAAAGTTTGATTGACTGACAGCAGAAAACCAAGACTGTGAAATTTCATGATGAATCATATTTTTAACAAGGGATGGTTTGTTGTGTGAAAAAAAATTCAAAGCCACATCAAAGTTTGTCATAGATCAGCCAGTAGAGTGATACCAACAGGTCTCCATGAAGGTTTTGTAATGAAGGAAACATTTGCATGCTTCACCACCACCCATTTATCAAGGAATCAAGGCAAGTGGTAAAGGCTCCATTTGGAATTGCTTTCATTGGACAGTTGAAAATAATGACATCAGAATGCTGTTCTTTGATTGGTTAGTCAAGATGAGGAGATACACACATGCTTGTACCATGCCATTTGTCTTGGTTTAAACATGTATGGATACAGTGAGTGTAATTTTACCAAACCCAGTGTCCTGCAGTTTTATTTTGTCCCCAAGATAGTAACGGTGTATAACAATCGTTACAACTTGCCTAATTGACTTTTATAATTGTATCTTGATATTCATACCCTTATAAGAAAGTGCCTATATTTGATTCTTTGTAGAAATTCATGAATTGGGATTGCATGCTTGAATTTGGAAGCAATATGTACAATTTTGTTTTCTTTGAGCGATATTAAAGCAATTAAAACAGGTGTTTCCACAAGCTGAAACAGGGTTCGACAATTTTGATGAGTTGTGTTATGCAAACTGGAATTCAGAAATTGTTAAATGATGTTTTCATTAATAGTAAGTGTTTGTATTTTTTAGCAGAAGCATGATCTGCTGTTCAAAATTTTAGGATTTGTTTCATTTGTTTGATTTGTTAAAGAAATGGGCTCACTTTGCTGGACTTAAATTAATTGGATTTGGTTGTCCACTGCCTGTATGGCAACCTCGATCTATAGGGTATTGAGGTGTGGCAATATGAAATGCAGAACTAACCATGTACATTATATCTGTCACTCAGTCTACAGTCTTTTAAATATGTAATTGGTAATGGATAAATGTAAACAAGTGCCAACTTTATTAACTGAAGAAGCAAAATGATCATCCCTGATGGGTCTTCATCAGGGAGGTCCCGTGGAGTCAAACACTTGGCTCCTTTATTCAAGGCTGACACTTAAAGTGTAGCTGCAATGAATTTTTACTTTCCACACTTTCCAAACATTGAGGCTTCTTCCTGAGATGACGTCACAGTTTGCTCATGAATATGGAAATACTCATTAGCATAAAAAAACCAAAAAAGCGTTAAAATACCCTTTGAAATAATGAAACAGAAGTTGAAAACAAGATTAACAGAGGCAGAAAGGTGCATTTTAGAGGTTTGTAATCACAAAAATCTATTGCAGCCACCCTTTAAGTCTTTCCTTTTACACGCAATTTTTGTGCTACCTGGTTATAGGCTTCTTCCTCACAACGCCTTCAGTTATTTTTTCTGTATGATATAGAACAAAGTTACTTGTACTAAGAAATTGTACGTTGTGCACAGGCAACATCATGTGGTGCAGTTAAATCTGTGTAATTACAACTGTAGAATGGAAGTGGTAACATGTACTTTGGTAGACATTAAGCTGATTTCTTTAAGAGAATTTGTTCTGTTTATTGCCCTTACAGTATAGAAACACAGTTTAGTTTTGTGAAACGTTGCTTTGCGAACTTTTGGCACGAAGTATTTTTAAGGACAACTTTTGTATATTTTTGCATGTTGGTGTATGTATACTTGTACTTCTAGTAATGGCAGAAGTCCTGTTTATCTAAGGTNAAATATGTCGATTCAATGCACGTTTGGAAAGGGTTGACAAATTTCGCGCGTTATGATTGGCCAATGTGTTGCAAACTGTTGGTGGCACACTATTGTGAAATGGCCGTATTATTAACATCCTTCACATGTTCACAGTAAAGCTGAAAGTGTGTGGTATCTAATGAATTTTCGCGTTCTTTAATTGGGCTGGTCTTAACATTGTTTGCACAGAGCGACTGATCCAAAAGTGCCAACTAGTGGGGGAGTGCACTAGATTAAAAGTACCTTCGGGGTCTTCTCTCCTTTGTCCCTGGTGTGGTTTTTTAAAAAGAAAGAAACCTGAGGTGATGTTGGACTTGATCATCCTCCCCTGGTTGTCCTGTAGGAAGAGTTATTTTGTCAGGTGGTTTTCTTTTTGTGGGGAGGGTTCAGGCAGCTAGGTTTGTGACAGGCACAGCTTTTCCGAGGGGGCACTTTTGCGCTCGGAGCATTGGAATCTATTTTATTCTGGTGTTGGAACTTTAAGCGGTAAGAAAGGGTCAAAATATTTGTGGTGTCTCTCTCCCTTCCTCCTCTACCCCTCCTTCTGCCCTTACCCCCCCCCCTCCCCGGTGGGCTTTCCTCATCTAATTTAACTCCCTCCGGTTTTGGTTTGTGCATGACCGTAAATTGGTCACGACTTCTCCACATTGATGCTCTACTAAATTGTGTATTATTATTTGAACATTATTTTACCCACTGAGGGAAAATCAGGATGCGAAGGGCTGTGCTATATATTCATATATTGAAATACCTGTATTGAATTATTCATATTGGTACTTTCATAAAATGTACTCCCGTCAGTGGAAGCTTCAGCAACAGAAAGTGTGTTTTTCACATCGTGTACTGGATGGAGAAGTAATTGACTCCCTGCATTTAATATTCACGTTTTTAGAATACTGCAGCCAAACATTCTGTGTAGTCATAAGTTCTAGAACTTAGACTTTAATGGTCGAAGTTTTGTAGTGCTTTCATATCAAGTATATATATTTAAGATCAGGTTGTACAACTGACAAACTTGTTTTGAGTGTGTGCAGTTGAAGACAAAATTGTGATTTCAATTTCTCGTATTTTGGGATATTCATTATGGAATCTTTCTGACTTTTTGCATGATTTGCTATTTTGTCAAAAGTTGCATGTATACATTTTTGTTTTCAACATTTATATATCTTGGATGTAGGTCTGAAAATAGTTTTTAAAAAATCCTCTGATTTCAACAAAAGATAATACTATAGCAGATGCTCATACTTCAATTCAGGATCGAGAAAAGTATCCTTTAATATGTTTGCTTTATAATATTAAAACTATTGTGTTATAGTTATAGGTGTGTGATGTGAGAAGAAAGTTGCTTTTATCATTCTTGCATGTTAAATAAGCTAGAATATTATATCAAATAAGCTAAGGTTCTTAATAAAAGATGTGTTTCTTTAAGAAAATACAATCTTTTGTCGTCACGTTTTTTAATACTGATTATTGGATATTTGTTTTAAAAGTACCAACTATTATTTTAGTCCATGAAAAATTTGGGGGGATTTTTGTATGATCTGTAGATTGTGTGTATCAAATAGTAATTCATTTTTGTCTTCTGGAGGAGTATTTTTAAAAGTTTGGATTGCTTGAATTACATTTCAAAATAGCTTTACGCTTTAATAGTGAGTCTATTATTGGAAAATTCGACCAGAAATAGCTTTTGTATTGTGATTTTTGAGATTTAATTAAAACTGAGACAATCCCTTTAAATGTAGAGATCGCCTGTGTATCTGAAGAGGAAGGAAGGACTTGTGGCGAGTCTACGTAACCTTATCATTCCCGGCTGGACTTTGTCCACGAGCCTGTAACTCAACGGAAAATATTTGATATCGACATATTGGGAACAAGGTGAATTGGTGCCATTTAATTTTGCACTACAGCCAATCCCACATGTCTGTGGCAACGTGTCTGCGATCGTCCGGTGCACTTCGAACCCTTGTGGTGACCGGTGTCAACACGCTCTTTAGGACTCCAAAGCCAAAAAATCAGTCTTCCTTTCAACGACCTCTGATCTGCACCGGCGTTTGTAGGTTCTACAGCAAAATGGCTTCTTATGCGATCGAGGAAAAAGGGCCCCAAAACTCCATGGATTATCGCGTATTCTTCAGTGAGTGTTGCGTATTGCACTGTACTGAACTGAACCCATTTCGTGAATAATTTTATTTCAGCTTTTCAACTGTTATCTAGACATGCCATTGCTAGAACCTTCCTAGAATTAGAAAAGAGGAGGAATTCAGTCATATTAGGCATGCTAGAATGATGGGATACAAGAAAGGAAAAAAGAATACTAGAATGACCATGCCATGGTGACTGTTCGCTGGTTGCCCAGCACCCGAACTTGCCGAACAGGACTCTAAGAACGGCCTTGCACAGATCTCAGTGAAGGCAATAAGTCACATGGGGTCACAGCTAACAATGCGCAGAGCATTTGTGGGTAAATGTCTGCCTGGCGCACAAGCTCACTCAATCATGTCAATGCGTTACACAAGACAAGCGGCAGTTATCAATTCGGTACATTTTCTTTTTCTTCCTCATTGCAGAGAATGTTCTCGCTGCACTTTATTTGTTCATCCAAAGTCAAGATAACCATTGATTTGAAATTTATCGCCAAAAGATGTGATTAGTGATAGGCCTACTTGGTGAGAAGATAAATTACCACACTGTGATTGTACCAAGGCCATGTTTGTTAGGCCTATAGGCGACAGTTTGCCAGTGCCGAAACATTGCCATTGGCGAACCAGAAAATTTAAATAACGCTCAGCTAACAGGAAGTGATAACCTTGCAGTCACAGGTCATGCACAACGTAGCGAATCACAGTGCAAAGCCATTAGCCTTTCCCAACTCCTTATTCAGCTGCTGGGCGATGAGCAAAATATGACTGGTGCCCTTAAAGAAAAGACAATTAAGGGTGATTTTTCTTCTTACAGACATTTGAAAAATTATTTGGTTTTTTTTGAAAATCTTCCTTGTATAGGCTATACATGCATCTGTGAGGTGATGAGCAGATATTTTAAAAATGTGTTGATTCTCTCCCTGTAGTCTGTGACCTTAGAGTTTAGTTAGACGCATCATGCCATGTCTACTCAGATCTCTAAATCTGCAAGTCACTGCACGCCACTAACTTTGATGTTTTCTCTGCTGTCAAGTGGTAACCATTAAGTGTTCTCCCAAACGTGCCAAAGGAGTTTTTTGTCAGCACCTCCAGAATAGCTTTCAATTCAGTTTGCCAATCTTGTTTCTTTCAGAGAATGCGAGCAGTGGGAATTACATTTCTCCATTCCATGACATACCGTTGACCCCACCTGGTAGCTCTGATGTAAGCAGTATGGATTGTATTTATCCTGTTGATTTTTCCATGTTCTCTGTTGAATTTTTTTGTGTAATTTGATTTTCTTTTAATGCCTCTGTGCAATGTGGTACATTTAGAATGATCCTGTGTTTACAATTAAGAGNGATACAGATGTGTTAATTCTTTTCTTGCAGCCAGCTGTTTTCAACATGGTTGTTGAAGTTCCTCGCTGGAGCAATGCAAAGATGGAGGTAAAGTTCTGAAAATTGAGCAGCTCCTTTTTCCTGGGCTCTTGTTAATTCTTTTTATTGAATTTAAAACACCAATTTAATTCTGGCTATTATGGTGGAAATTGAGCCTTATCTTTGGGGCATATCTGGTGTTTTCATTCTAAAAAAAGGTTTATCTTGGGTGTCAGGTCATCTTTTGTACATGCTTTGAGCTATGGTATCTCGACATCAGATATTACGCTGCTACATTTAAAGCCTTAGCCATTTGGTATGGGATAACAAACAGTTAAACTTCCAATGATTGGTTTTACCATGAGCCACTGTAATATTTCAGATCAAAACAACAGAGAAAATGAACCCCATCAAACAAGATGTGAAGAAGGAGAAACTTCGATTTGTCAAGAACTGCTTCCCTCATCATGGGTACATCTGGAACTACGGCGCATTTCCACAGGTCAGAAAACTAACTCCAATGGAATCTAATTTGTTGCTGTCTCCATTTCAATTAAAAATATATCCACTTCTGAGAGAGTCTGGAAAAGTCAGGGAGCAAATTTCGCCGAACTCAACAGGCATCTTTCCTCGGTAGCCTCCTTGGTCGTCTAAAATCCTCCACAGCTGAGGAAACAGTTACACATGCCAGCATGTTGTATTCTTTAAGGGTGGCAAGAGTGGCTTGTGGCTTCCTTCCTCAATCCTGCAACATCTCTCAAATTATCCTGGCAGATTTCCAAATTTCCTGGCAGTGTATGAAGCATATGCTGGGAAGTCCTAGCCCAAGCCGCACAATTTGGACACAGCCTAAGCTATGTTAATCTTTCTCTTCTACACAGACATGGGAGGATCCTAACCACAGAGACGAACACACTGAATGCAACGGGGATAACGACCCTCTGGACGTCTGCGAAATTGGGTCGCGAGTGGCCAAGCAGGGAGAAGTGATACAGGTCAAGGTCCTGGGAGTATTAGCCATGATCGATGAAGGTTGGTGCCTGCTTGTGGTTTAGCTCCCCTGCTCCGAGCGTAACAAAAGAGAGCCTGTTTTTTTTGGTACTCACCACGCAGGCACGCCATGAGGCGCGCAAGTACATGCGCATTTGACGCGGAGTACGCTGAGTACGCGTAGCTCATATATTCCGGCATGTATGGTCTTTGAGTACATGCAGAACACGTGCAAGAACCCGCTCGCAACCAAATGTCTTTCTTTCGCCCACTGGGGGTGCACTTCAGCTCGGGGCGGATACCTTCCTGGCATCAGGGATTGACCAGTGAGTCAGGACAGCTTTGTGATCAGATGACTTGGGCAAGTCCAATTGGATTGGATCAATCAGTGCTAAACCCATGGAAATTGTTGCCAAATGTTTCCCTTGGCCTCAAGAACCTGGACATCATCCTTTGCCATCTTTGTTATTTGATGTGGCTTTCTTTGCAGGTGAAACTGACTGGAAAATCCTAACCATCGACGTGAGGGACAAACTAGCAAAGGTTCTAAATGGTGAGTTCTAGAGATGCCTTTGCCATGGACATACGCTCCGATTCTATACAAGGCAGTTCTGCACTGTTGGTGAATTTCATATGACAGTTTTTTGTAACCAACTATGCAGCACAGCAAAGTTTTTCAAATAAGATCACAGCCATAGTGATGGCCTTTTCCATGTCATGGCTTGGTCTCAGCCTGCGTTCTTGCATCTTATGAATTTGTTCATATTCAGCCAAGAGTGCTACCAAGCTTATTTTGCACATTTCCTGTATTTTCTGTGTCTCCAGACGTAGAGGACATAAGGGAACACATGCCTGGTTTTCTTGAGGTAGGTACCAAGTTGTTCCTTCCAATGTTTGAGTGCCATGTGATTTTTGTATTCTGTGTCCCGTTTTAGTTACACCTCTGACCTAGCCTTGAACAGACACTGAACACCCTGCTTGAATTCAGCCAGATTTCCTAAATTGCATTTTTTTGGGGGCCTGCCCGTTGATCCCTCAGTTTTCTGCAATTTCATGTATTTAGGCCACTTTTGAATGGTTCAAGATCTACAAGGTGCCCGACGGGAAGCCGTTCAACTCGTTTGCTTTTAATGCCGAGCCCAAAAATAAGGTCTGTATGGAATCAGAAGAGCTAGATGGATAGTCCTCTGTGAGAATTTTTATTCATGACCCAGCCTTGCAATCTCAGAAATCTCAGATTTTTAAAACTTGACTCAGACTTCAAGGCAGTTTATCGTGCATACATTTTTTCAAAGGTGTGACCCATTGGAACATTGACACAACCATCCACGAAAGGTGGTTGTGAAGTTTGTTAAGAAGTTAGGTAATAAAACTTGAAGCTGTAGGTATTAAACTAGAATTCCTCACAAGTGTGTCGAGAATCTTGGTTTAGGTTGTGAATCTGGGCGAGGTTTTTTTTTTTTGATGTCACCAGGACTTTGCTCTAGACATTATCAAGAAAACTCATGGCCAGTGGCAGCAGCTGATGCACAATAAGACAGATCCGGCCGGCATCGCTTGGTAAGCTCTGCAGATTCAGTGGGTGTTGGACACAAATTTGGAACCTGCTGGCGTTGTTTTGCAGTATTCCTAGAGCAGGCAGAGGTCCATTGGCTTCAGAAACAAGGACAGGAAATTCAGGAAAGTTCTAAAACTTCTCAAAAGTGACACAGAAATGTCGAGTATTCTGATTCAGTGCACTGAAGCCAACAAGTCAGACCATCACGAGTGTATCTCAAAGGCACACATGAATTTTACCGTGAAAAGTCCGCAACACAAAAACCTCTGCAGACCAATAAAAACTGGTCCCAAGTCTGGCAAACAAGTACTATAGAAGACAACAAAAGAAGTACGGTACTCTTAGTGTAGTGCCAAAGAAGGTATTCGATACTGATGCATTCAGAACTGTGAGCTTTTATCGTTTTCATCAGTGTGATTCTTCCTCACTCTCAAGTGAGTTGCTTTCTCGGACATTGTTTTTACATCCGCGTGTTCTCCTTTTGCAGTGAAAATGTAACAGTGGCCGGCAGTGCACACATGGTGTCAATAGAGAAGGCGAAGGAAATCGTTGCAGCTGTAAGACATTTCTTTGTTCGATATGTCTGTTGTATTGTATGATGCTGACCACGAATTAGGCTTGAAAGCTTTTAAGATAGTGTTGTAGGGTGTTGCCATATAGGTTTTCGATTGAAGACTGAGTTCCTTATATTTTTCAATGTCAGGTTGGTCTTTCATTGCATGGATTTCTCAATGCCCGGTCTTGACTAGTTTCCATTTTTCTTCCCTGTTCAGGCACCGGCAACTGGAAAAGTTGAACCAATTGACCCCGAGAGTAAGTCAAGTTTTCATTTAGACTGTTTAAAGTTTTAAAGTTGTTAAAAAATGGCAAATTGACAATTGGATATTGGGTTGAATGGAGCACAAAGGTACATCTACACGGGCTGCATTAATGAGATTAGCCTCCAGCTGGACCACGAGAGGGTGCATCATTCATAGCAACAGAGGCTCCTTTTAGTTGGAACTGAACTTCACTGGTTCGTGAACGACTGTGACATGCACGTGTTAATGTCCATCGCTACCAGCACAATGAATACTCCTGACCAATATGGCTCTTTTCAACCGATGAGGGGGTGTTTCTGCTCGACCCGCCTCATCACACTCTGCAACTGTTTCCTACTTGGGTGTGCATTGAACCCTACCTCCCTAGGCTGATTAACTAGCAAACCTTCCTCATTCTTACAAATCCTTACACCGTATAGTAAACTGCACAGAAACAGTTGGTATCTGTTCATTTGTTGTTTGCCAAATCCCACATAAAACACAGTTCGTTTACAGGTGCAGTACTGTTCTCATCCGAACAGATTCCACCAAACCTTGCTGGTGTTGGCGTTTGGCTGCTTGGGGATCTTTATGTTTACTAAAGACAATTTTCTTGTGCTCCTGTTTTTTTTTACAGTTGATGCGTGGCACTACGTATCCCAACAATAGCAATTAAAGACGACAAGCCAACAGAACGACAGCAAGCTATGACACACTGCACTACATGCTGACATTTGGTCTCAACGAAGTGATCTTGTTAAGTGGTATATTTTCTCCGAAGGGTTTTGTCCGAAGGGTTGTATCAAATTGCAATGTTGCTGATCTTTTTTATCTGGCAAAGCATATAGAATTGTTTTATGCAAAGTTATTGTCCACTTGAAAAAGTAGTTTGCGCTTGCCTGAAAGTTTGTGCAAAAAATTCTTTTTTGTGATGAAACGTAACTTATTTCTCCAAGCACTTTTGTCAGGAACATTTCAGAATCTAGAATCGTCCTCTGCACAGCTAACCAATGGCATATTTTTGGTTCTGTATAAAATCAAACAGTGCATCAGGTCCCTGGAATGTGCTAGTGATTTATGTCAACCTCCCTCAGTCCTGAAAAATCCTCCAGAAAACCTGATGGATTCTGTAAGGATCTAGGGAAGGTTTGCAATTTAATGACCCAATATTGTCATTGTCTGAAATGGTTGTGGCCAGGCAGGGTAATTTCGTGCACATTAACCTCACTAATTATATAAGAGATTGTTTATTGGTCTTACATGAGTACATTGAATGTGCTCAGCTTGGTAATTCACTGAAGACTTGGACATATTTTAAATGATTTGTCAGGCATGTACACAGAATTATTTATATAATGGAGCATGGAGCCAGCCTTCTCATTTACATTTAGGGGTCTTATAAAAAGGTGATATTTTATAGATCTTTGGGATTTTTTCATTATTCTCACGTTTAGTGAAAAGTATAGCTGGAATTCTCATCGCAAGTTGTAGTTTGGGGTTAGTGTCAAGTTGGGGTTTATCTTGGAATGAATACTTCAAGAGTGACCTGAATCATTTCTTTGTAAATCCTTCAACCACCATGAAGTGTACGCTAAAATGCTGAAGTACTTACAAAAGTGTATTCTAAGCAACAATTAGTCACTACATGTATCTGTCAGATACAAAGCTTCACCAGCGAACAATTGCGTCTATTCCACACTTCAGAAATCTTGCATAAAAAATGTCTAGAATATTTTAAAAATACCCTTTAACATATTCAGATATTGTTGCATAAATTTAATTCAATCAAATATATGTAGTGCTTAAAACAGGGTTACAAAGTTTTATTGTGATTTTTTTCAAATCCTGTGCATTTCAAATAGAGCTAACCACAATGTGTCTTCACTAAATCTTTTCAAATCCAATTTCTTTCAACTTTTTTTAAAACTGATATTTGTAGGCAGCACAATAGTCACATTGACCAAGTTGACTTTTCAGAAAAGACAGACTTAAGAAATAATAATGCCCTTGAAATGTCTCCTCTATCTTTGTGTTTGAAATCAGATTGTTTATTGTATTCACAGCACTTAATTTAGCCTGCACATTCGGAAACTAGTGCTTAAAATCGCCAAAGACTTGTCGGAATGAGAAAAAAGTCTGGAGTGTATTCTTGGATTTGTGTGGCCGTGGGTTAAAATTTATATGGTTTTCCCCTGACGGCCAAAATAGTTTTGTAGTCTTGCAACAAACTTGACAACTGTTGGACAGCTCTGACCAAATCTAAATGCCATTCCCAAAATGTGTTTGTGTTTTTTTTCCAATGGTGTAAGTGTGCAGAGATGAGAAAATTGAAATTTTTATCACAATTGTGTTGTTTTAGTTAAATAATAAACACTTTCAGCCGATCATGCAAGGAAGAGTTACAAGTTCAAAGCGACTATTTCAAAAAACTTTTATTTCATGAACACATTTGAAGATTTTTTTTCTGGGAATCTTTTTGTCCCTTAAGCTGTACAAGTACATGCATCTGCTGTCATAATAAATTGGGAATATGTAAACGTGCTGTCAGAGTGATTTTTATTGTGGTTTTACAACCCTGTTTGTCCTCATTGTAAGACATTAAGCGGCGTACCCAGCTTTGGTGTCGCGTGAGGGGCGAAATCCCAAATTAGCACTTGCGTCTTAGGCTCACTCAAAATGACGTAGTGGAGAAAAAAATTCAAGTCTTTCTCACGGTCCCGACATCCTTGCTTTTTACGTGTATGTGTTTGCCGGTGTTGTTTTCCCAGGAGTTGGTGTTAAAATTTGATAAATAAATGTACCAAATACTTTCTTTCCTACTCGCCCAGTCTTTGTAAATAAAAAAAATCCCCAAAAAATACCGGGGGGGGGGAATAGACCTGTCCCCGGCTGATACGCCAGTGAAAACATTCGAAGGTTTTGTCAGTTTAGAGCTGAGCTGGTTTCCTTTCGTGGAAAGGGTTACTTTCCATATCTGTCTTAATTCTGCAGGGATTCGACACAGCTTAGACATACGGCTTGAGGGGGGTTTGCCAAAGGGAAAGAGTTTACTCCCTGCTTTTTTAAGGATCACTAGTCCTGTTTAGTGTTGACACAATTAGGCCTAGCGGGTTTCAGGTGATGACCATCCCTTAGCCAGTAGTAATTATTTTGGCAAGGTTTTGTTTCTGGGGCAGACTATCAGTTTGCATGATGCAGAAATATGCCCTGTACAATGCTGTATACATATTTTAAAATATTGTCCACGTGTAGAAATTTGTAGCAGCGTTTTTGTTTCTTTGTTTTTTTTGTTTTTGTGTGTATCGTTTGGTGTTTTTGTTTTTTTTGTTTTTTTGGTTTTTTTTGCACTTACACTCAAAAGGGACTTTATTATCTATGAACCAAACTGCACCTTTAAGGTCCGTGGTTATCCATCCGCGGCGCGTGCAGCATGTGCGTGGCGCCGAAATAACTAGTCGTTTACCAGTTCACGTGGCGTAGGCTACTGTAGGCCTACTGACTGTACTTTAGACCATGAAATAACAGTTTTTGTTTTATATTAAATTTACATGGTATAGGACGTGAGTGTCTGTCTTCACCCAGCTCAGGTAGTCTTAGGTGCATGTAAGTGAAAGACAATGGTTATATTTCATATTCCATAGGGGTAGAGACGTAGTGCCTCGTGTGATCACTTTTGCGGCATTGTAATTATTAATTCCATGAACTTGTTCATGTATTTGAACTTCCCTAATTTTTATAACCTTGAGTTGCACATATAGCCCAATTGTGTATAGCATAGGGGCCCATGTGATTCAGCATGTTCACTTGACATTTGTACTGAATGGTGTGGAACTACGGAAAAGTTAATTGATTTGAACCTTAGGTCATATCATCATGAATTTGCAACTCCAACAATTTTGTCGCAGCCTACTATCCAGGACCGTTTGTCCAAAAGGTCATGAAGCCTTACCTGTTGATGATTGTGGTCTGGGTGTGTGTCACTGCGAGTGTCACCTCAGATGATGAAGTCACTCCAGAATGTGCCAGTGAGACGAAGAACCTGATGGCGCAGGAAGTGAGTAGATAATCAGACTGTGAGTCTGAGTTGTCAAACCCAATGCACAGTGCATGTGAACTTCAAATAAATTGGTGCAGGCCAGCTGAGTTGACAAAGAACAATGCTTGAAAGGTACAACCTCTGTCATATGTAACTAGGCCATATTATCCAAATACTTGATGTACGTTACCCAACTTGAACACCTGAGAATGCTGTCTAGTGTTGAATCCGCCAAATTGCCTCTTCTCTATATTTAATTCAATGTAACAAACTGCAGTAATGGATTTCCTTTCACACTATCAGCAACACAACTTTGACCCTGCAAGTCAGAAGGTTTATTGTTGCATCCAACAAAATGTCACATAGCCATGCTGTTGGATTTGGTTGCATTAATTGCCCAAGCAACTGCCAGCTTATGCATTCCACTATTTTCCTAACAGTTCAAGCCATCAGATGCAACCTACCAGGAGCCAGATGTGCCTATCCAGAAGGCCACATTCAGCATGGGGTGTTTCTGGGGTGTTGAGTCTGTGTTTGGAGCCCTGCCAGGGGTCATCAGGGTGAAAGCTGGTTACACTGGTGGCACCAAGGAAAACCCCACCTACAGAAGTTTGTATGTCAAAGAAAACACTATCTCCCAGGTGTAGAGTGTGCAGTTAACTTGGTAGAGAAGAGCAAATAAAGGCAATCAAAAAGTATGACTCGCTCCAGTGTATGCCGTATATTTAAACTCCATTTTTTTTTTCTTTTTCTCTAAAACTGATTGATGGTAAAGCAGGGTACAGGCCTACCAAAAAGGGAACACACACCTCCACAATTCAGTTCAGTGTTGGCAGGATGCCCTCCTCCAGAAAACTTGGGAATTGAGTTGGCGATATGCTGTGCCCACATAGTCATTGATGCTTACTAGATTAACTGCTTTCTGGCTATGATAACTTAAGTATAGCCCAGTTTCTCAAATCAGATGTATTTGACAAGGGAAACTAGTGTCAGGGTGTAATCAATTTCATTTTGGAAACATCTCATTCTTGTGCCACTGACTTTTAGGGGGGACCACACTGAAACAGTGGAGATTGAGTTCGACCCTGAGAGGATATCCTATGGCAGACTGCTGAAGACGTTTTGGGTCAACCACGATCCGACGGAGATCAACACAGTGCAGTACATGTCGGCCATTTTCTACCATGACGACAACCAGAAGAAGTTGGCTGAGGAATCCAAGGCAGATCAGGAGAAGGATCTTGGAAAAAAGACGTTGACGAGAATCTCACCAGCCAGTGTTTTCTATGATGCTGAAGAGTATGTTTCGTAAAATCATAAAGTTTTAAGAGCTTTGAGACCTGCTCACTAACGATTTGTAGGTTTGAACTTTAAATAACTGGGAAAGCAGGCTCATGTTTATAGACTTGTCTTTATTCATAAATGCCTTGCAGTTGCACAAACTCTGAAAAATAATTTAGTACACTCCAACTGTACACTACTCAATTTTCCTTAAATACTGAATCAATTATTTCCCTTTATCAGCTACCACCAGAAGTATTTTCTCCGTCAGCATACAAACTTTGTCAAGAGTCTCGGCCTAACGAATCGCGACTTTCTCATCTCATGGAGAGCCACCAAACTACTGGGCTACATCACCGGAAACGGAGATGTGGAACACTTAGAGCAGGAGAAAGAAGCATTGGGCCTGAGAGATGATCACATGAGTTATCTGTTGGCAGCGCAGAACAGCCAGACAGAAGGGAGTTGCTCGGCAAAGAAGGACGAACTTTGACCCAGCTGTGGGCAGCTTATCTGGGTTGGATCAGTTCGGTTCGAGGGTGGGGGGGACTTTCTCATTGTTGAAGGAACAATAATTACAGCAATATCTGTGAACGAGATTTGTGGATACTAGTTCGTGAATAGCTGTATCATGCAGTATGTGAGATACCCGTTATTTCAAAGGAGGTATGAGGCAGTCCCTCCATTGCATCCTTGGGAGCAGTCTGGAGGGCAGGTGATGCCAGGGGACATTGAAATAACTTCCTTTCAAGGCAGTTGTGACAGAGTCGACCATTTTAAAAGGCCAAGTTGAAGTACGATAATTGTTAAGTGAATGTCTGTCTCACTAATAATAGGAGGAACACTTCTTTCCTATTCAAACCTTATCTCCACAAAAATCTCATTGTTAATTTCCAGTAGTATTGTAACTTTACATTTCAAACTCAATCCTTTGTCATCAGAGGGGAACATTAATATTTAGTTTGACTTCTAAAGAAACATATTATGTCCTTCAAAAAGCAATTATTTTTTGAGAAGATAATGATATCCCTTTAATTGTGTTAATTATTTGACATTTTCCACGCCGTCAAGTCTTTTCTGATAAATTGTAACAGAAGTTTTGAAATACGAGTTCAGTCTGCATTTCAATTGCATATACGTATATAATTTTTTAAAGATAAGCCGAAGTAACACGTTTTTGGTCTGTTCAGATCATGTGTGAATCGTTGAAAATTTTTACAAACTTTACTAAATTAATTTTCAGGATATTTTCTGTGACAACGATATTCTGGGTTGTCATTGGTCTTGATTTGTGAAGCAGTGAGCCTGTGTGCTCTCTCTGCAATTTAACTTGTTGAAATTCTTTGTATAAATACCAAGTTCAAAAGTACTTAAGCCTGGTGTGAATCTTGTTATTAAACGTGTTCAACAACGGCGACCAAATAGAAAGTTTTCGGAAGGGGCAGGTGCCACACCCATTTGGCATGAAGTACACGTTTGGGAGCCAAAATTTTTACCCAGCGTGAAATTTGTCCCCTGGAAATAGAACAGCTCGGGGAGAAGCACTGCGTTCATTGCGCATGTGTTGTGTACAGAGAAACATGGCGTCGGAAGAAGAGGTGAGAAATACCGAAAAATTGAACATTTTCACGGGAAAAGGGAGGAGCTCATTTTCTGTTAATTTAGAAAAGTGTTGGTGTTTATGATTACATCAAATGTGTTTGAATTTGTGGTGATAAATCAAAGCTTTCTTTGGTCTTTTTGGAATTTTGGTGAATCGAAAGTCAGAGATATAGACTATCGACGTTTTGACCGAGAAAGAAGTTACACTTGCCATTCAGTAACGTTTAATATAAACTAAGTCCCTAACAACATAACAAGGTAATTTACGTTAGTATGGGGAAGGCTAGCTCAAACCAGGGGAAGGCTAACCACTGACTTATTTCTTTGGATGAATCCAAAATGCCTGGTTGGGTGACCAGACAAAAAAGAAAATGGCGTGATTCAACTGAGTTATTGTCTTTTGCCAAACTAGGGTTAGAAATTTGACGTTTTCTTGCTTATAAATAGTCAAAATCTACTTAAACTAGGCATATCAGGATTGAGTAATGGTTCCGTAAGGTCAAAGTGTTAGCTAAGCCTAGTTTGAGAAAAGGGACTTTGTTTCCTTGGTATAGGAGCAGGGTGCTGAAGGTAATGAATGCCATATCCCCAGAACTGTCATGACTGTGGAGTGGGGCGGACGTCGAACCCCACAGTTCTGGGGATACCCGGGTCATTGTCGGGTATGTCGGGAGGAACAACAAGCATAGGCCTGGACCCCATGCAAATGACGTCATGTTAGACATGTTGCTTGGAGGGCATTTCTTTCTTCCTCCAGGATAGGCTGAAGTAAAACTTGTGTGCATTCATTGTCCTGTCCTCTGCGAGGGCGTTCCACGCAGGCCCTCTGTGACGAGCACATGATTCTGCCTAAATTCAACGTGTTTAGCGTGCTTACAGTTTTGGCATGTTTGGCTCAGTGGCTTAGCCTACGTACGTGCATGACATGGTTTATCATGCATGTTGTAAGCCCTATGCCGTTGGAAATTATGAGTCTGCCTGGGCATTTACAATAAATTGAAATATTGATAAAACTTTTTGTGCAGTAGGAGACTTTGTGCATGGTGATCGCAAAACGATCTTCCGCAACCGTCAGGAATTAGAATGAAAGGTAGCCAACTTGGCTGATTGCAGAATTGTGAGCAGATCATGCATGATGCAATAAGATCTGCCGTCACACAAAGAGGGAGCAACGGCGCACCGATCGCACCCAATCCAAACATCTATTTATCACAGTGTACTATATATAACATGTAATACGTTAATCAACATGTAACAGTTTCATGCGCAAACTACTGTAGTGATCAAGTGATTGTGCAGATGGACTGATTGTGCCAAACATCATCATGTCTAGTTTGTGCATGATAGCCTTGGTCATGTTGGTTAGCATGTGTTGTCAGTGTATTTGAATGATAGCTGTAGCAGCTACAATATTTTTATGCCAATGAATTGAATGTTCACAGGAGCAGCATAGACACTTGTTTTCCCAGCAGTAACTTTGGTGTATGCCCCCCCCCACCCATGGAAATGGTTGTTAATATTTAGTTCTTCAGTGACATGTGGGCAGAGGTAATTTAGGAGTGTCAAATCATGAACTACGAAATTGTGTAACTTCATCACGGTTGGTGATGTCATTCATTCATAGATGGGAAACGGCTAAAATATTTGTGCGTGACCCTTTATTATTAAGGAATTTTTTTTGGAGTAACTTGTCTCCATGTTTTGTTCCTGGATAATTATTTGTCAAACTTGACAGGTGAACGTTTAATTGAGGGTTAGCAGAGTTTATATTAATGGTTAGTGGCCGTTATTATTCGCCTCATAAATATTGACAAATGCCTTGACAGAAACTTACAGTAGGACTTAAAGGGTGCGATAGAGCCTTACAGTCGTGGGCATTGCCAGGAATTGTTTCGGGTGGGGGGTGAACCAATTTTATGGGGGGGGGATTTCCAGAGGGAGCACTCATTAGCTTAAAAAAGGTCAGAGGGGTCAATTTGAAGGTTTTTCCCAAGCAACTTAGTGATTTTCGTCCCCTTTGATCTTTTGTGAAAACGTTCCTTTGCATTCCCCTTTTTCTGTTTTTCCTTTTCATGTAATATTAGAATAAAATGCTAGCTATGCTTCATAGTGTAAAAGTGGAAACTTGGTAGAAGGCAGACTTTTACTGCCACCCAAGTTCCAAGCACTGCACCTTATATCACAACATTCATATATCATGGTGTAAGAGTGCCAGCTTCATCATGGTGTAAATGTGGAAACTTGGTAGAATGCAGATATTTACTGCCACCCGAGTACTGCACCTCAATCCACCACATTCATACAACTTTTCTTTGGATTTCTAGGAAGTTTTTTGGCGGGGGATTTAATGTGTAAGATTCAAAATGAAATTGTATTTTGTCCCTTGCGTTGTTGGCATGGTAATGCTTCAAGTTTGGCTTTTGTTTTTCTTCTTGACCAGGATCAAGATCTGGAAACCCTGCGAGTTGCTGTTCTAGCCTCTTTCAAGCCAGTAAGGTTTTGTTCCCTCCAGAAGACAATTAAAATAGTGTAAATAAGAAGTGTGGTAACATCTGCATTTGAAAGTTTAGTATCAATAGTAATCATGTGGCTGAAAAACATGTGAAAGCTACAGTTTGAGAATTTGTATTACTGTTGAGAACATTTTGTTGTCTTGTAGAAATCACAGCAAGCATCACCTAGCAATGAAGCTGGTTCTCCAAGCCCAGATGGCGAGAACGAGGTGTCAGAGGAGAAGCAAGAGGAGGAAGAGCAAGACGAGGATGCCCTGAGGAGAGCTGCTCTTAAATCCACCAAAGAAATCAGGCTAGAGGTGGGTCAGTGACATGTCTTGAGGAGGGGGGACCTCGAATGGGCCACTGAATTAATGTAAGGTCAAGGGGTCATTGCAGTGTAAGGTTTTCATACCGATTTCAAAACGCGCCTTTGTGTCTCACTTAACCTCAATTTGAAGTTTTGTTTCATTATGTAAAAGGGTATTTTGTTGGCGTTGTTGGATTTTATGCTGATGCATTTTCCATATTCATGAGGAAAACCTCAGAAATCAGTTTGTGCAAAGAAACTTCCTTTTTTTCAGTTTCATTGTTGATTTATGGGACTTGATTTTCTTTTCTTTGGTGAATTTGTGTAAGTACATACATGTAGCAAGAAGCAAGCAACCAGTTCTCAGAAATGTTTTCAGTGAGTAAATTTCCCGGGTTCACAGTTAGAGCAAAGAAACCTGTGCACTCAACCATTTCTGTCCAAGCAGCCATCACAGCAACAGAGCTCTCGGTTGTCCAGGGAGGATGGATTATTTCAAGTAGTTAAAAATGTGCACTTTTAATGCATTTAACCCAGTGAGGATGTCAGATAATTCTTGTAAATTGAAGAACATAAATTTGGGGAGAAACAATTGTATATAACACAATTTTAATGCTGCCACACATTAAGCTCCTTAACCAGCCTTTATATCAACCAAGGGCGAAATAAATCTGAAAAATGCCCTGGTGTTAGCAGTACACTGGAAAAAGTCAATGAAGGCAAGAAATATGAGTTCAAGAAGCATTTGTTCAGCATTCCCATACCTGCCAGCTGTTCCGATTTAATTGGAGCTGTTCTAAGTTTTGAGTTTTCATACCACAAAAAATTGCAACGTTGCACCAAAAAAAAGAGGTAAAAGTTAAAAAGCCTGGTAAAAAGAGGGTGCTATTTGCTACGTAAATATGGCAACTGTTGCACATACATACATGTTTGTACATATAGTTTCTCTCACACGGCTGCCTGTTTTACTAAAGGATGGTAAAACGGGTGTTCCAAATCCTGACTTCTCAGTGTTGGCATGTATGCGTTCCTGAAGCAACAGTTTGCACCAAGACATTTTTTAATAGTTTTAATATGGGCAATTCACAATGGCGTGCCACCAAGAGTTTGCAACACGTTGGCCATTATAATGCGCGAAATTTGTCGACCCTTTCCAAATGCACATTGGGTCGACAAATTCCGCGCACTGTGATTGGCCAACGAGTTGCAAACTCTTGGTGGCGCGCTATCGTGAAACGGCTGTATTATCATATCCCATCCTCTTTCCAGGATATCCCTACACCACAGGCACCACAGCCTACCTTTCAACTTAAAGGTAACCTCATTGCCATTCAGCCAGTGCCTGAAAAGCCAGTACCTACCCACCTCAACCCAAGTGATAGACCCAGACTTCCCCGGAACAACAAGTTTGCTCGCTTTGCCTCCTCTGATTCTGAGACCAACAGCGACACCGATGATGACAGCAGTGAAGAGGATTCAGATGAGGGTTCAGAAAGTGACCAAGAGGGACTAAGCAGTGACAGCTCTAAGAATTCATCTTCAAGTGATAGCAACACCAGTAGCAGTGAGGAGAATGATCACTCATCAAGATCAAGCAGTGAGAGTCGATCAAGCTCTTCATCTTCATCGTCATCTTCATCTTCGCCCTCCTCCTCAAGTTCATCCAGCACTTCATCTTCTTCTGACAGTTCTGACTCAGATTCAGACGAGGCTGGCAAAGGACATGATCGTAAAAAAGCCAGCCAAGGAGACTTGGGAAGGAGAGGCAGCATCAGCAGGCATAGGAGACATGAGAAAGAAGGAGATGATCAACGGAGAGACCACAGAGAGCAACAACACCCAGAGAGGTCAGGGAGAGACAGGGATCGAGAGAGACTAAGAGCATCCCCTCGAAGGGGAAGAGACAGCTGGCATTCCAGACACAGAACATCCCCAAAATCAGGGGAGGACCTTCACAGTTACAGAAGTAGTGCCCCTGGCAGGTCAAGGAGAGACTTGGACAGATTAAGAACAAGATCCAGATCCCCTAGAATAAGACGGGATGAGCGGGTTTTGCGTACACGTCCAGATGGATCTCGGGGATTTGGAATCAGTGAGAGTAAAGTGCCTTCTGTAAATGAATCACTACAGTCTCGCTTACTTAAACTTGCATCCTATGAGAGCAGTGGGTCTGACAGAAAGAGAGATATTCGAGAGTTTTCAAGCCGAAGCCACAGGAGTGGGGAAAGCAGGACAGGAAGGATTGACCACAGACGTAATTCAGACATTTCAAAGAGGTCCGATGAAAAATCAGATAAGAAACTTGGCAGTCCTAAAGCCAAGCGCACATCATCCAACTCTGACAGTAATTCAAGCTCTAACTCCGACATATCATTAAGTGATATGGAGAGTGAATCTGACAAGGAAACCTCCCGCTTCAAGCATGCAAAGGGTGAAAAGCCTCAGGGTGAGGTTGACGTGCGTCACAGGGCTATCCCTCGCTCATACAGGGATGATTTCAGTCGAGGTGATAGACGAGGTGAGCGTGGAAGAGAGGAGCATCGGAGGAGAGACGATAGATACAGGGATGGACGGCGAATTGACCCTGGCAGGACTAGGGATGAACGAAGGGACAGAGATGAGGCCCACAAACGTGACACTGACAGGCACAGGGATTCCACCAAATCACGAAATGGACCCATGTCAGTTGTCAAGTCAAAGACAGTTGATGAACCCAGTGCTAAAAAAATTCCCTCGCTCCTCGACATAAAGGTCAGAAATCCAAATCTTGATCCCAGCCTCAGACCTGACCTCAAAATCATATCCAGACCTGAGCCCAATAGTACAAGTAACACCAGAAGACATGACAGGTCTCCTACAGCCAGGGAAAAGTTTACGTCCCCTGAGAGACTGAAGGATCTGGAGAAGAACTTTGAAAGTGAGTCTGGGTCAGAAGACGAGAATGTCCCAGCTGGTCCACGTAGCATTGTTAAAGTGGACAAACGGAGAGACTTAAAATCTCGTTTAGGTGTGCGAGCTGCCATAACAGACCCAGCTAAAAGTGCAGATGTGGCTGGGCAGAAAAGGGACGGAGACAGTAAAGGACAATCTGAACATGTTCAGAAGGAAAGAAGGAAGAGGAAATCCGGAGATTCAAGAACCAAAGATGGGCTAGGGGAGGATTTCAAAATGGAGGGCAAGGGCTCCGCCGTGAGATCGAATAGTCCTGAAATACGCATCACATTTAATGAAGGTAGGTTTAGGTCTACAGCCTTTGTTGAATGGTGTTGTCATCCATTTGTGACAATGGGGCTGTTGGGTACGGTCTCCAAATAATCAGGCATGCAACTTTCCCTCGGGTGAGCTGGTTTCCCTCTTTTTCACTTTACACTCATGCAAATGAAAATAAAATGTCTTGTGAAGATTGCAATTTCCTCATTTTTGTCAAAGTCTAAGTTGCATGCCTGAATAATAGAGTTAGTCATCAAGTACTTTAAGTATTTACGTATCATCTAGCACTTTATAGGCCTGATACTTTGTGTTTGGTTTACCAGTGCTACTAACAGGGCGCTATAAGCAAAGGATAATTTTTTTCCTGTCTGAATACCAAACTGAGTTGGCAGCTGTGCAGTGCTGAAAGTCACCTACCGGCCAGGCACTAAAACTTCCTGTCCATGTTTGATGGATTAGACAGCATCAAGTGAAAGTTAATTCTTGGACATTATTTCTAAAGAAACCCTTCACATTAGACAACCGATGTTTTAATTTAAAAGGCTGTGCATGAATTGGTTTGCTCATTCTGCTGATTCTTCCATTAAAACTCCAAAATTCATCTGCAGGATCATTGATTTGGTTGAAAGTTTGAAAGCAATCGTCCATCTATTCCACAGGCCCCCCTGCCAAAAGAAAACCAATCCATGAAAGGCTCGGGATAAAAGGAGCTGGTAGCAGCAAACCTAGACGGTCTGTCAAAGACCGTCTGGGGAAGATGGTCTCCAACCCCAAAAAGGCTCCAAAGGATCCCATCCCAGCAACATCTGCCTATGATGACGATGATCCACTGGAGAGTCAGATACCTGTTCAAGTTGCCTCCAAGCCTAGGCAATCTGTGATCGAGCTGAAGACTCGAGCAAAACAGGATGCAGAGAGCAAGCGTCAAACACAGAAACAGGAAGCAGAGATTCAGAAGCAGAAGAAACAAGGAGAAACTAAGAATTTTGATGATAAAAGCAAGTATTATGCTAAATTGGAAAAGCAACAGAAAAATTTCAAGACTGAGGTGTCACAGAGGAAACCAAAAGACATATCAAAAAACGAGAACAGTAACAATGAGCATCTCGAAAGGGTTGAACTTGCTAATTCAGAGACAAATACTGTTGAAGAAGGCAACGAGAATCCCTTACAAGTTAAATTTCCAAAGGAGGAGCAACATCTTCAGGGAAAAAGTCATCCCAAAGATGGCATGAAGAAGCAGGAAATAGCAGCAGAGGTGAAAAGAAACACCAAGATCAAACTTAGGCGAGACTCAACTCAGAGAGCTAAGACTGTGGAAGTCCAGGTAAGCATGAAACGGGGGGACATACAGGAGAACAAAGAGGAGAAGGTGCTGGAAGAAGCCTGCTCGTCAAGAAAGGAGGCTGATGGGATGGCTTCAGATAACGAGTTTTCTCAGGAAGCTGTCCATTCAGGATCACCCCACCAAAATGACAGGAAGGTCATCAGCGATTCCCAAAAGTCTGGGAGGAACATTGTCCGAACTGAATCTCCTCACCCCATAAGGCAAATTGTCTACTCCAAGTCAGACAAATCAAACAGAAATGTCATATCTGCAGATTATGACACATCCAAAAGAAAAATTGTCCACGAGGAGTCTAAATTAACTGAAGTAGTAGAGTCAGAGGCATCTCAGCGGAAGATAGTTCATGATGAATCCAAACACTCCCAGCGGAGAGTTTATCAATCAGACGTGGACTCTTCACATAGAAAAATCATCCGTGATGATGACCCAGCCCGAAGAAAGATCCTCCATACTGACTTGGACTCTTCAAGGAGAAAGGTACTCCAGTCAGACCAAGACCTTCCAAGGAGGACCATTGTCAAGGACTCAGATATGAAGAGGGGGCCCTCTCCATCCTTCAGCTACGACGACATTCGCCAGCCCAAGATGAGCCGGAGCAGCGAGTTGTGGAAGCGGGAATGCATTGAGGAGCAGACTCGGGAGGTGGAGATGAGGATGGAGAAGGAAGAACGGATGGTGATTGAGGAAACCAGGGAGGCCGAGGCCAAGAGACTTAAGGAGGAGGCACTGAATGCCAAGATCCAAAAGATCAAGGAAAAGAATGCAGCCATTCTACAACGCCACAAAGAAATCGAAGCTGAGAAGCTCATGTTTGGATCTTGAGGACAGAATCCAGCTACGAAATGCATCCTAGAGTTGCTGAAGCAGAGTAACTCGCAGAAACTCTTGGTTATACATGTATTTGGTGTTAAGCAGGACTACCTGTAAGCATCTACGCACTTGCAGTACCTTGGTTATAACCTGCTAAACCTAAACAAAAATGGTTACTAAATATTCTTCTGGGAAACTCGATGGAAATATTTCTGTAGTCTTACAAAGTCCAATAGAATACTCTTGTCCCAGCACCCATTTCCCGTGGTTCATTCGCCAAATACATGTACATGTAGTTTACGAGTTAAGTAAAGCCTTTAACCCCAGCGGTGTCGTTGACTGATGGGCTCGTTCTCTGCCACGTCCATTTGTTAATAAATAGCCTGTTTATCAAGAACGAAGTTTAGTTTTTCTATTTGTGATAGCTTGTCTGGTCGTAGTGGCATAATGTATTTGATTCAAGTTCACAGCTCTCAAATTACAAATGCACCCTGAAATCGCAACATCACATTGTTTGCATCTGAAGTGTGACCACTTGAAGTGTGAATACTTTTTCTGGCATTTTTATTTGTATATACATGTATCAAACCAAAATTAAATGTTATCTCCTTTGAGCAGTAATCACCTGTTTAGTCCAAGAGGTGATTGATTTTACGGATGGAAATCCCTAATGCTTGCACAGCCATCTCTCAGTGAAATTTTTGGGACAAGTAAAATTATAATTTTCTGACAAAATTGTCAGGTACAAATACGAACAGTGAGAGGTTGTTGCTACTGTACTGTCTTTTTGACTTTGTGGCGGACGTGTTACCCCAGGAGCTTACCCTGGGGATGAGATTGTTTTCTTCCCAGATTTCATGATTTTTCTGCAGGAGTTTGAAATCTGGAAAATCCTGACATTACCATTAAGGTGTTTCTACATGCAAAGGTGATATAGGAAAAAGTGGCATTTTAAGGGGTACTTTAGGCATACACAAAATCCTATAGATGCTACACTACCGTAAGCCCTCGAAACGTATGGTTGTTTTGTGGATATTGTATTCCTACTCTAATTTCACCCCCCCCCCCGTTATCTTGCATTGTGCGCATGCGTGTGTGCAGTCAATTTGAACAATTGCAGTTTAAGTTTTGTTAAAAGTCTGTAACAGGGCTGAAATCTGTCGGGATATGTCCTGATTCCAGGAATTTTTATCAGCATTTTGCCGACTTCAAGATTTTTAAACAGTCCGTTTTAAAATGTGGAAAAACCTGAGCTTACCATTACAGTGTTTTGATGTACGGTTATACGGAACACAAGCAATGGGTTTTTAAGGGTACCTATTTAGCCAAACACAAATGTATACCATAGACCTCGCACTTTTGAGGGGCCCTCAAAACCTCTCGTGAATATTTCGTCGATTTTTCAATTTCTCTTGATTTTGCCCCTGCTGTGATGTTAGTTCCTACCATCCTTGAAAGCTCTTGTGGACAGGTGCTGGTTGTATGAAAAAAGAAGGCTGTACCCATTGCTTTGTATTAATGTACTTGGATATTGTGTGCGATGATGGAGGCCAAAGATTTCAAATTTGGACTAATCGTTAGTCGTTACAAGCTTTCAATTCATGAGTGACTGATATTGAATTTACAAGGTATTACGTTGAACAAGATTTTGAGAAGAGGCGTCTTTAAGATTACCATTACACAGAGTCCATTTTTTTTGTCTAGGTTATGTCACGCTCTGGCAAATTGTGATCCCTGATGATTTTTGTATACTTGTAATTTTGATTCTAAATGAAGGATTACTTTTTTTTTCATCATACGTGTATATTTTTATCTCCATAACTAGACTGAAGAGAACAGAAATCAGTGCACTGTGATTACTTTGTATAGAGTTTGACGTTGCATTACCAGTATGGAGAATTTGTTGTTGTTGTTGAATGAAGCCAATGTTGGTCAACCTGTTGGAGTAATACAGTCGAACCTCGTTTATGACTTAAAGGGGCCCTTTGGGCTTAACAAATTACCTTGTTGTAACCGGAACCTTGAATTATGAAAACAAAGGATTGGGACCTAAACTTTTCGTTTTTATAAGCAAAATCTTGTATTAACAGTGCTCTTATGAACGAGGTTCGACTGTACATGTACATCACGTTACATGTACCTGTACATGTATTTTTTTTCACCAGTTGATGCCCAAAGAATAGTGGTGTTATTGGCTGATGGTTCCTAGTTTTTGTATAGAGCGATGTAGTACAGTGTTGTATGAAATTTGGACCCTGGGAGATAAGGATCCATATTGGGCTGTACTGTGCATGCACGTACACAAATTGGAAGAGAGTCACCACGTGCATTCACAAGGGATACAGTCCATTGAGAGAGACCAAATTTCGTATGACACCAGCAATGAAATATATGAGAGAATTGTACATTTACTCTTCAAACTTCAGAAGTGCTTTTGTAATATTTGTACAGCGATTTGTTGAATAAAGTGGAACTCGCTCGTTCAAATTTACCAGTCCTAACTATTTTTCAAGGTTTTTTTTTTTTTTTTGCGTTGGGGGAGATGCGAATTTATATAATGGGTTTTGCCCTTGCTCATTGCTTGTCCGAGAGCTTGCAACAAAATTACAAGCTTGCTCGGGTGGGACTCGAACCCACAACCTCCTGCATATTATTGCAGACGTCTTAACCACTCCACCACCGAGCTTGTTGGCTGGCCGGTCATAGCTTGTTAGGGTTGGAATCTTATAATGTGCTGGCAGTCAAAATTTAACCAACCTGAGAATGGCACCGTAAAATCAAACAAAATAGAGGTCGTCCATAAAGTATGTACGTGCGCAATGCCGACTTTCCAGACCCCTTCGCTTAATGATGGCGTACGCTGAAGCACCCCCGCCTACACATACGCGTTCCAGAATACGCTTCTGGTTTTTGTGTCGTATGGTAACAAGTCGTTTTTTGCAAGTCCAAGTCAAGTCTCAAAGTCGAAGCTGGTGTTCACAAGTCAAGTCTCAAAAATAGCGACTGGAGTCCGACTCGAGTCCAAGTGACGTGATTCGAGTAAGCAACTTTACCGTTTACATAGAACCAGAAGTTAACGCGCAGCTTCAGCGATTGTGACAGAAGAGTCACGAACCAGATACATTAGTTACGCGTGCTCAACGCGCTCAGCGTCAAACGCGCATATATTGCGCGCCTCATGGCGCAACTATGCGCCACGGTGCGGTGAGTACATTGATCTCAATGGGTGAGTTCTGTGGCGCCGCGCCCCTCCGACGAAGGCGAGGGCGCCCTCCTCCTCGAGGCGCGGCGCGTCGGACGGCACACCGGAGAGCCCCTGAGCGGCTAGGGACGAGTCCGTCGGGACCGAGTATACCGTGCCCCAAGAAAGTTGGTCTTCGTCGAGATGATGGCTAATCTGATTGGTCGAAACTTAATGACGTAACCCAGACAGACCTGACTTGAAATAAACTTCGCCTGGACACCTGACTTATATACAACAATTAATAAGCGGCTGGTTTATTCATCAACACACTCAACCAATATACCAGCAGAGGGCGCTATTGACGGGGGAGACTGTGTGATTATACGTGACCGGACTTCGCCCAAAGCAGCGAACACCACAATTAATTGTGGGCATCCAGTGCCGAATCAGGGACTTTAGCAAGTTTACGGGGCTTATTGTCAGGGATGCACTACACGCAACTCACGTCGCGAGATAGCAATCCGCCCTTGCATCGACCGCAAGCTCCTATCAGGAACTATACCGCACCACCAATTAGCCCCTCAACCTACCGAGCCCCTCAACTACACACGCACTCGGGACTTAGGCACAGTCACACTAGGCTAGGTGGTTTTAACCCTTGCATAGGATTTTCAACCCTTACCACAGGATCGGATCAGCCCAATTAATTGCATGCAGGACCTTGACTGCGCGCGCCTTTTATAACCTTTGCGCTGCTGTGACCACGCCCACGCACGCGCTCACGTGACCAAGCAGTGACTTCCGCTGCCCTATCGCACAACGCACAAGGCGGAGCCTATGCGCTGCGCTCGCTTAACACACAGCTATGCGCGCCTATATGCCTCTGTTACTGGGCAGAGCGCCATCTATAACTTTGCACCGCGCCTGGTGACTAGCGCCCTCTGTCACGTCACAGTACCTTATCTCCATTATATTAATGGAGATCAATTATAGGCCCTGCATAAAGTGGGGACATGCCTCCGTGGAAAAAGTGGGGCCCCTTCTGCCGGTAGTGGCCATCATAACAGTGTACATGTTGTAAGTAGGCGTACTCTCTCCAAATGCCAACGACATGAAGTAAAGGGGAGGGACGGGATAGCCAATAATTCTTTACGGGGGAAGTTGGAGATGGAAACGTTGTGCCGTTCAAGAGTGGAACAAACAAATTAACTGGGCTTTTTCTTCAATGACAAAGGGTTCAAAAAATTGTTCGTAACTCCTGGCGTATAAACATGCAACTTCCAAGTAGTCCTTGCGAGTCGATCCCACTATATGTTTGATTACTAGAGACAGTCTTTAATATCTGTGCATCGATTTACTGACTTCTTAAAAAAAAAATATTTGAGCTTATGTTTCAACTTGAAGTGGGTTAATAAAAATCAGCCTGCGGTGAAATCAATCAATCCTGACCCGAATGTGTTCAAGTTGGGCTCTCAATGAACAAAACATTCGGAGGACTGGTGAAAACATCTCTACTCCATCTGAACCAAATGCTTCGCTGGTTTGCCAACGATACAACACGCCAAAGCAAGCGTTCTCATGCCGAGAGCCATCGATGAACCGGTGTCAGCCACGTATCATTCCCACGCGCGTGAGAACAGATGTAAGCTTTGATCGGGTGCTAAAAAGCGTCGATTTTACTCGTAGAGTCGAGTTTAATACTACCTTTAGTTAAAAATGAGTTGGTTTCGGTCTGTTCTTGGGTCCAGTGACACCGCAGCTCAACCGTCTGGAGCTGAAACGGTAAGTGCTGGTAGTGTTTTCCGTTTGCCCACTTTACGTTTGTGTAGCTTATTAAATTAACGCGTCAGTCCTGCCCGTTTCCTTTTGTCATGTTTGTACACTAAATTACGCTAGTGGTCTTATAAAGGGAAAGAATTCCATGTACGGACACCACTTGACACCCTGAGCACAAACCCTACAAGACTGATCTGAAACATTCTAAGTGTTTAAGGTGAATTCCTCAATACTTTTACTGTTTAATCGGACTTTTTAGGACATTTTATTACTTTCACTGAGTGAAGTTTCATCATGTCAGATGGCTGATAAATCACTGCAAGGAAGATTTTTCCCAATAAAGCTGTGATTAAAAGTTGTTGCACCTGTTAATGACACTTTTCCCTGCCTGCATTCCTAAGATTGCACGACTGTGTGATAGAGTGAAGTCCTCTACTCTCCTTGATGACAGACGAGATGCGGTACGGGCATTGAAATCACTCTCCAAGGTAATGAAAATGACGTCTCCAGTCTCCTTTGATGAGCCTCCTTAAGGCTCAAATATTTGCCTTGGCGATTGTTTACTAGGGCTGTGCAGAATATATGATCAATTATTGAGTCTATTTTCGGAACTTGAACATTCAAATGCAAAATTCATGTAAAGGAAGGGAGAATTTTCTTTTGTTTGAAATGAAAAAAATTGCACTATGGGGGCTTGTTTCAAGCAGATTCAAATGAAAAGAGACAGAAATCTCGCGATTCAAAAAGTGAATTGTTCATTAAAAAATTTAAAAGGAACAGACAGTTTTAAAAGGGCAAGAATATTGTTTGTCTCTTAAATCTTGCTTAATCTTGCTGGCTGGTGGTACTCCTATGCATAAGAAGCTAGTATTATATATGGTTGGGACTATGGTGCTGTAGCTGGCAAGTTTCTGTAGAAATGTATCAGTCTTCCCCAAAGTTATACAGCTCACACGTAACGAATTAATTCATCCAAAATATGCCAACCTGGCATTTTTCATCCATGACATAAAACCTAGTTTCAGCATGAAGCTTGAATTGCCACTATAAACCAAATGACGCTGGCACACCCTGGCTCCCTTTGCTGTAGTTGGGACTGTCACAACTGTATCCCTATTGTCAGAACTGTCCCAACTAGGTACCAGTACGGTTGATATAGATTCTATAGTTGGGGCTTAACATAAATAAGTGTGATCGCTCTGTTAGGGATGATGGTGAGAATTGACATAAACTTTATTACACCAGTTCAAATTTGACAAGTAGTAGGCTTTCTGGTTAAAACTCAGTCAAGTGATACAATTTGTGTATCAAAGTGTACTGAAGCATTTGAGTATGACGGTCCCGACGGGATGAGAGGAAATGTCACGATGAGCATTTTTAAAAACCTTCCGTTGCCAGAAATTTCGCTTTGAGGTTGGGACCCAGTGCATGGAGGTACTGTTGGGAATCTTACAGACGGATCGGAGTGACCCAGAGATTGCCAGCTATGCCCTGGAGACCTTGCTGAACATCATCTGCCCAACCATCGAAGAAGAAGACGGTGAGAATCCAATTCCATCTGGTCCCATCATACTAACATGCCTATAGGAGACTTGATGGTCCTCATAAGTACGTGCAATGTGAATGTGCCACCGAGGCTGTTTTGCACAGTTGTGGATTTCTCACATGGAAGGTTGTAGCAGGATGACTCTGTGAGTTTGGCTAAAAGTGTACACATGTTGTCAGCAAAAGTGAACCACTTAGCATTTCATGATAGTTTGATTTGTGCCTGCGTTACTGCAGATGACTATGAACACATCGATGTAGACGCCAGAGAACGGGAGATCAGACAACTCAGTGAGCACTTTGTTGACATCTTCCTCAACAAGACCGAAAATATCACCCTCATGCTTGGTCTCCTGGAGGTAGGAAAATCCAGTTATTAGAATCTGCCTACAGGTGCTTGACCCTGAAAGCACCTGATTACGTATCAGGAAGTTAAGGTTTATGCTTTGGCTATTCTGCCCTCTATGTGTGAACCATGAACAATATAGAATGTATTTGGTAGTGTTGTGGTTGAGTCCATCCCAAGTCTCTGCAAGTCCATCGTGAGTCCAGGGGTCTATCCATCACAAGTCATTCTGTCTTCACCCAGTGCACATGCTGTTCAAATGAACTGTGACAAACGCATTCTCCCTGTTACTTATGACCAGCCATGTGAGGGGACTTGCGGCTGTACTTGTGAAAGGACTTGTGATGGACTCAACTCCAACAGTGGTATATAGTTTGTTGCAGTTAAGGTTTCTGTTGTCAACTCCGCAAGATCTTTAAACATGTAATGCAGTTTAAGGTTACACAGAATGTTTACGCAGTTAACATAGATTGCCGTTGCTCTGTGTGGACAACACATTTTTATGCATAGCCTACCTAAGTTTTGTAAACCGTTTTATGACGTGCTCTTCTGCCAGGAGTATGAGTTCCGTATCCGCTGGCCAGCCATCCGTCTGATGACCGCCCTGATCAACCTGCGGTCCAGCCAAGTCCAGCAGATCATCCTGGTCAGTCCCATGGGTGTCTCCAAGCTAATGGACCTGCTGTCAGACAGCCGGGAAGTCATCAGGAACGACGTGAGAAAATACTGATTTGTTTGTCTTCTAATCCAAATCCACACCAGCAATTGTGACTCACCCAGACAGAATGAGTCGCAAGTCACCAGAGCCACTCTTTGAGTTGAAGGCCCTTTGAAAGAATCTTTCACTAATCAAAATCAGTTGGAACTGGGAACTCTTGTCATGCACATCATGTTTATTTTCATCAGGATGCTAGACTGGGTGATACATCAGACCCTAAGAGCTGAGTTTACTCTTGTCTTTGGCCTTGGAACTCGTTTTGCTTTGAGAGCGACTCAAAAAAAGGCTTATCATTTTAATGTTCACTTTTGTGAGCACATCACAAGTCATAATCTCAAGTCATATCAAAAGCTGTTCAAATGAACTGTCCCTTTCTGGGATAATCTTTAAAAATGAGATCCAGGGAAACTCTCACAAGGAGGGTGTCTGTCAGAAATCACATTGCATTCTGTGTTATTTGATTTTAAAGATACTTTGGCCACTTACAGTTATTCCAGTGTGGAGTATCCTGCATACTTACTGTTGGTTCATTATTTTGTGATTAGGATCTGGCTGTTAGATGTAAAGTGGATGTCATTAGTAGTGATGCTTTTCTGTAAAAAAAAGTGACCAAGACACGTGCTTTTTGTCCTCCAAATTTGCCGCAGGGCCTGTTACTGCTCACTGCCCTGACCAAGGGCAATGCCAACATCCAGAAGATTGTGGCCTTTGAGAATGCCTTTGACCTACTGCTGAGGATCATCATGGAGGAAGGGGGAAGCGACGGTGGCATCGTGGTGGAGGACTGCTTGCAACTGCTCCTCAACCTGCTCAAGAAGAACAGCTCCAACCAGACCTTCTTCAAGGAGGGGAGGTAAGACCAGAAACCCCCTCGAGATGGCATTCTGGAATGCTGTTCAAGTGTAGAACACTCCACAGTGATCATGCTTAAAGTTACCGTCAGCTGGGAACAGTTGAATAGAGGAGCTAAGCATAGAAAGTTGATCTGTGAGGGAAATTTTTCCCTGACAAAACTGGTTACCAGGCATAGTGTCATTCATTGTTTATATCATGTGGCTGGTTCCCAGCTGAGTTTTGCTTAAAACACAAATTGGCTAAGCACCATTTCCTGTTTCATTTTTGTGCACATTCTGTGGAAAAAAATCTCCACAAGAGCTCATCCACTCGCTTGCCTTTTGTGGATGTTAGTACCAAATGATTCTAGAATGATATGAACATGCTGTAGAGCCCTGCTTTTAGCTTGAGTAGCGGGTGAGCACATCACTGCCTCATCCTGTCGTAGCTGTTGTTAAAATTTATCAAATACATCCAGCAAGGCCACACAAGAAATAAGCAAAGTGCATTGTTTTTAGATCAGTTCAAAGCTGATACATCTTTGTATTTTTTGGCTACAGTTTCATTCAACGCCTGTCTCCGTTCTTTGAACTCCAAACACTGGTACCACAAAATCCAGACGGCACATGGTCAACACAGAAAGTCAAGAACGTTCATCACATGCTACAGGTGAGAGACTCAATTTTCTGATCGTTTATACAGAACTGTTTAAGACTCTTTTATTGAAGAATAAGGCATATCGCCTTGAAATTTTTTTTTAGCATTTTTTTAAAATGTAACTTAATTAGTTAAGCCTAATTTCAATCTTGCTTCAAAGATTGCAGATTTGCAAAGCAAAGTTCCTCCGTGCCTGTTTCCACTAGAAATTGGTTGATTGGTACCATATGTAAATGCTCGCTGATTTTGCACAGGAACTTCTCCCATGCTCTTTTGTCAGGTCATACGGAGCCTGGTTTCTCCCAACAATCCCCAGCAAGCGACCAGCGCCTGCCAGAAGTTGATCCACTCCTGCGGTTTACTCAAGCAGTTGTGCAGCATCCTCATGGCCAGCGGGGTTCCGGCCGATATCCTGACTGAGGTGATGGGACATGAAGGGCTTATCATGAGGCTGGCAGTCACGCCTTGTCCGAATTTCATGGCTGCGGCTGGAAATTACACATGAGTCTCTGGTTGTAGCTGTAGCCACTTCTTAGAGATTTGTGTGTAATTCAAAGCCACTGTCAAGTAATTCTGACACAGCCTCGCACAGAAACAAACATGACAACTTATTGAGAAATTTAAAGTTGTCCCAACAAACAATTTAAAGTTTCGAAGAAAATAACAATTGTTTCAAGAATTAAAGATGTATTTGAACTGTGCTTCATTAGAAGAATCAGACATGGTTAGTGTTGATAACTGTCCTTTACTGAACTCATTGAAAATGTTTATGCTACCAAAAATCAATTTCTGTGTATATACCAACAATAAGAATGCCTTGAAAAGCTTGCAAACTTTGGAATGTTTCATTGATGGAACATTTTAGCTGTAGACTGGTGTCTGTCTATTTGTACATTAATGGGGTTTTAACAGCAAATGTTGGCAGCGTATGATTTCTGTTTTTTTCCCCTTTCGTTTGTGATTGCAGACAATCAACACTGTGTCAGAGGTCATCAGAGGTTGTAAGGTCAACCAGGACTTCTTTGCCGCCGTCAATGCACCTTCCACCCCGCCAAGGTAGGATCTCACATCTGAGCAGCTTAAAAATCGGAGAGCTGGAGCTCTGCTGGCATTTCATGACTTCTAAACTGTTCTCTTTGTTCTAGACTTCCCCTAAGTATGTTTTTTTTTTCTTGGGCAGGTGCTTCTCTATCTTTTCTGCTCCGGTAACAAACTTAAGAACCACTGTTTCTAAACTGGTTCAGTTAGCCAGATTTTAGGCTGACAGTGTTAGCCAAACTAAAATTTTTAGAAGAGCATTTTCAGATGTCAAGAAGTTGCACAGATTTAGTATCAAAAGGAGCATTTGTACCAAAAAGTCAAAGTGTGTAATTTGTTATTAAATTTAGAGGTAAACGTAATGCCACAAAGTAAGATTTCAATTCAAATTCGCTCGCCCCATCAAGTCAGTGGCAAGCACTATAACCTATCAGCTAGCTTAACCTTTTGGATGGCTGACAAGATGGGTTTGACAGTGTTTTGCGTTGATGAGAACTGCATGGGCAGTGACTTTAAAGTAGAATTTTTAATTTGTAGACCAGCGATTGTCGTCCTGCTGATGTCCATGGTCAATGAGAAGCAACCATTTGTTCTCCGCTGTGCTGTCCTCTACTGCTTCCAGTGTTTCCTCTACAAGAATGAAGTGGGACAGGAGCAGATTATTTCCACGCTACTCCCCGCCACGGCAGATGGTATGCGCCACTTTTGTAGACCGCCACGATTGCACTGCAGTAATGGTTCCTAATTCTGGTCACAGGATAATCCTGGAAATTCGAAAGTCCACACTGAACGGTGTTCCCATCTCTCTTCCTCCTAGTGTCGGCAGTGACCGCGGGCCAGCTTCTCTGCGGTGGTCTGTTCAGTCAGGACTCCCTGTCCAACTGGTGTGCCGCCATCGCGCTCTCCCACGCCCTCAAGGACAACACCGCCCAGAAGGAGCAACTGCTGCGGGTGCAGCTTGCCACTGGGCTGGGCCAACCTCCAGTGTCGCTGCTGCAGCAATGCGCTAACATCCTGTCACAGGTACATCCAAAAACCCAAAGCTCAGATAACCAGTACGGGCTGGAAGATATGTACATGTTGCGCATAATCAGTCAATATGTGTGATCTCTGGAGTTTTGCACAATTAGTCGATCTTATCGCACAATCTGTCGATAATTCCACCACCAGCCAATCACCATCTCTTTCTAATTCACAATAAGGGCGATTTCACAATAGTGCGCCACCAAGAGTTTATAACGCGTCGGCCAATCACAACGTGTGAAATCTGTCGATTCTTTCTAAACGCACATTGGTTGACAGAATTCGCGCACTGTGATTGGCCAAGGCGTTGCAAACTCTTGGTGGCGCACTATTGTGAAATGCCCGTATTGTGATAGACAGTTTCAAAAAAAGAGAAAAGTAAAATTGGAGGTTTCATGCAGAATTGATCAATAGTGTAGACCAATCAGGCATATTGTGCACATCAGCTGTTTTTCCCGACCTTACACATGATCTGAAGGTGAATCTTTTCATGTACCATATTGTTAAGTTTGGGTCACTGACACCTTTAAGACCCAAGTTGGAGACTCTCTGGGGTACAATTTCTTTTCTAAACAGCCTGCTTCAATGCAATTCTTGGGGGTTTTCCTCACCTTTTTTTCAGCCCACCGTCAGGTTCCAGACTAAGATAGGTCTCCTAATTCTTCTGAGTTCCTGGACTGCTGGATGCCAGTTGGCCGTCACCCACTTCCTACTCAACCCAGCGAACGTACCATTTGTATCCTTTGCTCACAAATCAACGTTAAGTTGTGGCTCAAGTCCATTATCCTAACATCTGGATTTGACGTTGCTTAGACTGTTCCGAGAAAAATTGCAGATCTGTCTTGTATTTGGTTCTATTTCTAACTCATGGAGAGATCCTTGACTGAGTTCTACCCGTCAGCTCACCGCTCAAGTCGCTGAGCATGCAGACGAGCATGAGTTGCTTGGACAGGGACTTTGTGCATTCCTGCTGGGTATCTGTGTACACTTCAATGACAACTCAAATGAGAGCTTTACAAAGTGAGTAACCCTCATGACGTAAGCACCTTGCTGCGCAAATGGACACTGATCTGACGTTTCAAAAGTGAAAACCTTGTTTAAAATCATTAACCACACTTTTATGGTAGGCAAGTCATGAATTTCTTCTCCATCAGACAACAGGCTTTGCTTACAGCTCATATAAAAGACAGTGCAAAGTACTGATCTACCACAGTGGAAATTTACTGGCTCTTATCGTTGTTTCTAAATAAAAACAGTCTCTGTAAATGTTGTCAAGGTGTCATCCATGACAGTAGATTGTTCTATCTTGTTTTCACCTTAGGCAGAGAGCTTTTTCCGAAGGGTTAATAGTGCAAAAAGTAGTTGTTACCTAAGGGCAGGTAACTCTACACGTCCATGCTCGGGTATGTTACTCTGGCATGTTACTCTGGCATCCAGTTGTACAAGTTTTGTGCACATTCTGTCGAAATATTGGCCATGCACACTGTACCTGTCTATGAACCTTTGCATGTATGTAATGTGAGACCATGTCTGCATTGGGTTCCAAAGCTGCATTTTTGCATTGTGTCAGCGTGTTGCCCACCTGCTGACAACCAGTAAGAACCTAGACCTAACTCTAGACACCACATTTGGACATTGTTTGTCCTTTGCTGGAACCCACGCATGTGGCACACAGCGCCATCAAAAACTTTGTGCGCGGATTCCATAATGGTGACCCACGTTCGATCCGAGCAGGGAGAACATGAAGCAGCTGATTGTTAAGCGAGTCGGCCTGGAATCTTTCGTTGAGAAGCTAGACCTAGTGTCCAAACACGAACTCTACACCTTGGCAGCCCAGAAACCACAACTCCAGTTCCCCTCCCCAGATGTCATGATGCTGGACTATGAATTTACGACACTCTTCAAACAGCTAGAAGGTCAGTTTTCAGATCTGGTTCCAAACTTTTTATAGTTTAGTACTTTGCTGGCACAACTGAACAAAACTGAGTAAACGAATTCACGTTCAACTGATAGGTAGTAAACTGGAACATTTTGTACAAGCATGTTTTTTTATGACATGTAGTTGGGGTCTATACCACTGCTAGGTTCAAGGCGGGGCAAGGTTCGGTTCTATCAAGTTTCTAGGCATATGTGATTCATGAAAGCAGATTGTTTTTGTTTCCCTTCCACATGTCAGACTTCTGTTTTTTATTTGCTCCGGTCAAGCACATGTAGTTCACTAACCAGTTAGTCCAATCAGTTTTGAACAAGCCTGGGTGAACTTTAAAAAAATAACTGAATGGCAGTGAGTTGTCACCTGCGTTGAATATGTTTAATCCTCTCATATTTTTCACCTTAATGTGTTCTTCCTTGTTCTGCCATTTTTATTAAAACCTTTCTTGAAGAAACTTTGAAAACAGCTGGTTGACATGACTCAGGAAAAAGTGCAAAATCTGTGAAGTTGAGCTGTTTTCCTGCCGAATTTTATCCCACTTTGTTGTTCCAAGGTGTGTTATTGAAAGCTGTGTCAGACAAAGATGACGTAGAGACCAAGAAAACCATCGAAGACCATGACAGTATTGTCACCCAGTACAAAGAAATCATCAGGGAGCAGGTGAGAGGAATTATCACATTAAATCTATGTTGTACGCACCCATTAAGTGTGAAGTGATGTGTATGGTCCCCAAACTTAAAATATACCAGTTAGAAGTTGACTGGTGCTTGAAACAAATCTTGTCTTCTGACTTTTATTTAGAGTTCATTGTCTGAAGTGGGTACATGATCTGATGATTTGGAGGTTTCTGTGCACTGCAAAACCTTGGTTTGAAGTATCAACAATGTCTACGTACATGCTAAGTTTCACTTGGAATAGAATTTCACAGGCTTTCCAAAAGAACTGTGCACACGGCCCTGACAATTGCACCTTGTGGTACACACTTCAAACACCTGTTATCAGTTTATATCATGACACCTGCTTCAGTAGCTGTACTGTACTCTGTTGGGTTGGGTTTTTCGTCTAGGATGTCCAACTTGGGGAACTGAGGACAAAGTACTCAAGTCTTGAGAGGGAACACAAGAAAGCGGAGGCACTCCTGGGGGAGCAAGGACTACAGATTCAACAGCTCAAGGACCAGTACGCCCTGATCAAAGCACAGCACGGTAAACTCACCCTCTGCCATGTCGCTTCCGATTTCAAGAATGGGAGTAAGGAGAGATTGATGTATCAGTGGGGCCTAATTAGAAAGCCAAAAAGCTGGGATGGTGAAAATCTGTTGTGCACATGTGCACAAGTTTGACAATATGTAACTAAAGAGAATGAATTCGGGCGATTCACAATACAGCACATCACTAAGAGTTTGCCGCAGACAGGCCACTTCTTAAGTTAGTGGCGAACACGCTGTCGAGATTAAGCACTTTTCTGATGTGATTTGGGGATATCTGATTGATTGAGGCATTCACTGCACCACACAAAACCATCCTTTTGACTACCTAACACCCATTCGCAATAAGCGATTTTGAATAAGATTTGGAAAAAATTCAAGTTTTCCACGCACAGCACAGAATGAAACTGTGTTGACTATTTATCCCATAATGCACTGCAAAAATGCCTCTCCATGACAACCTCTTGGTGGCGCACTGCATTGTGAATCGCCTGTATTCATTCATGTCCCAGTTGAGGTTGCAATATTTACCATGATGCCATATCATGTAGGAGTCGTGTTAGTAAACACATTTGTGCTGTTGGATTACAAATCTGATTCATGACCGGTGTGTCATAGATCCTAATTTCCCACCAACAGGTGTACAGTCCGGTCAGGGTGATGTCAACAACTCCATCGACTCTGCAAGTCTGGCCTCGGGCTCAGACAGGGAAAGGGTAGCTCAGCTTGAGGCAGAGATTGCAGCCTTAAAGGAAGAGAAGGCAACGCTTAGTACGCAGGTCGAGGAGAAGAATGCTAGGATAGAAAAATTAGTATGTGTATGGTTTGTCGTTTTGTTTGGAACTAACAAGCGTGTCATGGTGTGAATAGTTCTTAATGGCTTAAACAAGTAATGAGGAAGCAGCCTTCATAATTAATTGATTATTAGGAAGGTTGTGTCAGCAAGACCTCTTATGAGATAGTTGCTGACCAGTGAAATGTAAGAGGTCCTCCTGTGCTCTCAATTATGCCGATCAAAGTCTTCATAAGATGACAGAATTGCAAACTCAGATCATGGAGTTAGCACAGTTTATTTTTCACCTCTTTCCCAGACCAATGATTTAACAATATCTGATGCCAAAGCCGTACTGTCCTCCAATGACATGGAGAACACGTCCTCAGATGAACTGAGGACACACCTTGAGGAGATGCAGAAGAAAAACGAAAAACTGAGAATGGCACTGGCGGACGCGACAGCCGAAATCGAGAAACAAAGTAAAATGGTTGAAGAGCTCTCAGAAAAAGAAGTGAGTCACGCTTACACAAATCAAATGACTCTAACCCACTCCCAGTGTGCATGTTGTGACAGGGTTCCATACTTACATCGATGTTTAAACTTGCTTGTCTTCAGTGACTTTAACTTCATAGCTTGTTTGGCCCTTGATTTTGTTTCCCTCAGTGTGTTCATCACACAGATCCACACGTTTATTGCAGTTATTGAAATTGCAAATTTGGTCCTAGGACATAACTATACTAACTGGAAATCTCGCTAAAATCCCCAAAGATCAGAACTTATGCTGATAAGAACTTTCCAACTTTCGTATGTGTGTTTTATATTAAGCCAATTTGATAACAAGCAATGGCAGTGATCAATCAGAAGTGATGCAATATTCTTCGAACTGTTCTTGCTCTTTGTTCATGCAGAGGTCATCAAGGGATATCTTCAGCAGAGAGATGTCAGATCTGGAATCAAGACTAGCACAGTCAGAATCAGGCCATGCCTCACTTGTTGCTGAGAATGAACAGTTACGATCCACCAACCAAATGCTGGAAGCCGGACACTTAGAAGCTCAAAACGCCTCGCAGAGAGCCAGCAGTGGAGATGCGGAGGCCATCAACCAGCTCAAGGAGGCTGTCAACCAGCTTCAGCAAGAAATGAAAGTTTTAGAGCAGGAGCGGGATTCAGTAAAGTTGGAACTGGAAGATGTGCGGAAGGAACAGGATGATGTCCTGGTACTTATGATGGAAACTGAGTCCAAAAAAGACAAGTACAAGGAGAAACTTAAAGAATTAGGCCAAACAGTAAGTGAAAATAGCAAAGAATGTCCACAAGCTATGTACATGTATTGATAGTGTGAAATCAATTTCATCAAGCATGGCACAGCTAGTGTTTGTGAAACAAATCAAGGACGAGGATGACCTTAACAATCAAGAAACCTTCTATGTATGACATCAAACATTCACAAATTGGTCGTTGAGCTTTTAGGCCAGATCTGTGTCTTGTTGAAGGATTTGCACTCAAGAAATTGTCACAGATAAAATGGCGTCTGATTTTATCTCTCTCAAAAAATTGTGCTCTGTGATATTGACACTGACTTGGTTTTTAACCCTCCCTTAAGCACCATGGATAAAAAAGGCATACTAGTTTTTGTATTTTTAAAATAACTTTTTTATTTTTGTTGAATTAAGCTGAAAATTTTTGTAATCCTTAAGCTACTAATCTGCTTTTAGACTGCCAAGTCCCTTTAACCTAGCCATAACATCTGTGGAGTAGGCCTGTTGAAAGACCAGTATTCCCAGGCTCCCCATATGACCTCTTGCAGTAAGTGCATCTCTTTGATGACAGACATGTGCCGCAAAGTCACAGCTGTTTGGGTTGTGACTGGTATTACCAGAGTTGCTGACTCCAGTCATGTGACTTGGACTCGAGTCTGACTTGAGACGCTTTTGTTACTTGTGACTTGACTTGGACTTGCAAAAAACGACTTGTAACTTGACTTGGACTTGCAAAAAATGACTTGTAACTTGACTTCGACTTGCAAAAAATGACTTGTTACCGGCCCAAGTCAGACGCTACTCGACCGGCTCCATGTAGTAACTCGTAACTTCGTAAGTTGATGCCTGGTTCTTTTTGCTGATTACAGCTGGACAAAATAATGTGCAGCTTGACTTGTACTTGGATAAAGAGATTTGTGACTTGACTTGTGCTTAGACCAAATGACTCGTGACTTGACTTGACATGCCCTGTAACCAAATGACTTGTGACTTGACTTGTGACTGGACTTAATGACTTATGACTTGACTTGGACTTGCATATAATGACTTGTGACTTGCAAAAAATGACTTGCTGCCACCTCAGGGTATTACTGTACTTTCACATCACCAAATGAATTGTAGGTAGAGAGGGGAGCTCATGTAGCAACCATAAAACAGTTATACGGGTTCATCGGGGCACCGAGCTACAGACATGACCGGGAAATGACCTGGATATGTTTCTTATCCACGTGGATAACTCGGTGTAATTTTGTTGGCTTCAGTGCTCACAAAATCTTCAGCTGACTAACGTGTTGACCCATTTCGCACCTTTCACACAATGATTCACATTCTTTTCTCTTTCCTTTGCCAGATTTCCGACGATGAACTTGGGGAGGAGGGTGAGGACTGGGAAGACGAAGAAGAAGATGAAAAAGAAGATAGCTGAGTTGCCTTGGAAACCAGCGATGTCAAAAGTTTTTAATGCAGAATCTGTAAAAGTGTCTAAATTTAATAGGATATATATATTTTGAGAAGGTCTTTCTGAACTGTGTTTTGTTTTTCTTTCATTTGGTGTCTAAAATGCCTTGGTTGCGACCCTGCAGAGGAAACTGTCTCGCTGTCATTTCCTCAGTCACAAAGCTGGCTGTAGTCAGCTCAAGAGCAGACTGTAACCATGGACCTCATGCAGAATGCTTTCAAACTCTCTACAGCATTTTTGACATGATGCTGAGCATCAAATAGCTCACGTTTTTTTCCATCAGAAGTCTTTTTCACCACTCACATAGAATGAAGCAGGCCATTTGTGGCATTAACAGCAGGCCAATGTGCCCAATTACACATGTATTGGAAGTGGGTTTCCTCAGCATTAGATCAAATCTCCAGAAGTGAACATTAAATGTTGCAGTTTTCCACGGTGATCGTTAATGGTGGAAATTGTGAATAATTTTTCATCGGCGCTGAAAGTTGCTGTAGTAGCTGTTCTGTCACTTGTATCATAATAGATCAGTATAAAGCGCGGCAGGTTTTCTATCTGCAGAAATAATCATTTTCCATGGGACGGGGCAAGATTGAGAGTAATTTTATGTATTGTTTATGCAATGAATTGTGGAATCTTTTCAATCTTTTAATTCACAACTGCCACCAATGACATTATAAAGAAATTATATGTTTGGAAGTCCTTGTTTTATTTGTATTTGTTTTTAATTGCTTTTTCTAGATTAGTTTGATGTAATTAGTGTCGTACGTGGTCTTGCCAGCTGTTGAATATTAATTGTTACGGACTACACGTTCACGGGATTTTTAGAGAGCTAGCATATCATGTAGTCCGTGTTCCACGGAGAGTATTGTATAATTATTCTTTATCACAATAGTGACAAGATGCTGTCTGTGTCCAGGAAAAAAACACAGGATTTGGTCGATTTGTTTGGCGCCTGTCCAAGTACGACTGAAAAAAAGCAGCCCTTCACATTGTGAAATCTTTTGTAGACTGTCATTCTCGGGTTTTTCTGATTTGCATTGAAAGCATTGTATAACACCCATGTGAAAACAGATGAGAGAATTTCTGTATGTAATGTAACCTCAGAACTTAGATACTCAGATACGCTATCCTAGGCCGTCTGTATAATGAAGCAAAGAACAGCTGTGCACGGTAATACCTAGTGGCTGCAATCTGGAAAAAGGTCTAGAATCCCATCCCCATGCTAGGAACATTTCTTTAAAATTTAATTGTAAATAAAATTCCAATCCACAGTGAGTAGACCGACTGCCTTGTGCCATCATTAAGTAAGTCATAGGAAGCTTAAGGGCCTCATTAGTAACTTGCCGGTAATATTTACGGGCCGTATCAATTGACGAGGCGGACAATATCATATGCAGCAAGGTATGAGACGGAGAGAACCCCCCCTGCTTTGTGTTGGTCATTGTCTCGCAGGAATCTGGGGAATTCCTTTCAGACGTCTTGGGGGGTGTGTTAAGTAACAATAGTCTGGAATGTGGGGGGGTACCCCTCGGTCTCATTTCTTGCTGGGTATACAATTTCGAACACGTGTCGGGGTAAGTGGGGTTTCCTATCAACTAAACGTATCCCATAGCCTAGTCCTCCATAATTATGATGCAAGGTATGGGGCGGAGAGAACACCCCCCCCACCTTTGTGTTGGTCATTGTTTGATCGGAATCTCGGGAATCCTTTACAGACATCTAGGGGGATGTGTTAGGTAACAATAGTGTGTATAGGGATTGGACTAGGGGGGTACCCATCGGCCCCATATCGTGCACGATATCTTGTCCTCTATAACCGAATTTGACTGTGCCCTACTCGTACATAATGCTCTTCTCGCCTTTCCTTTTCCGGCGGGTGTCAGCCAAAACCAGGTCGTGGAACCAATAATTTAGCCGAGACGTCAACGCCAGAAGAGGTTGTCCAAATAGTCATTATTCTGCTACATTGTTAATGATTTACCCAGTGTGTAAAGTTCATTGAATCTGGTCCTTCGGTTGTCGTGGGAGAATCGCTCATTTTTGCACGATCTAATAACGCAGTTGTACTGGTCGGATCCATCTTGGTCTTTCTGCGAGCTCGGTAAGCATTTCCTTTTAGTGTATTTTAAGTCGTTGATGAAAGTAATCAACGTGAATGGGGGGAAGGGCGGATTGGGGCGGGGACAAAAGTGCCACAATTTTGTCGAACGTACTATAATTTGGGTTCTGAGTTTAACGTTTATTGATTCTTAATCAGAAAAGGGCAATTTGTGTTGGTCTGTTGAATTTTTCTTTCAAAAGCATGTAAATAGCCCCCTCCGCCCATTTTTTAAAAACTTTGCTCCCCCTCCTCGAAAATGTTCTGGATCGGCTCTTGAAAGAAGGATGGTGACAGGAATTACTTTTTTGGACCAAGATAGGTGGACCCATATCACAAGCACAATACGAAAATTGGTTCATGCTGATCTCCCATATCATTTAACCCTCACAAAGGAACATTTTGTAAGTCGCCATGTACAGGATTTTTACATCTTGATTTCATGTTTGTGCCTATACCAGATGTTATCACTGTTTGTCTTGTTTGTGGTGGTGTTGGTGTTTAAGTTCTTGTTTTCTTCTCCAAAGATCTCTTCAGAAGGATATTGTCACCCCAAGTTCGGGCACGAAGGTTCACGGTTGCTCTCTCTTTTTAAATTCTTTGTCTTGTCATCTGACTTGTTTGTAAAATGATTGTCATACACTATTGATCCAGGACCCGTGCTCCATTCTGCATCCTAGGACATGTATAGGCCTATCCGTAGAAAGTGTTTCAGCATGGTATTTTTTAGAGATTTACGGCGATCAAATAGAATATAAAAAAATTGACACAATAACCAGAATCGGGTTAATATCACAAAACGATGGAATACTGAACATCTATAAAATCCATGACTACCTTTTTACATTTCAGCGAGGGAATTTTTTTCTGGAAATACTTAGGAAGTGTGAACGCTGCGTTCGTGTAAAATATTAATTGGGATCTCTCCAGGTAGAGCATGGATTTATCTCGGCAAGATGAGTCACCAGGCAAATGCGAACAATGCATCGTGTTTGCCTCCGCCATTTTGTTGCGTGTCATGCAAAGCCAGGATACGAAGCCGTGTTGACGCCCAGGTCAAAGATGGTTACCAATATTCTCTCTTTTTCCACAACTCGTTAATTATTGACACGTCAAGGCACCGGATAGTGTAGTAGTAATGTCATAAAACAAACATAGCGATCATACTGTTTTACAACGCTCCCAAAACATGTTATCTTGTACCCATTACACTTTGATTATTATTTGGGGGGGGGGGTATGGAAAACTGTCACCCTATCACCTCTGCCTTTAGACGTTGAGTGGAATTATCTATCCTTTTTTAAAAGTTTGTGTGGCGCAAATTTCGAATGCCAATACGGTGAATAACCATAAGTATGTCATTTAAACGTAACGGAAATGTTGGCCTAGCTCGATTTTGACTACCGACATAATTATAAATATTTTTCAGATGAGCCCAACGATCAAAACTGCCAAATTTGCATAGATTAATCAGACACTTGCAGAAAATGTCAAAGTTGGGATGTAGAAAACCCTATACATATATCTCTGCAGTTAGCATGGCTTTAACTGGATCGATCTGTCGTTGGTTTGTGGGGTCTTTTGTTTATGTTTATTTATTTTTTCCGAATCTTTTGTCTTGTACTTTCATTTCCTATTTGAATCTGACAACACAACCTATTTTAACCTGATAATTATTGTAACTGTTCTTTTCAGTTTGGCCAGTTTTTAGCTCTTTTCCAAGACTGAGTTTAAAGAACAGGCACTATGGCGCAAAGCCGGCCAGGGCCTTATGTTGCTCAAGGGCCTCTGTCTTCTGCAGCTCCTGTAGTAAGTTGGCTCTTTTTGACGATTTCCCTACAGCAGCAGTGACCCAGTTGAAAGAAAAATCATAAAGACGAACATTAGATCCCGCCGGCCGTGTTTTCCCGACTAAAGGCGCCTTTCCCTACGCACGTCAACATTTGGCCAATTCAAGTGTTGCGTGTCCGTAAAATCGCTCCCGGGGCGATTGTGACGGCCGAACGCAACACACACGTGTTATGTTAATGGAGTCGACTTTTGTGTCCGTGAAAGTCAAACGCATGAACGCATCTTGTACGCAACGCACCCAAAAACGTACATATAGAAAGGCGCCTCATTAATACAATACGATTGGAAAATTTTGGTATCTTGAAGACAAAGTATCTTTCTGATCGACGGTCGGAGCTTCTTGCGCGATATTTCAGTTTTGTCGTCCATTATGCCACAGGTGACGGTGCAGCATGTACAAGGCTCTGACCCCAGTGATGCGGCACCCACCAGTGCCAAGGACAGAGGCAACATCAAGGGACTCCGTGTGACCGGGATGATACAGATTGTCCTTGGTTTGAGCATCGTTTTCTTCGGTATTCTTCGCATAGTGCTCCATGTTCCGCTTTATTTTGTCGGCTCCCCTGTCTGGGGTGGGATACTGGTAAGATCAGTCGGACAAGAGGACAGTGGATTATTTTTAAAAGGGTTCGATGTCCTCAGTGGATGTTGCTATTTGATTTTGGGAAACTTTGAGTTATCTTGAGTCACTTTTCCAAAGACGATCAGTGATATCCATTTTGCATGCTCTGTTGCAGTTTGTCGTCTTACCTGGTCTCGTGGGAGTGGCAGCGGCGTGCAGAAGGGATCGATGCACGGTATGTTTTCAAGTGGAACCTTGTAGAGCGCACTGGCGTAACCGGGGGAGGGGTGCTCCCTGGGGGGGGAACTCTTGCTTCCCCCTTACCCCTCTCACTGGTAGAGCGGCGTCAACTTATCTACTCCTAGCCAGTTCAAGAGCAGCCGTGTCGCTTTGCAACAAAGACCTCCAGTTTGATTTTTTTCCATTTGACTTTCCATAGTTCTGCGTGCAGCAACTCTTTGCTCGCTAGCCAAAGTGTGTGTACTGTATTGATTTCACGAAAATTTGAGGCTGCCAACTTAAGTTTAGTAAGCACAAACAAGTACTGAGCTTTCGGGAGTTTTTCCATTAAGGGCATTGCACCAAAACTAGAAAAAATGTAACTCTTATGTTTTAAAAGAAATTCTTGAGCCGAGCAAGGAGTTTTAAAAATAAGAGGTAATTGTTAAGGGCAGAAACAACGGGTTGTAAGTTAAAGATTTTACGTATAAAGGACTAATGATAATTAAAGTTAATCCAAGCGTGCTGTTGGGACTTTAAATGTGTTGGAGGTGAGACGGCACAGTCCTAGTAATACGGGTTATCGTATGAACTTACTTCAGATCACTGCTTACATGGTGCTCGCCATCCTTGGGTCTCTTACGACCGTTGTTATCTTGACGTTTGCTGCCATATCTGCGTCATGGGATGGAGCTCGCCATTTTTGTCATCACAGCGCCATCCCACAGTACGAAACATGTCTGTCAAGTCAAGTAAGTGCTATACAGTAAAAGCTCATCCAACGACTGAGGCGTCATGAGGCACACCATAGAAAGCACACACTTCCGCATGCCTACGCGTGTAGCACCCTATCCGCGGAAGACACTGGGATGACTTACCAGGAGGCGCTTGGGGGCCTCGTTTTCTGGAGGGAGTGGAGGTGGATTGGGTCATCCCCCGATTATGAATCGATTATCGATTACGTTTCTTCTCTAATTTCTGGGGTACCTCTATAATTTCTGGCAGACGGGAAGCACAGGCCTAGCCTCGAGCGTTTGGAACGGTGCCCCATGCCCCCTAAGTAGCCACGGGCCAAACGAGCGTGCCTACGTACGAGCGTGATCCACGTCTGTAATGACTTCTAATTCGGGTGGCCCCAGAATTATTATGAGAGATTTTATGGACAATTAGGCGCGAGTTCGCATGGCTCACAATGATCAGACCCCATTGTTTGAAAGCATTTTTGTCACGGAAATTGATTTCCCCCCGGTTTTATAAGGAATTCAGGGATTTCTTAAATAGTACTTGTGTGCAAAGGTTATCATCGATATTCGTGCCCCTTCAACCAATCAGATTGCCTCTCTGTAAATAGTGTAGCTTTCGTTCAAAAGCAAACCAAAAATTGCTTTTGCTCTGCCAGATTTCTTTTCTGGTGATCGCTACTGATACTAAAGGCATCATTATGTTGGAATTTTTCTTCTCACTTTCTGAAAGTAAATTCTTATTAACTAGTTTTATCCCACTCCGCCCACCCACAAAATTTTATCTGATTTCTTTTTATTCATTAAAGGGTGCACGGGTCACTGTCAATGTCTTTGTGTGTCTGTTGGCTGGCGTTGATGGCGTGGTTGCAATAGTTGGGGCAGCAATGAGCTGCGGTGCCTTGTGTTGTTCCTCCGGCGAGTCTCAAACCGACACCGTGGTAAGCGTAGCGGCGTGGCTGTCAGGTGGTACGGGAGGGGGGCTGCCTTCATCCCAGAGGTAGGGCACAACCTCCTCTTTAGTACCTGCCCTTGGCGTGTGCGTAAAACATAATTTTAAGGGGAGAACCATGTTGATGGAGTACGTGGCCCTGTGCCTCCCTATATAATCATTTGAAAAACCCTTTATAAGCCCGAGGATTAGTGTAAATCACACGAGGTTCTATTGGATTTGACAGGGTTAGCGTGAAGAAGTAAATAATGTCAAAAGGCTCAGTACATAGTCAAGTCTGCGCAGTTTTAACTTTGGGTTATACCTCTGTAATTGGCTCAGAGTTCTTCCAGTGTTACTTAAAGAATTTGAGATGGAACAAGCTTTCTGCAAACGATTACACGCTACTCAAAAAGTTAAGGACCACTTTTTCTGAACTTGTAATTTTTTCCAAGCAATGAGTGGGGTCTAAATTCTTTCTTTTTTTGTTTTTATAGATGTTCTCATTAGAATAAAAAATTTAAGAATGTTTCAAAACATCAAATGCACATTTTCAGCAGTAAAATACCTCATATAAAAAATTCTACACAAAATAAAAAGTGGTCCGTAACTTTTGGAGTAGTGTGTGAACAGTAGGACTAAATAACAAAAGCACCACCTAGCTGTAAAAACGTTATTGTTCGTGTTCTCCGTTGTCATATTGTTCTATTGTTAGATGGACTCCAAGTACATTTTATCTCAATAAAAATTATGTCGGAACCAAGACAACAGTTTTATGGTACATCATCTGACCTACAGCCCGACTAGACTGTGCGAGATTGACAGCGGGATGGCTCTTAAATCCAAAATGACTAGGCAGAGCCATATTCATGGATAAATACGGCCGTGTCCCAGTAGTGCGCCTCCAAGCGTTTGCAACGCGTTAGCCAATCACTGTGCGCGAAATCTGTCGGTCGAAAGTGCGTTTAGAAAGGGTCGACAGATTTTACGCACTGTGATGTGACGTCAACGCGCTGCAAACTCTTGGAGGAGCACCTTTGTGAATCGGCCGTAATAGATACATTCCAAACTCTTCAGGTTTACTACACTGGACCACAGATGGCTGCTCCGCAACCTGGCAACTTGGCTTCCGCGGGCCAGCCACCACAGTACGGTAAGCTGAACACCGGTGCTGACTCAGAAGCTCGTGATTAGGCCTAGCACCTTGAACTTGTTGTCAAAATCAGTTACTTCCAACATTTCCCCGCTGGGTTGTCAAATGATAAGTAAGCTGGGACGAGTTGAAATAACAACAGAGGAAATGTTTTCACAGTTCGTTCAGATAACGCCTGAATAAACCTATGCATCCTGACGTCACGCGTTTGTTTACAAGTCATGTTCTCTTCTGTGGTAGCGGGGGGGACGAGATCCGTGGGAAAGCGCACCAAAGAAACAAGAATGGCGCCATTGGGTGCGTTCGATTAGCTTACTCGTGTAAGTCAAACTTACACGAGAGCGTCCGTTTAGCCATCACGTGATCGTGCCTGCCCTGGTGTATTAGCCACTATACTACCCCGGCTGGCGAGCGGGTCTCTGGAGGCTGCCCGAGTGTAATGACGTCACGGATGGACTGTTCGTGCATGGTCGTACTGTACATGATGGAACGTGGCGGGGACTTGACCTTTTTCCCAGAATGCCTTGGCGAGTACACTGCAGCCTTCGATTACCCTCATTTCGAGGCTTCCCTTGCGTGTAACCGCACTGCTGTATTCGGGGAAGCTAATCGAACGCACCCAAAATGTTTCATGTCGATTGGTGAAAGACTAGACAACTTGTTCACAGTGTCTTCTAGTGAATGGCAGCAGCATTGCCCGTCTGTCAGGAAGTGTGGCAAATTCGAAACGTTTTGAAAGTGCTCATTTCACTGAGAGTATAACCTAGCGAGATGCCAGATAGTTCCTTATGTTTAAGAGAAGTGGAAAGTTGCACAGAACAAGTTCCCAATTCAACATTCACATCAGAGGACCCTTAAAATCGACCTTTAACGGTTACAGCTGCCGGAAAATTTAAGAAAACAATAGGCATGAGCCTATATGGTTGTGGCTGCAGTCGCTTCCAATAGAGTTGTATGAAATTTCACTGGCAGTCCACAGCTAAGTAATTCTTGCCAAAGACCAATATCTTTTCTTTTGACAGAGGTTGCGCTTCAGGATCCAATGGTGAAGGCCCAAGGAGCCGCAGCCGCACCTCCAATAGAGACCAAAGATGCGTATAAACATGAATTTGAACAGCTGTATCCTCTGCCAGTCAAATCGGCTTATCCGGAAGACCGGATTCCTGATACAGCCATTTAAGAGAACGGTCGCCTGCAAAGCACAAGCCGGCTGGCCATCTCCTTTGTTCCTCAGAATCCTGAGGTCGAGGTGGGCGTGATTGGAATGCTGACATTGGCATGCATGCAAAAATTAAGGCCTGGCAGATTACTTCCCTCATATCGCCAAGTTCCCGCTTTTTCCTCTTCAACGAAGAGAAACGATTTTTTTAAATCTATGTATTATGATTTTGGAGATATTTGGGTTTGTCTGGAGGGTCATTTCAAATATAACCTAATGAAATTTTGATTTTTTTCAAATCCTGCACTGAGTATAGGCCATCACCTTTTAATATTACACTATGAAACTTTGTGCCTCATGTAAACTGCTAGCCCCCCCTTTTTTAGAGTGGTCGGTTACTTAATTATTGTACATACCTTGCCGAAATCTGTCTTGAGGTGAAATTACGTTCGACATAATGCCGACCAGCTGAGTAAGGAGCTGTAGCTTAGTAATTTAGCATCAAGTGCCAGTATTATCTGCGGATTATTATGATTATTGATACTGTAACTTAGTAATGTGACTGTCGTTACTAATCATTATGGACACGCGTGCACGTTAACTGTGGTTATGATCGATAAAGGCAAACCATGCTGCTTGTGCTTGCATTTACATGTTCGAACACGCGATATCTTTTCTGTTGGATGTCATAAAAAATCTGATTGTTCGTTAAAGTGTTTTTTTAGTGGCCGATGTCACATCAATCGAATATCTCACACTGAGCATTGTCAGAAATTGTTTTAATTTCTCCTTTAAACGCATGTCGTGTTCCTTATCTCGTTTCTTCATAGACTCGTAGCTTAACACTTTTGTTACATTCCTTCGCTTGCTTGACTAAATCGTACGGACACAAGGTCTCGTTTCTTCGCCATGTCTATTCGAGCTACAGTGGTGGAAACATACATTGTGACTAGAACATGCAGCAGGTAGACATTGCAAAGGAGTGAGCACGAGTTTACGAGCCAGTTCGGTATTCAAAACACCAAGGTCATTCGGGGACAAAGTGCGCACGTGGGTCCTCGTAGGGCCGCGCTGATAGGGTAGACCTCGCACGCGCGTTCGAATGACCTCGGATGCGATTCGAATTTTAGGATGCGCTGTTGGCTCATTGTCCAGCTGCGTGTGCGCAGCGGATGGGGCTAACTTGATCCGTCTATTTGTGTATAGATCAGTGGTCTATAAATTGCCACGTTTATCAAGTCAAAAAGCCAATGACCTATTCTTCGACGCAACGAGGCCTCCGATCGAGTCCTTATCTGTGTAAATAAGCCAAATTTACTCTGGATATCGCGCGCAACTATTTGTGTAAGCTGCTGTCTCTCGATATCGTGGTGCTGCTCTCGAGGTGTCCGTGACCCCATCCGACTACACTACCCTACCTTTTGATCCCCTCATTATATGACAGGGATGCGTTGCAACAAAATCTGTCCGAGTATCCGCCTTGCCGCCCTCTATAGACGAAACACGTCGTTGGTGTCGGTGTAGCACGATTAGAGGCTTTTGCCTACTAGCAACGTACGTCTTGTCAGCTTTGGTTTTGTCAGAACCCCCAGTCAGGGGCATTGAGTTTCAATCTCGAACTTCTATGCCGACTTCCGCCCGATACAAGAAAATAATTATGTACGTGTTGTGCGCTGGTGGAGACTATGGCGGGGCCCCCGGCCTACTTTAGATGCAGAATGCACCTGTTTCCCGCCACCGGGCGTGCGCGTGAGGAAATCCTGATGATTCGACTAACATCCTGCACGCACAAGCTTTCGGAATGATATGAACATGGTCTCAAACAGCAACATGTTGGTGTTCATGCTTTTCATTTTAGAAAATACATCCATCGTTCCCCAACCTTGGCCCCCTATATAGCTGAGACTTAGCCTCATGCCTCCCCCCCAAAAAAAGAACACCCGTGTGTATAGTGCTCACTACGACGCACTGCAAATTGCAGACGGAATGGCTACAAATCAAGATTGAGCTGTTACCGCAACTTAACATGCACCATTCCACTTAACATGCACCTGCCGTGCGTGGGGAGAGAAGTCCCTGGATAAACGGCAGCGTCAGCAAATAGTTCAAAGTGTCAACACTGACATCATGGCATATGATACGAGTTGTTCACTAAAGTTACAACGTACGGGCGATTCACAATAGTACGCTTCCAAGAATTTGAAACGCGTTGGCCAATCAGAACGCTCGAAACCTGTCGACCCTTTCCAAACGCGCATTGGGTCGACAAAGTTAGCGCACCGTGATTGGTCAGCGTGTTGCAACCTCTTGGAGGCGCGCGTGAAACGCACATATTGAACGTTGCAATATTATATATTATGTTGCTTCTTGGGCTGTCGGCACTCCTGCGCACTCTTCTAATCATACTGAACTGTATATCAGAAACTTTAAAATGCAGCCTCAAAGTCTGGGCCTTTTACCCTCTCCCGTGGCCGGAGGATATTTCAAAAATGGAGAACCCTACTCGGGCATAAACATTATTGCTTCGAACCTTTTAATCTTCGAAGCTTACCATGGGATTTGCTATATAAGACTTCTAATCTTGTCCAGGTTTCTTAATTTTCCGAAAAACGAAGATACACTTTTCATTTTACATCTTGAACTACTTAGCTCTGGTGAAGCCGAACATCTGTTTCGGGGTGGATGTACATTTCGGTCCGAGGCCCCCCCCCCGACAATTCCTGCGTGCACCAAGTTGACACAGCTGATTCGTTCATCTGACACCGTGATGAACAGTTTTAGCTCTGTCAGCTGAATTCGGCTCTGGGTGCCCTGTCCCAAGTCAAATTCTCCGCCAGACGGAGGCACTTAAAAAGTACCGTACAGATTCTTTCGAATAGAGGGGTCTGTGTGAGCCAAGAAATTGTGAGATTGTGTAAGTATATGGCCCAGGATGAACTCCCTATAGACTTAGACGCTTCCATCCGAGGGCAAAGCAGACAAATATGGTATTGAAAAATTGTCCCAAGAGCCTGAGAAAGTGGAGGGATGTCGTTTGAAAAATGGCTACTTAGAGACATGGGAACGTTCACATTTGGAGGGTGAGTGTGTTCCTGGGTTCAACCTACTAAAATTTGAAAATCGATTGAAATTTGAACGACCCGACAACCCCTGACAACACACTGTTTTTTAGTTGAGAGGCCTCAGGGATTTCAGTTGCCCGCAACGGGGCTCCCACTTTGTTGAAGTTTTACGTCGTTTTCAATCTGGCTTGAATTAGTGCAGTGCAACCTAGCCCTCTGCTGACTAGTTTCGTCTGACTGAGCTTCGGGTGAGCATAATGTCACGTTGTTTACCATGTGAGCGGCTGACAGGTGGATAGTGTGTTTGGACCAGCGACATATACAGACGGAAGCGCTATCGCTCTGATTGGTCATTTATACACTGTAGCCGACAGAGTACAGTGAATAAATTCTGCGAGTGCGAGAACATGTCACGGTCACGGTAAGTTGAGAGAAGCTTATAATTTGTACAGATGTGTCCCATTAATAGCATTGTCGGGAACTGACAAAGTATACAAGTACATGTATACATGTACCGTACACTTCTGAGTTGCTTAATTAAGTTAAAATCCGCGCAGATTAAATAGGATGGAGAGCCGAGACATGGAATCTGCTTCCGCATAAAATAAGTACTCTTGGATTTGGACATGATGACGTGTCCTGACGGCCTAACAGTACTTGTTTAACAATCGTCAAAGTATGAGTTTGTGTCTCATTTTTAGGTGACTCAAATTGTATCTTTCTTTCTTGATAATCAGCATTACCTTGACAAAAACGTAAATCAAACTTTGCGGACCTTAACTTTAACCGTACTTGTTTAGGCTTTTTTGATGATTATTGATGTTCCGATTCACAGGGTTCAAAACATCATGTGTGCATGTACTGTGTAGGGCCTACTACGTCTTATGCAGGACACAAAATAAGACGTTTTCAACGGCCATGATTTTACTATTGATGATGATGGTCCAAGCGCGGCGATTCTCCGTCCGACCAGGCAGCCATCAACAAAACATCGTCTTTTTTAAAACCGACACTGGTTCAAGAGCTACTGCGAAACCTGGAGATTATTCTTTACCATATACAACCACTCTTACTTTGCCTACAACTAGTTGGCCAAAGTTGGCAGAAATTATCAGCTTTTTGTTGGTTATCGATTTGGCCTCAAAATCGTTCAAATGGACATCTCATTGATTTTATACTCACCGCATAGACGCGCCATGAGCGTTTGACGCGTTTGATGCGGAGTACGCCGAGTAGGCGTAACTAATTTACTTCCGCATGTATGGTCTTTGCGTACAAGCAGAACGCGTGCAAGAGCCCGCTTATAACCACCTATCTTTCTTCCGAGGATTGCAGTGGGAGTGCACTTCAGCTCGGGGTGGATACGATCTTTGGTTAAAAGAGCAACTTAACGTTCAGCACGCGTTAATAAGGCGCCTTTCCATAATAATTTTTGTGTGTATGTGATGCGTTCATGTGCTTTCCACTTTCACAGACACAGAAATCGACTGCATTAAAACATAACACGCGTGTGCCGTTTGGCCGTGCGAAACGTTTGGTGCAAGTGTTGACGCGCATGTGGAAAGGCGCCCTAAGGCAGACTCCATGCGGGGCCACTGTCCGCCAACTACATCAAAGTAACGACCGACATTCCTGCACGTCAGGACTCTAATATGCCCTTTACCCCTTGTTGTTCAATAAAGTAGCTGTAAGTCCGGCATTCATCAATTGTGACAGAGGCTCTCTAGTTTTATTGTATTCAAATTACAAAGCCCATGTTTTTGACTGCTAGGTTCCTCGTACGAGGGCCAAGATAGATAAGAGGAGGTGTTTTTCCGGTACCACTTATGTAAGAGGCACAGAATACCTGTCCGAAATTTCCCCTTGAAAACACCCTTAAGGAAACTTGTAGTGCATAATATGTGCAATAATTTACTTGAAGCATTTAAATTTTAAGTTTAACTTACCTCGAAACTGGCATCGTAATGAGGGATATAGAGTACCGAAGTGTAAACGTCACGCGCACAATTAGTGTGTAAAAGGCATTAGCGCGAGAATCAGCGCGTGAACCAATACGCGCGCGTACTCCATTCGTTTGCACTGCACTTTCTGGTTCACAGTGACGTCACACTTCGGTACTCTAGAGTATCGAAGTGAATATGTCACGCGTACAATTAGTGTGTAAAAGGCATTTGCGCGAGAATCAGCGCGTGAACCAATACGCGCGCGCACTCCATTCGTTTGCACTGCACTTTCTGGTTCACAGTGACGTCAGACTTCGGTACTCTATTGCACAATAGCATTGCAGTTTCTTCATTGTAAACAATTGCGTCATGAAAATGAACAAACTGGGTTATCGAGCCAAATCAAGAAGATTATGGCGCAAAAAACTGTTAGACGAGGACTCTGGAACGCTTAAGTTGAGTATTTTATGCAATAATCACACTAATTGCGATGCAAGTACACAGATAAAGGGAAAATAAACCAAGTGCTCTCCAGTATTGTTGAATACGTTCAACAGAATTGTTACACGATGCTTCCAGCAGCACCTAGACATGGACCGCAGATGTGATGCCGTCAGAAATTCACTGTTCCATTTTATTCAAATCCAACCATTTTGGCACGATCCCAAGAGTCCATTAATGGGATTTAAACAGTAGACACGGGGCGTGACGCGTACGGTCGCTGGATCATGGCTGGTCGATCTCAACCTCTGATCATAGAACAAGAACTGACTCATCGTTATTTAGTGCAAGGGCGTGGTAGGGATTGTTTTCCGGGAGCAAAGCACTTTTTCCGGGAGGAGAGGGTAAGCCCACTTTGCCTGCCCCTATAGCGACACCCATATCATAGAAGATCGCCACGCCCATGTCAGCAAGGGTCTCAATACAGTGATGTTCACGATACGCGGAGGGTCTCTGTGTTAGTCAGTAATCAGCAGACTGGTTTTGTTTCAGCATAGTCATCACCACTGCTTCAAAATCATGATGAAGTGATTAATGAAATTGCGGTTCTTTTTAATAACTGCAATGAAATTACCACTAGATCTAATTACAATCAAAGTTAGGAGTGGTGTCCGGTAGATGAATGAGACCGTTACACCAGCCGCAGCTGCCAGCGGTTAATGCAAACCTCAAGGCAGATGATATCTTGTACATATAGATTACTTCTCCCCATCCATCATACTTCATCTCTCCATCCTTGACAGAGCAGAGGCAAATATATGGAGACTTTTGAGGACTCTATACTACGTATACTACGACCTAGGCCGTCAATGATAGGGTATTTGATGTGGATATTGTACACATTGCAGGGTTGCGTGAGAAGGACTACGTTTGTATAATGACGGGGTTATCTGTTGTGACCCCATCTGTATAGCTTTACAGATGGTTTGGGTTCACAGTGCGATTGTTCTTGGTAATGCTCGCTTTCAGAATCCCGACTTTCCACTGAAAAACCATATTAAACGCACACAAATGATCTTAATTTTGCTCTTGTAGTTCAAGCACACAAAGCCTTATCGAGACCTCATGTAAATGTACATGTCATAAACGGGTGGAAAGCTTATCAGTTTGAAGTCCACTTAGTATATCGCAAGGTGCTTTTTACTCTTCCTAGATTTGCTGGTAGGTTTGTCCGGTAAGAGCTATACATCTCAGTCTGCTATCAAAAACAATTGAATGTGTTTCTAATCCAGCGACCAGTACCATGTTGCCGTGGTACAGGTAGGTGCGCAGACCAGGTGCGCACGCTCTTAGGCCTTTCTTTGTAGTTGTTGCAAAACACCTTTCGCCCAGCGGAGTGGTACGCACAGGCTCGTTCAGTTTATAGGGGAAGTGTGGGCATCACGGTATGTTTCGATATGCCGTGAGCCGGGGTGTTTTATACGAAGGAAATGTTTACTTTCTACGATGACGAGCTCTTTTAAAGGCGTGTTCAGCTTAACGATTAGTGTTCAAACTTTTTCACCAGAATTTGGAGTTAAGCAAGCAGCGTAATAGCCTTTCAGGTGAGTTACTGTCTGCATGAGTTCCGGCAGAGCTTGGAGATGCGTCATCTGCAGATCACCCTGTAGTGGAGGTAAGTTCAGTTCTAAAAATGTATACAAGCCACGTCCAATTACAGTCTTGTCCTTTATCACTTATCGGTATTCGCATGTCTGTCTTCAACACTTCAGTGTGATCGAGTAATGTGGCAGACGAAACTCCCAATTTTTAATCGACAGGAGCAGAGCAGAGCATAAACTACGAACCATATTTTTTCAGTGAGCATTTTATCAAATCATGAAGAACATTTCGTGGCAATACAAAGACAATCATTTTAATATGGCTGTCATGAAGAACATCGCTCTTAGAAATTTACAAGCCCGTGAATTCCCGTTGCTAGGAGAATAAACCACAGCTCAGCAGTAGGACTTCTGGATTTTCAAGAATGTGATTAAAATGGAACCCCACTGTAATTATAGACGATTGTCTGAGCTGGCTTGAGAACTAACACACAGATTTCTGTAAAGTTTTGCACTAAATTGAACTTGTTATATCTTGATCAAGAAGACGGTTTTATCAAACAAACATCATTAGAGAGATTTTCAACCACCAGAAGCAAAAAGGAACAACAAGAACAGAAACAACATGATCAGCTACGTGAATGAATTTTTTATTTCTCTTTTCATTCAGCATTTGGATTTTACCATTCCAGCGACATCTAAACACCACCGCGATGAACCAAGGTACGCCACGAGGACGTGACCCACAGAACCCTCATAGGGGGCGTGGCTGCGGCCGACTGAGGGTCACTCGGTGGGGGCGTGTGGTCGTCATCGCCTCGTTCCTTACTTTCCTGCTGCACGACGGCGTCCTGGGAACGTTTGGCGCGTTCATACCGCTCCTGCAGATGGAATTTCAAGAAGGATCGGGGCAATTAGGATGGGTGGTCAGCTCAGGCGTCGCCGTGGAGAATTTTTCAGGTAGGTACTATGTCTGCCCTCCAGCGCCATTCAGTCCACACAATCCGAATCTTTGCTAAAGAGAGAAATCGTAGTTACCTTTTTGAAGAACCACAGGTGGAGTTAACCACTCGACCTCTGAGCGTTGAATCGACGGGCAATTGTTGCGTATCAAAGTTCCAGTCATAAACAACCCCTCCTCGCCTCTTTCGATTTTCCAGTTACTGCATGTTCACTCGGATTTGTTTCGATTATCATCCCAAACCTTTTCCCTCAATGGCCAGTGGGCCTACATGTAGTTTAGGATGTCTGCATATCCGTAAGGTCCCCGTCATTGCCGACTTGGAAGCATTGGGCATTAATTGAGTCCCTAAATCATGGCTACAGCTGGCAATGTCATGGAAGCCGCCAGTCAATGACTGAATCTATCCAGGCACATGTTAGGTTATGGCTGCGGCTGGAAACGGTACATTGTGCCTTTGATACGTGAAAGTCAGTGCGGAAGCCAGGCCGTTTCTGGAGACGTAGACTCAGAGATGGCCTTACTATCAGCCAGGACTTCCAAACGCTAGCCTCGCTGTCAGATTTGGCAGGGACCGGGAGGGATTCGAAGTATGAAACCTTGACTTCGCTTTCATTGAAAGTGTGTCTTGTTTTCTTCTGTAGGGCCAATGGGCAACATAGTAGTGAAAAGGATCGGATGTCGTCGAGCCATCATGCTTGGTGGCGCTCTCCTGGCTTGTGGCACTGCCATCGCCTCCTTCGCTTCCTCTGTCTACCATCTCTTTGCTTGCCTCGGCTTGGTCGCAGGTAGACTACTTATCATTGTACATTATAATCGTGCCATCCTCGTCAACAAGCGTGAATCATTTTTCCTAGGTATACTAAGTCTTGTTGCAAACAACTCTAAATTGGCAGTGAAAACCCTTTGATAAACTTCTTTACTTCTAACATGTCCTTCTCATAACTTTTACGCATGCAGTATTGGTGTTTGAACTTACTAGATCATTGAGGAAGGAAACTTCCATATAAGATGATTTTGGAGATAATAATTGAGAATGGATAGTCTTGTATAATGCAAGCTGTAACTAAGAAGTGGTAATCAAGTTACCTAACTGCCACGCCAGAAACTGAACTGATGTTAAGGAGCTAGGTACGGGAAGAACCACTCTACCTTGCTGTTGATTCAGTTGCGAAGAAACCTTCAATTGTGAGCGAATTTTAATCCAGATATTTATCACTGGATTGATCCGAGGCTGATCGTTATGTTGCAGGTCTTGGGGGATCGATTATTCATGTATCGATTGTGGTAGCAGTTGGGGAGTTCTACAATAAACACTACACGGTGGCCAACGGTATCGCTTACGCGGGGCCAGGCGCAGGGGTATTCGCCTTTCCGCCGCTGATCGAGTATCTGAACGAGAATTACGGCTGGAGGGGGAGCCTACTCATTGAAGCCGCCATTGTGGCTAACGTCGTGATGATGGGGGCGCTCTTCCGACCAGCTGCCTGGTTTAAATCCCGTCTACGGATTCAAAATGACTTTAAAGATGACGATGCCGTTAGGAGGCTCGATGATGGGCAGCTTGCTACTGATCAGGATGGTAAGGGCATTGGTGGCTCTGGAGAGGACAAGTCATCTGACAGCGAGATCTCTGAATTTTCCTCTGAAATTGAAGACTCCAGAAAGATCTCAGCTATCCAGGTTGGGAATGATGGAGGGTGTACTTCAAAGTCTTCAAGGAGAACATCCCGTCGGAAATCCATACTCACGCAGACCAACACCCCAGCCATGCTTGCCATGTTCGTCGCCTGCGTGTTCCACACAGCTGGCTACTCGGGAGTCTCCGTCCATGTCGTCAACCAGGCTGTGTCGTCTGGTATGACGACCCAGCAAGCCTCCTTCCTGCTGTCCTGCGTCGGCATCGGCAGTCTGGTGGGCAGGTTAACCCATGGCTGGTTCCTGACTCGAAAGTACATCACACCGTCTTGGATGTACTCCCTGACCCTCGTGGTCTCATTGGCCGCCACGATAACTCTCCCCCTAACGACCACGTTCAGAGGGAAGATACCCTCAGCCACGGCCGTTGGCTTCTGCAGTGGCGTTTACTTTTCACTGGTTGCCGTCATTTTGCGAGAGCTTGTGGGGATACGCTACCTCGGTGTTGCCTTCGGAATCTCTCTATTCTGTTCAGGCGTCGGGACAACACTAGGAGGCTATGTCATCGGTAAGTCGCTGGCATCAGTACTCTCAATTTGTGAACAAGGTTAAGTTTGGTTTTTATAAGAAATATAATTTTAATATTCCAAGAAAAGAATTGACCATTGATGAACACACCATATCATTTTTCTTCTTATATCTGTACAGAAATATGAAGAGCGCTGGTTTATGGGACATGTCACTTTTCTTGGTGCATTGACTTAATTGGTTCATGTTCGTTTGCAGGTGTTTTGAAAGATGTGACAGGTAATTACCGCATACCTTACTACTTGATAAGCGTCTTCTTTGCCGTGGCGACCAGCTTCTCTTTACCGCGGCCAGTCATCCAGTCGTACCGTGCCCGCAGTAATCGCCGCTTGGGCTTTAGGCCAACCTCTGTGTGATCTCGTCCGACTACTAATCACACCAAAGTTCCAACAGGAAATTTTTTTGGGGAACGTTGGGAACACTGCGTGTTCTTTTTTGAAAACTGGCTCGCTTCTGTTTGAACCTTTTCAGCGATACCGCATGCTGAAATATTGACAGATATTAATTCCGGTATATGCAATTTGTTTTTGGTAACAGTCAGAAGTTATAAACCAGCCTAGTTAATTTTCATGTGTAAACTTTATTTCATCAACAAATTGTAAATATGCCTCTAGTCAATTTTGAATTTGAGTGACATTTTTAAGCTACATGTATAACATTCCATTTTATTCATATGCAGTGTATTATTTTGATCTCGCACACATTTAGTGATACTCATATGAATTCTTGGGTTCCGCCAGCAAGACCTTAATTATAGAATCGCCTGTATTTTGACCAAAAAGTTTGAATATTATCAACCAATCCTCAGGGAGTTCCTTTAGCTTCCTCAAAAACAATGCACTTTCAAACTCCCCCAACACCTGTACCGGACCATCAACGGACTGCATCTTAGTCCATCTACTCAACGCATAATGCACGAACTACGTTCCATCCACCTTGAGCAGAGGGACCCCCTCATCGGCTGAAAAGAGTCATGTTGGTGGGGAGTGTGAACTTTGTTGGTTGCACGTGCATTTCATAGTCTGTTGTGAACCAGTGAAGTGGAGTTCCCACCAAAGACGCCCCGTTACAAAGAAATTTGCGCCCTCTCTTGCTCCTCTTTTAAAATTAAATGCTGAGGAATTTGTCCTTATCGGAGGCAATTTGATATTTTTTTTCGGCCTCGTGGATGGGTGAGCTGTAATATAAGAAGAGGCCATGTGCCGATGTGGTAATTATGCGACCATGTTTATCAACGCAGAGTGCCTAAAGTGTAAAAATGTCAATATTTGTTAATTTCAGAAATGTGTGAAGTTACATTCTCCATAGCATCGTCAATCGACGCCTTCTGTTGCCTGGTGCATTATATTACCCGCTGTCAGGTTTCATAATAATAATTTCCATTAGCATTTTCGTATATTTTACGTATGGTATTTTGATACCACTATACGTCTGAATTAATTCCCCTCAGTTCACTGATGGGTCGTTGGTCACATGTCGTTGAATTGTTTTGTCCAAACAATACTGACTCGTTTTGTCCACAAAAATAGGCCTGCTGTTCTACGGTAAATGAAAGTTCCGTCACAATGCTACATCAATGACGATATAACGCGGCTAAAGAAAATAAATTTTCGAAAATTTGTAACGGTCTTGAATGTGAACATGCACATACTAAAGCCCAGTTCATTGCTCTATTAAGCGCCGTCAAGTCATCATAAATGGTTTTCCTCGAGGTATAAGCTTACTGTTAAAATTTACACGGAAGGATCCCTGTGTTCCTTGCTCTATGCAATAAGTTCCCTGGATTGCTAATAAGGGATAACCTTATTGAGAAGGGAGCTTTAGCCCTGCTTAAGATCGACTCCGGTTGAGTTTGTTTTGCATATGCATGGTCATCGAAAGGTACGGCATTACGTAATGCAGCGCTCGTTTACAAAAAAAAAATCATGCATTAGCATTGTTGTGGCATGTCCATGACGTCTTTAGCAAAGTGCACCTGTGGCGGATTTAAAACTAAATGCGTAAGATGCACGAAGGATGGATCTTCGATTTTGTTTTTCTCACAAAACTTATTTTCAGTTAAATTTTATTGTTGACAAACATTCAGTATTTTGACATTTTAATTTATTTTGCTGACAGAGAGGGTCTGAAGCCTCTGAAATTCAACGTTAATTAGAAATCGTACACATGGAAGAATGATATATGTTGTTTGTTGAATCGATTTTGATTGTTATAAATTTATTTCTGTCTGCCTTTTTAATGTTTGAAGCTCCTTCTTTTAGAAGTCTTCTTGAAAATAAAGTGCGCATGTGCGCTTGTAATGAATATTGTCTCAAGGACGTACGTGCCCAGTTCTTCGAACCATGTTCGATTAGTGTCAGCTGGTGTAAATTACCGCTGGGTTTTGCCTTTGACACTCATTAACTGTGTTTTTGTTTCACATTGTATTCATGCTGGCGTTGGATATATTGTCTCGGAATCTGGAGACACTGCTGTTGCTATTGTAAATACGGTAGACCTGGTCAATAAACGCGCCATTCAGCTCTGTGCAGTTTCCGAGTATGTGGTCTGCTGTGATCTGATCTGACCATCTGATCATGAGCTCCATGATACGTGTATAAAAAAAGAGCACTAGAGGTATCTGACATCCTGAGCTCAAGGACAAAGGGCTTTGTATATGTAGCGATATTGCGCGTTTTGGCCCTGGTTCAGGTGCGGCACTGAACAATGGGACTCGATGTTGGCGGAGTGTTATCATGACTGTACTACAATCGCCCGACGTCCCTGCAGGCCTGGGATCAGGGCACCTATAGGGGATATTCGGACATCGCGGCCCGCTGCAAATTCTCTAGATCAGTCCGACCACCAGCTTGTACCTTGGATTTACGTGTTGATAATTGAGTTGGTGTTATACAGCCTACAGGTAGGTTGATTCGGCAATAAAACAGCTGGTTAGGATGATCTGTTGACTAGTACCAGAACTAGGCATTGTCATAATACACGATGGCATATCAACAAATACCACGGACCATGCATGGACTTGGGCCATGGTTGTTTCGGCCACGGGGATTTCACCCTGGTTTCACTAACAACATCATTAAAAATCACAAATTTGGAATGGTTGGCCACGTCATCGATCACCAATTAGCCAATATTACAGCATGGAGGAAGAAAAAATAGTTGGAAGTAGTTTGGCAATCATTTTTCTCATTGTGGTTATGTTGTTAGGCTGTTAATAGAGGAAGAAAAAAGACCAACATTCATGCTGTAACCCCATTGGTAGCACTTTTTTTTGCTTTTGAAAGACGTGGGCGATGTTGCCTCGGTGTGAGCCTGTGTATATACATGTATGATGTTATTCCCGATTGTAGCGACGAGATGCCAGATATGGATTGATGAGTAGTCCCCACAACGGTTAATTATTCTGTCTCTTTGGTTATGTAATTGTAGATAACGGCGTACCGGTTTCGCTCTCTGCGCCCGAGGAGTGGTGAATAGCCGAATAGTTTGCGGTTTTGAAATTGCGGTTGGCGGTGGCCCTGGTTCTTCATCGAGGATCCCCCCCCCATAACTTACCCTGGGTCACCCGCACGTTGTAAACCAGTCTTGCTAACCTGAAGTATTCTCTTTGTCCTTATTTGGATATATTGGCTACACTTTTTAAGGCTTAATTTCCAGTTTTGAAGTACATTATTATTACCTTAAATCTTGGAGGAATTAGAACATAGTCCACTTGACGCATGTTGGACTATTTTGTGCAAATACCCGTAGGAAATGTAGGTCTGGAATTTCGGTTTGAAATTACAGGACATATAACAACTGCAAATGCATGCACTTTTTCCCCGGGGCTTTTACCATGCTTTGAAAGTAGAGATAAATGGTCTCTACATATTTTTGCGGGTGGAAATGGGGTTCCAGCTTGGATACATAGGCTGTTCCATTACCTGGGTCCTTGCTGTATGGTTATATAAAATTGGCCAGAAGTTATGTAAAACTTTGAGTCCGCAAGTCCCTTGTCCTTCAGTGCAACTTCATCTCATTTCGTCTAGCCTGAAGTCGAGCTATTCACAATAGGCCTTGATGGAGACATACCTTCGATTCTCGTTCCCTGCACTATGCAGAGACCGTCTCGCGACTAGACTTCTGCTTTAGACCATGGAGGAAGCTCCTCCATGTTTAGACGTCTAAGGACCACCGACGGACTCGACTACAAGTTACAACGCTGCAGATTGAAATGAAGACTGCTTGGGCGGCTCATTCAACACCGCACTGGCTTGCCTTCCGCGCCTACCCTGCACACGTTTGATCTGACCATGGGTTGTAGCTCTATGATCTGACCATAGAGGCCTCCGTTATCCGACTGTTTTACCGGGGGGGGTCGCTGGCAGCGGGTTGCCCAATTGCTGAAAAACATGCACAACGACCTCCTACCGTTTCAACTCACTCGATCTTAAGCCTGTTAATTCAATAATGTTCTTCAAACGTTTCGTGTGGCCGAGTCAGTTTATGGAGGGGTAAACTCTTAAGTTCGAGGTCTATTAAACATTAAAAAAATGTGCTCGTAATTTATGGAAAGCTAGTCTTTGCAGACCTCGCAAAATACACATAAACGGTGTATTCTTTGACAGGGCCAAAATGGATTTCCAAGACGTAACTGTGAGTTCAGTCACTTGAAGCATGTTCTTGTTCCTCTGTGCTTGAAAACCTTTTTATTTGCAGCATGTATCATGTTTAAAGCGATCGGGGCAGGGTAACCCGTAGGGAATCCTTTCATGGATTATTAGCTTAATTGTTACTCTATAGACCCGGAGGCGGACAGCTCCTCAGAACCCTGTGAGTTTACTAAATGAGTTGGAGTTAAATGAAACTTATACCTCAGCCTGAACAGTCTCAAGGCTTCGCCTGCCCATTTCCTCATATTACCACTGTTTTCGCTATGCATTATGGTAGCATTTCATGTAAGATCAGAATACGGAGTGGATAAGCGTATCAGAGCAAACGAATATTGATACGTATACATGTCGTCGCAGAGGAAACAAGAGCACACCACGTGACGCATTGTTCTAGACAATAGTTTGTTTGTAGCAGGCCCACAGAACCTTGGGTGTTCACTAAACACTGACCACCTGTTTTGCTGCACAAAGATTTCAGCGTCAGGGGAAAGAAGTTTTTACCAGACAAATGACGTATTTTACGTACAGTAGTTGAAGAGATACTTTAGCCTTGATTTTTTATTTGTGCAGCGTTGGTTTTCTGTTGAGAGGTCCCTGTTTTGGATTATACCATGGTGATTTGTTTTTATCAATGCAGCCTGTTTAAATTATGGAAGGGGTGATCGACGACACAACGGATCCAAAGCTGCAGGCCAATCAACCCCAGAGAGGGCTTGGTTGTGGCCAGCGTCGAATCACCCGTTGGGGGCGTGTGGTGGTCGTGGCCTCATTCCTGGCGTTCCTGCTACACAACGGCGTGCTGGGCACCTTTGGTATCTTCGTACCAATCTTGCAGGAAGAGTTTGAGGAAGGTTCCGGTTCGCTGGGATGGGCGGTCAGTTCTGGCATCGCCGTGGAGTGTTTTACAGGTATAGGGTCACAGAGCCCTCTGGCACCAGCACGTAGCCCATGCTTTATGTGTGATGGTCAAAAACACCGGTGTTGTGCGAAATTTGAAGTCCTTGAAAATTGATCCATTCATCGGGATGCGCATGACTTGATACCGTGCACGATATGGGGCCGATGTGTATACCCCCCACGTGTCCAATCCCTATACACACTCTAGACTATTGTTACCTAACACATCCCCACTAGAAGTCTTTAAAGAATTCCTGAGATTCCGATCAAACAATGGCGAACACAAAGGTGGGACGGGGGTTCTCTCCGATCTTGCATCAAATGCCTGACTAGGTACACAGACGGCATTATCAACTAACTGGCATATTAAGTTAGGAGGCCTTAACAAGACAACAACCTAACGCTGATCGTAAACTATGTCTCGGGAGTAGAAAATTATGTGGCTGGCTCAGTCTGGGAAGTTATTGGCGTGCGAAGCAATCTTCTCGATAAGTTTGTGTGATGCTCTGAAAAAAACTATTCTCGATGTTAGGCTCCTGGAAGAGGAGCAGTAAGTTTCTGTTTCATTTCTGGGGTATGGATAGACTCAGGCCCAAGAACGTGTCTGATTTTCGTTTAACAGGGCCATTGGGAAACATTGTTGTGAGAAGGATCGGATGTCGTCGAGCCGTCATGCTTGGTGGCGCCCTCGTGGCTTGTGGCACTGCCACCGCATCTTTCTCCACCTCTGTCTACCATTTATTCGTCTGCCTCGGCATAATTGCTGGTAAGTGTATGAAGCATCCTTAGAGATATTATGCTGCGTTGCCAGGAGACAATTTATCTCTTCTCGAAACAGTTCGTTCAAGCTGACAAACCACATTCATCATTTCAACTGCCGATCTAGGGCGTTAGTAAGCTTTGGCTTTCCAGTCTATTGACTCCAATCTTATCACAAAGCACAAGCATATGCTGATGTATGTTTAAACTCTTGCTTCCAAGATTCCAACCAAGAGTTTAAAGGGAGACCTTATTGAATTACCACACTCACTCTGAATGTTACCAGAACCCCTTTTCTTCTTCAGGTGTTAACTCATTTGTCACTTCGGTAAAGCTTATACCGATACCCCAAGAGAGAGGAGAAACTTGAAGTGCATTGCTGGTTTCTTTTTTTTCAGGTCTTGGCGGATCGATCGTGCACGTGGCTATCGTGGTAGTGATTGGACGATACTACAATCGTCACTTTTCTGTCGCTAATGGTATCGCTTATGCGGGCCCAGGGGCTGGCGTTGTCGTCTTCCCACCGTTAATTCAACACCTGAATGAAACTTACGACTGGAGACAGAGCCTCATCATCTTGTCTGCCATTGTTTCAAATGTCATGGTAATGGGCGCGCTCATGCGTCCGACAAGTAAATTCAAATCTCATTTTCGGAAAACACGTGTAGTAAAACACAATAATCTGAACCTAGAAGTGGAGTATGAACCGGTTGAAACGGGGGAAGGAGGTGGTGAAGAACACGTTGATAGGAGGATTTCTGAAACTTCCAAATGTGAGGACACGTTTCAAGGAAATTCGACAAGTGAGCCAGCTACTGAGGCATTCAGTATCTCCAAATCTTTGTCTTTATGTGGCAAAGCCGTAAGATCGAGACTCAAACGAATTACCAACGCACCAGCGATTCTTGCCATGTTCGTCGCCTGTGTGTTCCACACCGCCGGCTACTCGGGAGTTTCCTTCCATCTCGTCAACCAGGCTGTGTCGTCTGGTATGACGACCAAGCAAGCCTCCATCTTGCTGACCTGCGTCGGTATCGGCAGTGTGATGGGCAGGTTGACCCACGGCTGGTTCCTGACTCGCAAACACATCACACCGTTCTGGATGTACTCCCTCTCCTTGTTGGCCTCAATTGTAACCACGGCAACATTCCCCAACACGACCACGTTCTGGGGAAAGATAGCCTCTGCTACAGTCATTGGTTTAGGCAGTGGCGTTTACTTTTCGTTAGTTGCGGTCATTCTGCGGGAGCTTGTTGGTATTGTCTACCTAGGTGTCGCCTTCGGAATATCGCTGTTCTGCTCAGGCCTTGGGACAACGCTTGGAGGTTTTGTAGTTGGTAAGTTCCAGTCTTTGCTTTGGCGGTAAGAACTAGGAATCCGACTACCACAAGCTGCTCGATGGTACCATGCACGAGGGTGCATTGTACGTGCGCGTTATACACGCCTCTTCGACTGGCATGGCGTTGATTGGGACTTACAGAAAACGTGTCTTAATACGGGCGATTCACAACAGTGCGCCTCTAAGAGTTTGCAACGCATTGGCCAATCAATATGCGCTAAATCTGTCGACCTTATGCGCGTTTGGAAAGGGTCGACAGATTTTGCGGGTTGTGATTGGCCAGTGCTTTGCAAACTCTTGAGGCGTATTATTGTAAATCACCCTAATTGTAACTGAAGTCTCGTGCGGGGGTGGGGCGCGACACGCAATGATGGCATCTCCTCAGATTCGTCCAAACTATTCAAAGCATCTATCCCAACGCGCTCATAATTTTACCACCTTTAAAGTACTGTAGGCCAATAACAAAGGGTGTGTTTGGTGAATGTTTGCTTCTTTTAAAAGTCGCCATTTTGGTCTTTTTAAGTCGTTGTACTGCGGTCTGCAAGCTATCGTGTATTGCGCTGAATTTGTTGTGTTTCTTGACGAACTTGCTGGTTCTCCTGGGTTGCAGGTGCCGTGAGAGATGCTACGAGGAGTACTTGCATACCTTATTACTTGATAAGCGTCTTCTTTGCCATTGCGGCAATGCTCTCTCTCCCGCTGCCAGTCAACCAGTGTTACCGAGAACGCCGCAGTCGGCACCCCGCTTCGGTGCCCGAGTCAACTGCTGTGTGACTGCTGTACAGTACAGAGATTTTGGTTTTCTCGACAGTTAATGCAGCTGTAAAAATATCATCGAACCTATCGGTCCATGTGGGGAGTTTTGATGAAATTTACTTGCAAAGTATTGACCTTGGCCGTCGTGCAAATTGAACCTGTAGAACGGGGTCCGCCAACTGTTTTGCGCATGTGCTGTTTCTCAAATAGATTTACATGGGGACTCGCAGGCATGTGAGTTTGAAGAGCATTTAGTTGACCAATTGCGCTCGCTAAGTCACATCACCTATATTGGGGATCAAAGTTCAGCAAATGCTCCCATAGATGCGCTCCATAAGTATTTACCAAAAACATAGCTGTGAAGTACTCAGACTACTGATGAGCTGAGCACTGTACCCCATAATTGGCATTATTTTTGGTAAACAATGTTTATGATACACGACGCCATCTTTGTTAATGTTTGGTACCGGTACCCACTATAGGTCACGTGACTTCGCTGGCGTAATCGGTCAATTATGGCACTAACGAAAACGGTGAACATGTTTTTATGCAGCGGTAATCGTGTTCACAAAACAGTTCTCCAACCAACTCAATTACCAGATGCATGCTGCTGTCATATACCTCACAAAATGGTCACTTCGAATACAACAAGAACCTCTGTCCCCACAGGCACCTTTAGATAGGTGGAAAGAAGAAATAATAGAGAGTCTTACCCGAGGCGAGAGTTTTGGCCCCAAGACATTATTGGTGGGTAGGTCTAAGTAATTATTCGTGTTGCAAGATTGTCTGTGAAAGTTTGTTTTTCACGATTTTATTATCAAAAGTGCTCTTACACAAGAAAGTGCATTACACTTATCGCTGCACATTTACGTTATGTTTTAACACTTCCATAAAGTTTTACCACGTGCAGACGAATGCATGGCCAATTAAATATTGTCAACTGACACTGTAAATTGTAAACGTAGGTGACTTGTTGTTGCACGTAATTTAACATAAGAGAATGTCTTTGCTTTTAACTTTCAAAATTGTATTTGTATCCTGTTTTTTTTTTAAAGATCGGGTGCTAATTAGCGATAGAATATAATCCATTAGTCTGTTTGTTGTGTGTCGCGGGATCAGGGAATAAACAGCAACGTCGATATAATGGAAGGTAAATCTGTATTAGTTTATGCTGTTGTGTTGTTGAGATAGAACTGAAATTTATGCTATTTTATGAACCTCGGCTTCGTTGCATCAAACTCGCACTGAAGTCGGAGCCGCAGACAAAGCCAGAGATAGAAGCGATTTTCCGGGAATGGTACGATTTGTTTGCAGCCATTTTTGTCAGGTATGTTTGCGAGAGTGAATTAAGAATATTATCCTTTCTAAAATATTTTCCCCTAAAACCTTATTCTCTGTCTTTGAACCTATCTGCAAATCTCTTTTCACTGACACGACAAGAGTGCATGCGCGATGAGAGCCATTCTCACTTTTCTGTTCAGTGCCATCCGCTTTCCCACGGGGACGATCTTGCTGCGCCATATTGGTTCCCATTATGCCTTGCGCAAAGCATAGAGTCCAGATTGGTTCGGCGCACCCTGTTCTATAGAATATTTATATATTACTTCTCAACTATTAGAAGTAAGAAGAGCGTATTGGCCTAGTGGATAGGGATGCTGACGCTCATTGGAAAGATCGTGGGTTCGAATCCCACCGGAGCAGCCTAGGGGATTTTTTACTTCTTTTGCTCTCAGTGCTCACAATAAAAAAGAACAAAATTCCATTTTATTTTATTTTATTTTATCTAGTTAGCTAGACAACTGCCACGGAACTCCGACCTACTGCGGTCTCTCTGCCCTGGCCGGGATTCGAACCCAGCTCGCAGGCTTCCAAGACCATGCTCCTACCGACACCACCATTTGGGTCCCCAAACGAAGAAGCTCTTTCCTATATACTTATCTAACAGACTCACGTAAAGAAATTGAAAATAAAAATGCCCCGCTGGGATTCGAACCCGGGGCCTGGGGAACAGAAGTCCAACATGTAACCTCAGACCCACTGCTCACTTCTCAAATTATCTTTCGAATTTCAAATACAAGTATATTGTTACTAAGCAATCAAAACTTCGCGCACGGAACTTTGAGCCGACCCATCTTCAGTGAGATAAAGATAGGTTGAGCTTTTATACAAGTAATACATGAACAACGGCGCAGGATTCCAAGTCAACGCCGGGACACAAAAATCCAACACAAAAAGTAGCTCTGATATTACACAGTACACAGAGGCATTATCGACATCTCAACTGCGTAAGGGGAAAATCTAGGAATAGGATTGGATTGAACTCCAGATCTCAACTAAGGATGTAACTAGAGGTCAAGGGAAGGCGATCCTAACAATTTCTGAACATTGAAGGTTCGACAAGCTAGATGGAAACCAACCCAAGAAACACGAAGAAACGCACAGGGAATACAAGAGTGTTATCAAACTTATGAGAAATTTTCAGTTTATTTACAAACAAAAAACATCACACTGTTGCATATCGGCTTCAGCACAAGCTATAAAGGCTAATGTAATTTAGATGAACAAGAATGAATCACATCTAGCTCCGATTCATGTATATTATAATTTTTAATAAATAACAAAAAATATACAAAATAAAGCACATTTAGAAATTCAGTTGTGAAAGTGTTTTGGAAATATGATTTCCCATAGTTTTCGCGTGAGAGAAGAGTTTGAAAAATAGCACCGCCTCGAAACGTATTTGCCTGTATTGCACATACTCAAAGTAAACAGATTTGAACTGTGCACGGCTTTCGTAACATAGGCTCCCCAAATCTTCTTTGTTCTCGTTTCCCTTTTACTTTAACTGCCCCTTTAAGTTGTTCATTTTTCAAACTGACAGGCAATAAATTTCCTTATTTTAATTGAGGCAGGCTGGCTTTTACCTAGCTTTCTGAAGTTCAATGTTTTGTAGTAGTAATATGCTTGTGTGAGGGTCAAGCTACCTCACTGCAGTGCAGTCGTTCGATGCGTCCACATCGTACATGCACGAACAATCATCAACGTTTTGTTGATTGGAGCACCTGTGTACCACTAGAATATCTGTATTCTAGTGTATTTAGAATATCTCGTCATTTAATTCGTTTCAGATTAAACGGCACGTAGAGGCACTTGAAGGTAATACTGTAAACATGGCACTTTCAGTGTATCTGTGGTAGTATAAGTCCATGTCGATCTTAGGTGCTTCATATGTTAATAGCAGCAATCCTTTACAGCTTTCTCGTGCGAATATGTTGCGTAGAATGTTGCATTTGCATTAAAAAAATGGGGATAAGGTAAAAGGTCAGGCTTCAATTTGCAGAAAAATGAAAGTTTGTTACCGGTATCAAATCATTAATACTGAGACTGCGTGTAACTCGTGTTAACGCGGCTATGCTGGTAGAGTACACCGAGCACACAAACGGCAGAGGTACGACCGGCGGGTAAGCGAGAACCTACCCCTCATCCCCTGGTTATAACTGGCAAAAGGTAACCTTTGACAATTAGCACGGCGTGTTTTAAACGTCGAAAGTCCCACATGCAAACGTATCCTGGGTGTTACAAGGCCCCCAGTGGTCTTTGAAAGGCCACAACTACGTGGTATAAGACTCTTCATCGTAATCGATGATCCTAACAACAAAAATTGAGTGGAGTCTATGCACGAATGATTTGGGCGACATGGTGTCATGATGACGACGTCGTGATTTGGGCGACATGGTGCCATTATGACGACGTCGTGATTTGGGGCGACATGGTGTCATTATGACGACGTCATGATTTGGTTGCTCGTCCATCTAATCTTCAGCAACTCAATGTTGTCTTGAAAAAATAGATCTATGGACTTATTGATGACCCCAATCGGGTGAAATCAGTAAACTGTATTCATGTGTTGGCCATCTTGAATCTCAAAGTGTAGCGACGCTATAAAAGTTCAATACAAATTCCTGCTACTTTTTGTTTAGAAAAATTACAAACTTTTTATAAATTAAACCTTAATGTTTCAGGTCACATAAAAAAATGCGAAAGTGAGGTTTGGAATCCTATTTAGTCTGGTATCACCACAGGTAATAGATTACATTGAATATGATAAATTAAGGGCACAAGATAAAAAAAATGACTTTTCCATGAATGAGGCCTATTAAGCAACATGATTGCGTTACAAGTGTTCTCTCGCCCTCGTATTTGATTAGTTGCACATTTCGGATATCCTATATAGTTATATGTTTAAGTCTGTAATTATTCACAAATGCAGTGCTTCGGGGTACAAGACAGAACCAGTTTTCGCGATATCGAGATTAATAAACAAACGACCCTTTGAAGTTGGAAAGTAAATTATCGCACCAAACGCCCATGTAATATTTACAGTAAATATCAGAAATACCGGACCTGTTTTTCACAACAGCTATTAAATTACGAAAGACTGTTAGAGAAAACTAAAATCAACGAGTGTGCACAATGCGAATCCCTTTATTATTACGGAGTCTGGATATAAGAAGCTGGTAAACCATGGTCGTGTCCGAAAGTTGTGGGTTTGGCCAGGGCTTTGGCTTTCATTGTGACATAGTTACACTGTCATATAAGCATCTTGGCACAGTCCACAGAATTATAGCCTACGTGTATAGAATAATATTCACGCAAAATAAAATGTACACGCAGTAGGTGCAAGACACATTTAGGCAGTAACTATATTTGCAACTGTTAAACCTTGTTTTCGGTCAAATACGTATCCTGTGCTTCTCTGAAAGGCAGATATTCTGGTCTAGTTTCGGTAATAGGCCTACTTGTGATATCCTAGGTTTCTGTCAGACTGGTGCGTCCTTGTCGAAGTCGGCTGTGGTCGGTTGGTTCTTGGCGCCCTTCCTGTCTCGACTGTCATTTATACTCAGGCACAACCCCCGCCTCTGGAAGCAGTGATCCACGACCAAAATAGACGACCCCAGGAGCATGACCACGCCCAGGAAGTAGAAGGACACTTCGTAAGAGCCATACCGATCTCGGATGGAACCTGCCGATTTGAGTGAAAATAAGGACAGAAAACGCGTAATAGCTCTGGTTAAAAGTGTACAAGGATGCGTGGCTTACAGGGTTTGATATTTCTATACAGTGTTCCAAATGACTGCGTTCACCTGAGTGAATCGAATAAACGGTGTATAAAAGCCTCTGTTTGAACAACCGCTCGTCACAAAAATCTCATTATCAACTTTATCAACGTGATCAAACAACTACACGGTAAATGGTATTTACATGCACTGATAATCATTGAACAGTCATATGAAAGTGAATAGGTCATCGTGCGTAAAAAGCATTAGCGCAAGAACCAGCGAGTGAACCAACTCTAACGCGTACTCAATGTCGTTAAACTTTGTACTACACGTCCTGATTCAAAATGATGTCACACTTCGGTACTCTATAATACCTGAACACGCCCATATACATTTACATATTTTTTCATTTGGAGAAATGGATAAAAAACATGAATAAAAGATTATTTTGATACCTATGACATAGCCACCGGCCAGCGATCCAGCTCCCTCGAAGACGAGACCGTAACCGTAGGCAAAGTGGAGCAGGGACTGCCCCACGATGTCCCGAAGCAGGACCTGCTGAAGGGGCATGTACCAGCCGCTAGCCAGCCCAGAGAAGAAGGCACTCGCCAGCACGCCGGATTGGCTGACCACCAAAGACGTCAGAACGGACGCCCCTCCGGCCGTGACGAAAGCCAGGCCGTTGAGTCCCCTGGCCGTCAGGAAGCCCCGGTGCAAGATCAAGCCGTTGGAGGACCGCCCAAGAAGACTGCCAATACCTGCCAATAGGTGAACAGGACAGCCTAACGCTGAAATATTGTTCCTGTGTATTTTCCTTGTTTTTGGAAAGATTAATTTTGTTGTGATCAGTCCAAAATCTCTTTAAAGGTACATGAGATATGCATCGAACTTGCCCTGTGTTTTTCTCCAGCTTTGTGAGGACGAAAGATTAATTTGCTTTCTCTGCAATTCCCTCTACAAACCAAACTACAACTCTGATCCAATGACCACGACAGCGTAATTCGATAATCGAATTAAAAGCCATTATTACGGTACTGTGGCACAACGCTCATAGACAGGTGGTACGCATGCGTTACATGCCTCTTCGACCGGTAAGATGTCGTGATTTGCCAAATGCACCCTCGCGTCAAGCTGAACAACGTACACGCGAGTGCGATGCCACCAAAGTTGTAACATCTAAGTCTAGTCGCTGCTCATCTCAAGTCATTCAGTCTATACCAGGCATGAAATGGGATAGTGGGGTACCCCCCAACAAGTCCAATCCCCATACACACTCTAGCCTATTGCTACCCAACACATCCCCTAGAAGTCTGAAAAGAATTCCTGAGATACCAGTATAACAATAACTAACACAAAGGCGAGGGGGTGCTCTCTGTCCCATAGTTTGCGTCATACGTTTCAGTCCCATACCAGAGGCAATTAAACACTTTTGGTAAAGCCCTTAATCCCATCAATCCGTGGCACTGTCTACCCAAAGTGACCCTATTTCATGGTTGGTGTGTCACTGATTGAATTCAAACAATTGATTAGGGCCCGGGACGAGCAAAACATGGAACACACATTCTTACCAAAGATGGAGAGAGCAAATGTTGCCGGGCCTTCCGCGATTCCTGCCTCCCGCGCCCGGGCAACCACGTGCGAGAAGAACCCCCCGTAGCCGAAGGTTTCGAACAGAAAGATGACGAATATGAAGCAAATGGACGGGTAATCACACATCATTCGCCAAGCGGCGGGCCACTTTCGCCGCCGCCTCGGCTTCCGACCTTCGATGCCACAAATTCCCAGCTTGCCCTCCTCGAAGCAGACTGCATTACGTTGGCCACTTTGGATGTCGGAGGTCGCGAAGACTGTGGGATTCACATCGGCAACGAGAGCATTCTGGTGCCGGCGGCAGGATATCAAAGGGGAGATAACTCTTTCGTTTCCGTTCAAAAGTCTCGGTTCGGCTTGGGATTTTAGTTCAAAATCCCCACATTTTTGCAGGAGTGCGGTCGAGTCGGAAGGAAAAAGCGCTCGTTCATGAGCGCAAACTGCTGTGCCATTTTGCAGTTGATCCTTCGTCGAGTTGTCGGCAGATGGGACCACAAGCGACTTCATTTCAGCGCACCCCTCACTGCTTGACAAACCGGTGGAAGTTGAGATCTCGGATGCGGAAACAGCCGTCGAGTCTGTCTTGCTCCCCGAATCCTCGCTGATGCCCGAGCACGTGTTGGAAGCACTGCCGTTATTTTGATTGTTGTTCGGGGTTGCTCGAATGCCATCGCTGTCCACGCTATCGCATGAGACACTTCTGGGACGACGCTTAGAACGGTTGCCGGACGGCTGTTGCACGACCCTGTACATGGCGGCTGCCGCCGATATATGGAGCGAGAGGGCGCCCTGTATCAGCATGCAACCGCGCCAACCGTAATTATCAATGAGGGCCTGTAAAATGGGCGGGAACATGAAGATTCCTACTCCCTGCCCCGTGTAGGCGAAGCCGTTCGCTAGGGCGTAACGCTTGTTGAAATACTGGCCGATGACTACGGTGCCGGACATGTGGGACATCGATGCGCCAATGCCTACGGCACAGAACAGAACGTGGATCATTAATGTTTCGAAAAAGTGGTCTATCTTTAGTAAATGTGGAGTGATTTCAACCCTACCTCCCCAAATATTTTCCTCTCAAATCCTTTAACATCCTCCGCTAGCCAAGAAACCAGTAGCACATTGTACATAAGGGGAAACTAATAATACAAAACATCATTCCAGTAACCGCTATTCAAGAAGCTCTGGGAAGGGGTTTGAAACATGCTCAAACAAATATTATAGGCATTCCACCTCTAGCAGGATCTCAGTAAGGCCTTGGCTTTATTAAGGTGCTCAAGTAATTACCAAATTAACATGATTTTTGCAAGAATTGCCCACGAGCATCAGGTTTCATATAGCCAAGCGCTTTCCTTTTTGAAAGTGATGAGCAAACTACGTTTAACTTATGGATTTATTTTTACCTGCAACGACATCAGCAAATACGAAAAGCTGGATAACGGAGTTTGCAAACGTCCCACACACGAAGCCAGCACACATTATAGCGCCCCCTATCATTGCAGTGGCTCGACAGCCCATTCGCTTCATCACGTGGCTTGCAAAAGGGGCTGAAGACAGAACAAAGAAACCGGTGTACATGATAACCATATGACTGGAGGCCAGTTATCAACGTTTCGTGATCAAATCACGATTCAAAATTAGATTATCACGATTCAAGATTAGAGCGATAGCTCTCTGATGACAGATCAATTGATAGTCGAGAAAACTGTGCCCCAAGTGATGTTTGTTTTAGCGGTGCATGCTTTGAAGTCTGCCTTACTGTCTATGCAGTGTGTTTACATTTTTCTATTCTTAGTTGGCAAATCGAAATGCAGCTCATATTCTTCCAGTAAGGTAAGGCCCGTGTCCCAATCACAAACTTTGGAGAGCCATTAACACACGCATCACATGCAGGCCAGGGTTTACAAACAAAACGGAAGTTGCTGCTGGTGGAACAACAAGATTCAGCGATTTCCTGGTCCAAATGGTTTCCTGTTGTCATTAGTTCCAACTTCAGATTCACGCAACCGAAATGTTTGTATTCAATAGCCTGTGACCTTCATAGACACGCCGGTTGTGTTTTGCTGAATGAGCCAAGTGATAGAGCTCCCAACAACAAAAGGCAAACTGCAAAATGTGTCAGTGTCGAAGGTAATAAACATCAACCTTGCTGGCAAGCAAAACAAAACGAGCTAGTCAACCTTATGCATTCAGCCACATCATTTTTTCCACGCGTCTTGCTCGTGCAATTACCCGACGTGGTCTTGCCCCAAGACTGGTTTTACTGTTTTGGCCGGTGCACCGTGCAGGCGACATGCGCTGGCCAGCTCATCCGAATAGAACTACCAGTAGAGCGCGTTATATTCACAGGAGACAACTTGCCAGAAAACCAGTCTTGTAGTATTTGGCAGGCTTACCCGAAAAATTCGCATTTTTCATACCTCACGCGCTCAATTTCATGCATAACAATGCCCGTACGCACTGCCGAAGACCGCGCACCATGCAGACTGCGGTTTTCAGTGACGCGCATGAGCAATTATTCATCATTTTGAGCACGTGAGGTATGCTCGGATTTTTTTATCTACAGCTGTATGATTTAAGGTACACTTGTCATAGTGCCGTCCTTTCCTTACCATGCTCAATGAAAACTTGAGCATTGTGCTTTTGCAACTGTAGTAAAATCGAGCAGAAACGGTATTTACACTCTTCAGCATATAAAGTTTGACCAAAGAACAATTTTGTTTTAAACAAAACTTTTTTTAAACTGTGCATCGGCACTACATCTCAAACGTGGCTGTCTTCAATCATATCAGAAAGATTTATTCAATTTCTGACACAATGCTAACCACTGGTTTTGGGTCAGAATCTCGCGTTGAACATTTTTCTCACATTTCCATTTTCAGAGAGATGACATTCGTTCAAACGCACTTCAAATTAATGCAACTAGGTCAAAGCGGCCTGCTAGAATACATCTAAGAAGCCTTGACTCAAATTTTCAGGTATCGATATTAAACATCATGGAAAAACAGTCAACTATCAAACAGTCGAAGAGGTTTAAGATTTGTGAAAGTCGTTATCATGAATTCCCAGCGACGGTTCATACTAAAAACATAATCTTAAAAATGGAGGGACAATTTTTTTTCCATAACAATTGAACAAAAACTTCATTGCAAGCAACTGACATGTTGGAAATGTTCGAGCTGTATGTCAAACATAGGGTCTGCTCTTCTGACATCACAGTTGTGTTTTCCCACAAGTGACTACTTACTCTGGTTGGCAGTCGACGCAAAAGTTAAGAATAATCCACAAAGTGTTAAAAATCAATCACAACTATCCAAACGCCTGGTAATAATACACGTACTACTAAACGGAAATACAACCCTATTTAAAATCAAAGTCTATTTTGAACGAACTGGAAGTAAAATCGAAAACCAGACTTATAAACGCATGGACCACCAGATCCTATTCAAAGCCAGTATTCCGTGATCTACGCGGCGCTCGACTAAAATCCAAACCATGGGCAATTTACCCCTCGGTACAGTTAATTTACGCGCAGATAAAAAATTCTAGCCGAAAAATTCCAGGAAGCCGTTTTTCGATTTTGAAAAAAATCCTCTATTTACTTAATCTGGCCTATGTATATTGCAAAATAATGCTGTTTCAACACTTAAAAAGAAGAAACAACAGTACCGAAAAGCAAAAACTGTGAACGTATTTTGGGAGCGCATGTAAACAAAAATGAAGGCACGTGCGTTGTGTGTAATGCGCATTGAACGCGCAGTCATCGCCTATTTCGCTCATCGTACCCATGAGAACGAGGTTGTGTTTACCATAATCGGTTTTCAAAATCACCGTCCCCGTACGGTTGTTACATGTATACACGTGTGGAGACTGATAGCTTATGCGTTCTTATGGGCTCATAGCTGTCATACAGATCCTTGTCGATTGATAAGTGGGACAGGCATCACGCGACATCCATAATTCATTATTCCTGTTATGTACGTGTATATAGTTGCAAGTTGGTTGCCAAGCAGCAGAGTTACGCAACCTTCTCCCAGGTTTCAATCAGCACTGCGTTTGCGCTCCCTTTTGAGGGACGAGGCCATTCATCTGTCGTGGAAACAAGGATGATCCTAATCGTTGCATATTTTTTACCATTTGCACATGGAACAGCCATCTCTCAACTCACGAAAATATTCTTACCATCTTAACATTCATTATTTGTATATGTCTGTGGTATACAAAAACATTTCAAAACACGCCCTCTCTTGTTCCTGCTCAAAACGGATAGTCTGACGAAAGCATTATCTGCTAACGCGGCCGTACCGTGCTGCACTCGCTCCTTTGAAAATAGTCAGACGTGACGCAGGCCCTTTGTTATTGATATCTTCGATTACCGTATCCGCTCGCCACAACAATATAACATTTCACAAGAACAAGAAGTAGACTACATTCCGTCACAGTACTACCGGTATCCCTTCGAAATATGGGGGCTTTATGTATGTCCTTCAGTGAGGTGTTTTCTGTGTCAAACGTTAATACCTATACATGTTTTTAACTCCCGAATCCAGCCGTCGGAGCGCTTGTGATTCCAGTTACAGAGCCTTGAAGCAAAGTACACACGGCGAGGTCACTGAGTGTGGACTTCAGCCACTAAATAAACTGTGCACGTCGATTTGGGAATCTCGATTGGTGAGGTTTGAAACTTTGCATATGGAGGCTAGACTAAGAGAAGGTTTTGCGGATACACCGTGTGAAATCGATCTCTGCTGTAAGAGTGGTAGTTCTGAGAAGACCAGTATGGTATAACCGCAAACCTGCTCTAGATCTTAATTGGCTGGTTTGTTCAATTGCGGGGCTATCAGTAACTTCGTCATGTACTTCCAAAGAACTCTTGTTAATTTCACAAAAATGATTTTAAGCAATTCTTACAAATAAATTGTAATATCCCGGAAACTTCCACGTGCAATAAGACAGATACCGGAACATAGATGAATCCCTGTTTTTGCGACGAATTATGCTCGCCCTCCTGTGTTGACAACATAATCTCGTGGAGCGCTGTCGAGTTGTTCTAGGGTTCTTGAATAACTCTCAATACCTTGTAGATGGCAGAGCTCTAAAATCAAACCCAATGAAGATGTACATGTACTTATAATAGTACTTTTAAAGTACAGACACAGCTGCATTCCACTCGATCGATATCTCCAAACCAACACATGCAGGTTTAATAAAATAGGTTGTCCTTGCACAGGCTACGCGTTTTGGGATACACGTAGGAATCCGTGAAGCTACACACGTCCTCGTCGTACACACGTTTTTAGTTTGCTTCCCGAATCATGGATCCCTGACATGGGAAATCTCACTAACCGCAAAGGCACAACATCAACAACATAGTTATTATAAGTGAACTGTTACGGAACTGCGAGATCAAAGAGCATAGATATCAATGCACTTTGTTAATGATGATCAAAGGACCGCGATATCATATGAGCCCAATGACAATGGTTCATGCACGGCTCCAATGTGATAACAGTGGACTTGTCCATTTCAAAAAAATTTCAAACCGACAAACGAAAACTACTTGAATAAAAAGTGAAGAAAGATAACAATGATTTTTTTCCAGTGACGTCCCTTTACTTCTACAACTATACGGGTTTTACAAACTCTTCTCACGGTTTTTGACGTATGTTTGGCTGGCTTTGGGAACAGTTTTGTCTATCCAACCAGCTAGATGTGATATATAAATCCTGGCATTTCTGGTATTTTCTTTTAACCTGCATTCGTGACACACCTTCTACAAAGTAAAAGCCTGGAAACGAACGGACGCTTTATACTCACAGACGAAGGCGAGAACGGCGAAACAGCCGCTGGAAATCCAGCCACTTACACCGGCGCCAGACTGGAACTCCTGCTCGATGTGTTCCAGGTAGACCCCCATTGATACGATGAGCCCCATCTGTGTCATCAAGGCAGCGAAAGCGGCCAACACCACCACGTAACCCCAGCCACCCTCCGGGTAGTACGAGCCATCTGGTGGGGGCTTCTGTCGCTCCAGACGGTCTACGAGCGCCGAGTTACCAAATGGGCCGTTCCTGTCCTCCATGTTATCACGAATTCAAACCTTAACGAGGAGGAAGGAAGTTGCAGTTACATACACTGTACATGTATTTGTGGGTGCGTTCGCGCGGTTACTCCTGTTAGCACGAGTAGGATGGTGCGCATTACACTCGGGTACAGGAGTGTGCCCCCGTCCTCTCGCGAGAGTTTACTCTCGCTGACCCTGGGGTCGTACTGTAGCCGTTCGAGCGCTCGTGTCAATGCGAGTATCTCGCTCGGACGCACCCTGCAAGTCCTGTTGAACACACGCATGCGCATAGCCAGTGCAATTAAAGGAACGTCAATTGAACTTTGAAAACTAAAAGCGGACATCTTGATCGTGACATTAAAATACCTTAGTGGGAGTGACTGTTATGGTGGAAACACAAAATGAGCTGCTAATTTTTTTTCTACATAGGTATAGCTCTAGGAGTGGAAACGATCAGGATCTGATTTTTCGCCACCGACAAGCATTTCTTCGCATGGAAGCACATCGATCCTCATGCAGTCTTTATCTTTGGACGCGGTAAGGGACTGACTCAGAGGCTAAGCAAAGCAAGCGGCTTGCACACGAGGTATGAACAGAAACAGCAAAGACAGCTACCTACAATCCTGGACAAATTGGTTGGGCCTCAAAGCCCAGGACTCCCCTTCAATGTTGGGTCCATTGCTCTCGGTCTGCGCTCCGGCCGGACATGACAAAATTAACCGGGAGAGCGAGGGGAGCCGGAGGGGCTGGAGAGCGTATGGCTATTGTCAAGTGTCACAACAATCTTGTCCAGGATTGTAGATGCGGGCAAATCCTTTTTTTCTACAAACTAACAAACATGGGCCAATGTACAAGGAAGAGATTGCTGGACAGCATTATGGATTGCTTCTTTCAGAATACAGTCTCAATGACGTTGAGTAACCTCCGGTTCTTTTAAGAACCACTCACAAAAGACATCCTTGCATGTTGCTACCGCAAACCGTTTACTTCTTGTATCACGAAAGAAAACAGAATTTTAGCAAAACATCGAAACTTCCAGCAGTTTTACGCAAAAAACCAATGGAACAACTGAGCTTTGCTTCCTAGAGTATTTCCTTGGCTGTTCTGCTTCCTTTTACGAAGGATAACCCTCACCCCAAAATGCCTCTAACAGACTTCCCTTTCAGACATGGGGAAACGTCCTGTGGACGTCGGTAACTTCGAAAACACAGCCTAATACGAGCAACTGCGCAAGCATTAAATTTGATGTTCTTGTCAGATCATACGAGGCACCAACGATGGCATGGATATTCAATCTCCTATACTGCAGTACGCAAAGTTTTAAAGATTTTCATGTACATGTAGATTACCAACGAAAAGCTTCGTTGGTAAAGATTTGTCATTTTGCAGCCCGATTAATGTAAACCTTAGAAACATTGATTTAAAATGGCCGTTACCTCGGTTTGCGTGTAAAGTCCCAGGTGACAATGTCCGACGGAAGTAATGCAGTATTGTACTATGTACAATAATACTGTGCCTTTCTCAAGCTCCAACACCAACGGTGCCTGCCGACGTCGTTGTCTTCTGATCCTCGGAACCACGACGTAATGTACTTGCGACTCTCAATCCTGTTTCACCTCTCAGAGTTCTCTCTCTGTGGACCTATGGCCCCATCTGGTCTGGTTTTTTTTATTTAGTCATACGCTCAAAGTCGAGAATGTTGTCATAGGAGCAAACCATATAAGAACCCTATAAGAGAGCTGAAAACAGCATTCTGATATTTTGATAAGGCAGTTAATTACAAGCCGTATCCGAAATGATGGCTGCTGCCATGCCTGAAACTGCGGCACACAATTCTATGGAAAGTGCCTGCAGCCGCCACGTTATACTTGAGCGATTTCAGTTACATAACATGACTTCAGTAATGCACAGCTATATGCATAATGAGTTTGCGCGAGCACCATGCAAGGCTCTGCATAATGTGGATCATGGAGGAAAGGAACACAGATCAACGTTAGGATTACCTTGACGGCTCGGAGCAGTGGTTCCAGGATGATTAATTGCATCCACTATGGTATTTCAGCCTCCCCGAAAATGCAGCCAAAAATCCGTCTGATCATAAATAGAGCAAGAACCCTCATGCAACCGCCCTCACACACAAGTCAGGCAGCTTTGCAACACAGACGTACAATGTACATGTACATCCGCCTGTCTGTTTGAGAAACGGTTTCGGGCTTATAAGCTGGGTGCATTTGGATCGCGATTAAATCTGGCGTTGCTTCTCAGGTCCCGGACTTTCACCTCACGGATGGAGCGAACCAGCGTCGTGACCACTGATCAAGGTCCTGCGGCCTCCATTGCAAGGTCAAAGTTGTGGCATAATTAAAGAGATGTCGGTCATTGAAACCCGCAACTTTGATAGGGAATCTCTCTATTTGCGGCATGCAAATCAGAACACTGAAGTGAAATTTAAAAGAACTGGCATCATGCACTAATAAAGCCTGAGCAGGAACTTCAACTGTGATATCCTGACTAATCGAGAACAGTATACTAAGCCGGGAGTTAAATTTATTCGGCATTAAAAAATATTAAAAGAAAAACAAATTTTTAAGGAATGCCGATTTTAAGAATGGCTTTCATGAGGTGCCAATGGAATGGAACATTTTAATCAGTGAATAAAATTGCTCTTCTTTTTGTAAGCTCAAATTGCAAAACATCTTCGAGAACCGCACACGCACGCACATTGATATCATTGTTACAACTTACATGATAAACAAAATAATGATAGTTTTTCGCTTCGTATGCGATTGTACTGATAGACGTGTTGCTTTAAAAAGCGTGGAACTATAATAAGCAAGGAAATGGGTCAAAGTGGACGACCAGACCGCAGACGCGTCGACACATTACCCGTCAACTCGCACACCTCAAGACACCCAATGATGTATTCCTCAGGCCGTGTCCGAAACATACGCGTCCGAAACGGGCTTCCAGATCTATGACGAGGTCTATTGTCTACGCGTCTCCACGCATTTCCAATGGAGCGAAGACCTTGACCTAGCTCTAGACAAGAGAATCGGATGCAACCTTATTTACTATGGGGTACTTGTTTTTGTTCTGGTATCCTACAAGGCACCTGAAACACGTGACTGGACGAATCCATACAGTTATGGGAAACAAACCGTGCACTGAATATACACAAACACAATGGGCTATGATAATAATTATGCCGAGAACAAATTTAACAACACTACCAATATTGCAGACTGCTGGTAGTACATGTTATATTGATCGGTATATACCCGACTAAAGAAATCGTTGGCTGTATGGCGCAAACAATGCAATCAATTATCCGTTACTTGTTCTGTCAGCAACTGGTCATTGGTGGGTCAGGTAACGGTTGCATTTTCGGTACACTGACCCTTCACAATCCGCTTATTTTAGTTGTCGTCCGTCTCCTTCCTCCAGGATTTAATGCCAAACATTCTTTCATCTTCCACTCGTTGGAGGATTGAGGACTGTTGAATAAAAATGGACAACGCCGGCAGGGACGATATTTGCTTACTTGTAACTTGCATATTTTTGCAGCGTGCCGACTGTAGATTGCATCTGACGCAACAGCTGGCAAACGGGTTGGCATATGTCATTGTAACGTGTCTGAGATCGAAGCACACTCGCGCCTGTAATGCGCGAACCTGGATGTTTGACCTTAGGGAGTCACTGCGGTTCGCCTTGGCAGACCTTGAACCGTGCTGCTGTTAATGCGAAAGGTCAAGATACTGTCAGACATGCCCCCAGGACTGAAACCCACGCGCAGGTACACATCGTATAATCATGGTATAAGTGCAAAGTGCTAAAGTCCAAGATGTCTACATATTCATAGTCAAGTTGATTTTATTCACCGAACTCATGTTGACAATGATATAGGTAATACATAATTAAAACATTATCATGCTTAAGTTATCTCAATTAACCCCAAAGCTGCCTGGACTTTTTGGGGGGGAAAACCACCCATAAATGGGTGCCACAAATGCAAAATTCAATTGGTAAGCTTCAAGTCTGATTTTCACTGAACAAAGGTGTGCTACATTGTTAAGACTGCGTTACAAAGGCGAATGTGTAGGCTGCACGGACTATGTAAAAACTTGCACAAATTTTACACGTCGCAAGTACGCATAAATGTGGGTAGTTAGTTACCAGTGTGTCAATATTGTACCGTAATACGTGCCAAAGCCATATCGATAATTACAGTACATCAGATGTCATGCTTTAATAAATAATCTTTCTCCCCCTACAATAGTTGGTTGGTATTGCAAAAGTAATTTTACAATCTCTGACAAACTGTAACAAAACTTAAGTTTCCACTGAACTAACCGTAAAACACATACATTGTTATGTCATTTTTTTGATGTTGCAACCACCGTGCTTCAAAGTACTCAATAGACTAATTTCTCAGGGTCCAAATCAGTAATGTTTACGAACTACGGTGTGCCTTATGCGAAGAAACTGCGCAGGAATTCTTTGCCAACAATTTGAGACAATTGCACATATACATTATCAGTAAACTTTAAGACCGAGTTGAAAATGAAAACAAAAATTTCCCAAATCAGAATAGAGGTACCTTTACAGAAACGAAGCTCACAAAACAATCGGACAACCAAGTCACTTTACTCCCCAAGCATTAATCTTTTGTGTGCGAGACGCCAGTAGCTGCAAGAATTGTACACGATTCAAAAAAGTTAAGGACCACTTTTTATTTTGTGTATACTTTTTAATGAGATATTTCACTGCAGAAAATGAGCATTTGATGTTTTGAAACAATGTTTTATTTTTTTATTCCAGTGAGAACACCATCTAGACAACAAAAGATGAAAGAACTAGACCCTACTCATTGCTTGGAGAAAAATTACAAGTTACGAAAAAAGTGGTCGTTAACATTTTTTGAGTAGTATATATCACGAAATGCACATATAATACACCGAAAGATTTGAATATATAGTTGTACGTATTAAGAAAACTGTTGTCTTTCGGGGCATGATCCGGGGGCGGGGACACCTCTTTCCTTCTGGCAAATCTTTGAAAGCATACAGTAAATAACCAATGGCACTGAGTGAACACATTCAGAAAGTCTGAACACAGCGGGCAGCATAGCCAACAACTGCAAGCGAAATGATCACCTTGGGAAGATCATCTTACATCAGATAAAGTCTTTTCATGTTCTTCTAGCTTCGGACTGACTGATGACACAATTCTTAAGAGGGATTTCTGAATGATGGAGACCACCAATATCAGTTCTATAGGGCTGGAGCACTTAACATTCATTCAACTTCAAAAGTCAGGCAATGGCACCCAAGGGCGGACGGGGGGGGACAGCAAACGGGGCCATTGCCCCCCGCCCCGAAAAAGGCCATGCATTTCATTTCCTTTTCTTCCAGATGCATACCAAACAAACACACAAAAAGCCCAAAAAAATAAACACATGTACCCTCACCTCTCAGTGAGGTCATAAAAGGTTAAAAAACCAGACCTCCACATTTTGGGTCCCTCTGTAAAGCAAGTTTAGCCTTCAAAGGTTGGATTTTTGGATCTGTCCTTGATGAAATGCTGTTTGTAAAACTCCTCAGGCTCCACAGCACACAAATTGCCGTACCCGAATCACTGCACATGGAGTTTTAGAGGAAGGTATGCTATACTATATTTCTAGCTTTGTTTATATGATGATTTTCATGTGAAAATCTTGCGACAACAAAATGATATTTTGAAATGGACGAGTCTGCAGATTCAACCAATTTGGCAAATTTTTGCACTTCGATTTTGATTGATTTCAAGCACAGGTAGAGATTTTGCACTGGCATTCAATTAAATGAATAACTCTGCTTGCGGAGATCTTTCTATTTATTGCAGGCCTGCTGCGTGGAAGAAAAATAACCGAGAGCAGATTTTTTTTTCAGAATTTCAAGCGCACTGACTCTCATGTACCAGAAAATGATACTCCAATTTAAAGTGGATTATGTGGTGCAGAATGAGAGGAAAACCACATGGGCTGGGGAGGTAATTCTGTTCTCCTGCTGACTTTGGACAGCAGGAGAAGAGGCCTTACTCTACCAGACTTGGGTACCGACTCCATGTATACGTAGAGGATTCCAAGTCATTTCATATGAAGTGCAACATTTCTCGTCCAGACACTACTCCTACTTTCCCTTGCATATCTCCTCTGTAGAAGCCTGTTTATAGTTTGTGTCTGAGCTTCTTTTCTGTCTGTGGCACCGGCGATGAACCAAACAAGTTGTGCGTGTACACATTTGCCTCCACCAACGTGCTTAAAACAGTCAGCCAACTGTGCAAATGAATATTCATGTTTAAATCTGAGTAAGGCCGTCGAAACATTATATTATTTCATTTGTGTTCAGAGTCAGTGAAGACATTCCCAATCTCTAAGGAAAGTGGAAGGGGAAGGGGAATCACATTCTGTCAGATTTTAATTTGCATCCAAATAACTTGCTGGCGTTCTGCCACCCCAATCAACCATGCAGATTCACTGGGGAAGGGGGAATCACATTCTGTCAGATTTTAATTTGCATCCAAATAACTTGCTGGCGTTCTGCCACCCCAATCAACCATGCAGATTCACTGAAGCCGTTTGTCTCCTTATTTCCAGGAAGTGAATCGGCCAAAGCCTTCAAGCCTTATTTACCCGACATTTTTGCAACATTTTCACTCACTGTGACTGACACCTCAGAGTGTTGGGGCAGGGGGAAGGGCACTTTTAACAAGTCAGATGTGACAATTCCGCCCTCCCTCACCGCCAGGCCATTGAGGACCCCCCCTACATCACAGCAAAATCGAGGACAGCCTGTCTCCAGGCACGGTGGAAGGCTTCCTCGCTCTACTTGATCTCCTTCTGGAGGTGTTGGAGGAACTCATAATATGACATCGATGACTCTGACCGGTCCTGAACCAGGTGCCGCAAGAAAAGCACTCGCTTTTTGCTGTCCTCCCTATATGAGATTGTGACACAGAAAAGAGAACCTGTCAAATCTCATCTCACCATTGCCACTGACCCCTCTCTACCCGAGCTTGAATAAAAAAGGAACAGTTAAATGGGAGTGAGCCCTTCACCACCTCCAAGAATAGGAAAAAACAAGAAAAACCATAGGGAGAAAACTAAAAAAAAAAAAGTTGACAAAAACAATGGCGTTCCCATTTATTGCAGAAAATTAAAAAAAATTTAAAACCAAAGATGCAACTAAAGATAAAGCAAGTATCAAAACAAAACCAAAAAATATAGCAAAACAAAAGAAAAGCACACGAAGTAAATTCATCTTGCCAAAACAAATTGGCAGGGGGTGGGACTCGATACCCACAAATCCCCTCCTGTTGCTTCAGGATGTGTGTCATTCAAGTTTGAGTGATTAAACAGAATTCTGGGATGTTTCTTGTCGCTCTGGACTTGACTTCTTAATGCAGAGTGGGAAGTGTGTGCGACACCTGGAGCCCATGCAAAGGAAACAGAAAACGACTTTGACAGCAGCTGCAGCTTATCATAATGCGATGACGACACCAGATGGGCAGGTTTGAATTGATCTTTGAAAGTTCACAGAATTCAAGTCGACAGATTTGGCTTTCATACAGTAAAGTAGGCAAAAAAAAAATTACGTCGTGAGTTAACTGCTCATTCAGAGACTGTTCTGGCCGCTGGATTAGGAAACACATGTTTGTTTGCCAAGGGTCTTGATGAAGGAAACGACAGATTACAGGATTGACTTAAGATCCAGGCAGGTCTCTAATGGCCCTTTTCCCTTTGATGGTACATCACTTCCCCTCTCTCATCCACCTGACCTTCACAACAACTCACGGCTCCCTCCATCTCCGCAGAGCATTAAAAGGCTCTAAAATTACAGCACCGTGTCAACTGAGCGGGACAACACTGGACTCCAAATTTATAGAATCACCCACGCACGCGAAGCCACTTAGTCACGTCAGTCCTTCCCTGATCACACAGGAGCCAGCGATGTTAGTCACATTAGGCAAACTGGCCTGACTTAAAACTGCGGAAATGGATGGATGGATCAATGTATACTTTTACAATGTCCTCTTTTTCTGGGCTATTTGAAATGACAACTCGCGGACATCTATCTGGTATGGAGCATCTTGAAGACCACTCTTGTTCAAATGTTCAAGGTTGTCCATGCTTTTCCAGACGCCTGACGATGCTGTTGTTACTGAGGTGTCAATGAAGGGTAGCCAGTGTCCAGTTTAAAAGTCTTTTGGTTCAATTTTGATCCGAAACTTTGCTCTCTGAGAAAACATTTCTGAGCAAGGGCTGCTTGGCCGTGCCGGCTTTTGGGAAATTTACATGGGAAATGGTTGCCATGGCAACACAAATTGCGTTTACACTCACACTCAGTGTAAACACACCCTGAATTACTGCAATACTGGTGCAACTTTACAATAATAAATACAATTCGAATGATCTTCCTTGTGTATAAAGACGGTGTCCTCACCAAAAAAAAGTCTCAAGAACTGAAGCTGTTGGGAAAGTGAGTGATCGGAGAAAAGAGACGTCATCCTACCTTATGATATGCAGGGGTGCAGCGTAGGCCCGCTTGTCTAGAAGCCACAGGATGAACGTCCGCAGTCTCTCGGAGGCAGGGTTTGCGAGCTCTGGTAACTCCGTCTGAGACAGTGAAATAATGAACAAAGACACGACGGTCCATCAAGCTGATGAAAGTGATGCAAATATGCTGAACAGCTTTGCTGTGAAGGTCACCAGGCACCTACAGTACACTATTAAGGTTATCCAGCACCAATGCCTCGAAGGTCATGCAGCACCTACGCTACAGGGGTCACCAAGCACCTGTGCTATCAAGGTCACCCAGCACCTATGCCTCGAAGGTCATGCAGCACCAATGCTATGAAGTTCACCAAGCACCTGTGCTGTGGCAGTTACCTTGCATAATTGCAGTTTTTCCAAACTTTCATAAAATTCACTTAACCCCGGGATTCTTTTGACCATGACTGCTGGGCTGCGGTATGCAAAGCTCTGTCCAGCAGCGGGCCCCATTGAACCAGCAGTCGCATGGTGAATAGAATGTATGTGTGGTATGCACTAATCCTCACACAAAGCCGCAGCTGTGGACGTCTCCCGGTACGAAGGGGTTAAGAACAATTTTTGTGGGACAGAGGAAGAGGTTGAGTATTATTAAGATATGACACGGAGGATGCGGAAAAGAAACTTCACTTCTCCTGTATTTGAAATCTTATTACAACAGAAACTCACCATGCCCTCGGGAATGGAACGAAAGTTGGGCACGTCCAGGACCTCCATACAGAAGGCTATGGACACATCCCGATTGATGAAGAGATACAAGGCGTCACCACAATCCATCAGGTAGGCACCGTTGCGACTGACATACTCTGAGGACAGGCCAAGCAAGGGTGGCTGGGGGACTGACTGGTCATTGACCAGGATGGAGCCCTGCATCAAGAAGTTAGGGTAACAAACCGGGATATACAATTTGCTGTTTGGCAAACATGGCATCCTGCACAGTAAGTAATGCTAAAAGAAAGAAAAATGAAGGACTTGTGGCGTGAACTCCACTTCTACTGAGTCAGATGTTTTTGAATATTGAAAATTCTGCCGTGTCCTCTTTGACCAGAGGTGATCAGATCCTGAGAGTTACACCTTAAGAAACCTCAAGTTCTACAAACTTGACTCCCTTAACTCCACAAATCTTCCACTGTGCAGGACACCAATGGTAGTCTCTGTCCTAGAACTTTCATCAGACATTGAGCCTTATGCAAGAAACAATGGCTAGGCTAAACTTTTTCTCAATTAAAAAAAATTACTTATCGGGCGGGGGGGGGAGGGAGACAGAGCAGATTTGCTGGCACAAGACCCTGCACAGAGTTAGGTAAAAGACTGGCTTTTCAATCTCAGAAAAGCGTTTGGGTTACAGACGACACAAAATCTGACCTACCTCATCAGACATGCCGTGTACAGGGTACAGGTTGGGGTGTAACTTCAGCATGACGTAATGCAAGGGCTGGCACTTAAACATCTCCATGGAGTACACCCGCTCATCAAGCCTGGTACTGGTCCCCAGACGGAAGGCATTCTGTAGGGCGTGTAAGCGGTAATGTGATTGGGTGAAACTGACCAAAGTGGAGGGCAATCCTCCAATGAGAGAAATTGTGTTTTGTCTGAGGTGCTGAATAAACAACCTGTATATATGAAAACAAAAAACAATCACTCTTACGTTTTTCAGAGCGGCCAGTGTGTACAGGGGCAGCATGCGTAGTGACTTGGGACACATGAGTGTGCCGACAGTCTGCCCGCTGGGTAACGTAGCCTTGAACGCTGAGAGGGAGTCTACACACACGTTGACAAGTGCATCACGGGCATCGGACATCGTCGACGTCAGCGATTTGTCCACAGCTGAATATATCCCAACAAGACAAAAAACAGGAACTCCTTGATAGAGTTGGTAGTACTGTGAGGCTGTATCTCATGACAGTAATCAGGCTTGCACTGTGTGCATGCAGTAACTCATTCATACATGGCACAGGATGTGCACATGAACTTTTCATTTGAATGTGCACAAAATTGGGCATGATGTACACAAAGAAAAGCTGTTAAACAAGAAATACACCACTAATGTCCACTGATCTTTGAAATGCAGACTGACAATGTTTGACCACTTACCCATTCTTGTGAGCAAGGCTATGATGGCCTGCTGGTCTGCCCCCGCCATGATCTCTGACAGCTGATTGGTCACTGGCAGGCACATGGTGTGAACACGGATCCGCCTTTCCCCTGAATAGTTCACGAAAAAAGTCCAATGCCATCCATATTGCTTAACACTTGATTTTCTTAGGTATGTGAACTTGTGATGGTCCCTATCCAAGTGTAAAAATTAAGAAGATCCAACTGCCTCACTTTCAAATGCATTCATCGCTTCATCCAAAATTGAATGGAATTACCTTTGCTGCTTGTGTAGAGGAGAGCAGCCTGGAATGCAGCCACCGGCGAATCATGGAGCGACTCCTCTATGCTGACCTGCATGGCAAAGCCAGCGTCCGGGTTGATGTTGGGTAATGACAGGAGGTCCGTCGACCGCACAAAGAAGTTGCCGTGGAATGTGTGAATGCTCAGGCCTGCCAAAAAAATGAGGGTGAAAAAAACGTCCTCGAATTGCTGGAGGATGATGACAATCCCCAATTCACTTTGCCGTCGTCAGTCTTTGGATAACTGGGCCTAGTTTCATGGAAGAACGGAGCTGAAAACGGTGCTTAGACTGTATTCAAAACTGATTGACTGTGGCTTGGAATTATGCAAGAGTCTACGGCTGTGGCTGCAGCCTCTTCCCATAGAGTTGTGTGTCCTTTCAAGCCATAGCCGAGTATTTTGGACACAACAAGATTCATGGTTTAGCAGTTCCCTGAGAGTGGCCTGTGAACCAATTCACAGCTCTGCTTAACTGCGCAAAAATCTTCACAATAAAGAAAATCATGATGCTTAACAGGTTATCTTATTTCAGGAGAAGGTAAACCAGTTATCCTGGCATATCTTTGACTAAGCAGAGATATTTGGGGTAAAAAGACGGTATGTTGATTGCGATCAACAGGTAACGTTCCTGGAAGTTGTCTTTCTTTTCTACTCACCTTTTGTGCATCTTACTCTCATGACGGCCTCAAAGCCGATCTTCCTTGTGAGGTATCGCTGGAAGTCGTTGGTGAACCGCTCCACTTCCACGAGGTTCTGAGTGCTGTGGAATCCTGGGTAATAGCAGAGACTGCCACCAGAAAACTTGGCCACTCCGGCTACAGGGCAAGAAAAAAAGGGTTACCATGACAGCAATTATTCAGGTTTCCAGATAATTCAAGACACACAACAAACCTAGTAACCATTAAAAATTTTCAAAAATCTAATACCTGCACATCACTTTTATAGAGCTTCTTGGCAGAAAATCTAGGAAGCCAATTAAAAAGCTAAGCCAATATTAGGAGAGCATCAGTTATAAAGCAATATGCATCTCAGCACTTAGGTTAGTGACCTATTTTTCCTGAACAATGTCTGTGCTCACAGTTTCCACAAAATTCTGGCATTTAGAATACTTTCAAATGCATGAAATTTTACTGACTTTAGAAACACAGTGCGACAGACACAAATGATCAGACGAGCTCTTACCTAAGGTGGCCACATCAGTATACTGGGTGCTGAAGAGGAACATGTCGCAGGCAATCTGCTGGGCCGAGAAGTCCAGGGACAGCTTCTTGTAGAAGTCTACTGCCGGTCCCAGATTGGCAACACTCTGCCACAAATGCAAGTCACCAAGGCACAGTTATTACAGGAGACCAATGCAATGGGCTTTGCACTGGGGACTTTTAATACCCTTTTTTCAAAATGCTACGCTCGGAAATTTTGCACTTTCTACGACCCTAGAACAGAGGGATGGTATTTTGGACTTGGCTTGGGCAAGAGGGGTGCAGCGGCATTTATTTGACACCAAACTAGCTGAAACCCCGATTCTGAAATGAGAAATTGAATTGATTTCCTAGCTTAGGAACAACAGTTTTAATAAACCTTATTCCTGGGAAGCCATTTTTGATTGTGTTTTCAGGAGTTGTCTTATTCCATATGATCTGTTAATGGGGGTGGTTTGCAGACTATTTTGGGTTCCAAGCCTCACATTCGTTTTTCTTCAGTGTGGCTTTAATCATTTAGATATAATTAATTATAAATTTTAAATTTTGTAATGAAGATTTATTTCAGAGCTTTTTGTCTTTGCTCTCAGGTGCAAAAATAAAAAAGAGTTAACCTCACTTTCAATTCAATATGGCCAACCATGCCAAATGGGAGCTTTGTTGAGATGGTTCCAGCAGTTATCCAAGACTCACCTTGGATGAAGCTCTTTGGTTCGGATCCTCCCTGGATTTGAGTGCTCCCTGGCCTAGGGATGGTAGCCCCGACTGGAAAACGGTGACACGCCCTCCGGTCGGACTCTAGGGAGAAAAGAAATGAAAATGATAAAATTACGCAACTGGAATCGACAGCGTGATGGTTTGAGATTCTCTCCAGGAACTGCAGAGATGGTGCCATAGCCACTCACATGGGCATCATTCTATAAATTGGTGTCAAATTTTTGTAGTGCCCCTGTCACATCTGACAAAAGACGTTGTGAGTTCAGAAAACATCCCTTTCATTTCCAAGAGTGAAAACAAAAACAGTTCAAAACCAAATTCCCCGATACATGTATCTCCATGCCAAATTACACAGGTCAGGTGTAGCGCAGACACAAAAATGCCACACTTGCAAACCTGGAAATTACAGGATGACCCACGAGCTCAGCAAGAATACACGATGTGTGTGTGTGCTGGTTGGCCTGTGCAAGTAAGGCCGAGCGACGGCTGTTTTTCGTGCGAATGTGCAAAAAAGTTGTGAAATTTTTAGCGTAAAAGTGACTGCAGCACGGCCAAAAGAAAGCAAGCTCTGCTCTTTGCCATGTGACAAATCATTCTCACTGGAAATTCTCTGTCAATAACATGTCTTACAAAGTGAGTGTTTTTTGCGTGCATGCTTGCTACACAGGGAACAAGTTCCTCCGGCTGGAGATGCAGACGCCACTTTGTTATGAGCCTCGAGGAGGACCAAGAGAGGGCGCTATTTTCTTAGCAGTGGTGGCTCCTTTGGTCGGAACTGATCTTTGCTGGTTCATGAGTGACTAGGTAATGCACACGTTCTGGTGGTGTGGCTGCCAACAAAATGAACACTCCCAACCAACATGGCTCTTTTCAACCGATATGGGGGTACTTCTGCTCAAGGCGGATTCCCATAAAATAACCCTCTAGTATCATTCAGCCAGCAGAAAGCCTTAACGGTGGTGGTTCAATACTTGTGGACAGGTGGTAGGTATGCATTACATGCCTCTTCAACCGATGGGGTGTTGTGAATTTACCAAATGCATGCATTTATCAAGCTAAAGAATACCATGCTGTCCCCACTCCCCAAGAGGGTTTCAAAGTTTGGAGGCTCTAACTCAGATAAAGCACTGCCTTGTTGGATGTTTTATTAGTTTGCACGGTTCATCTTTAAGATAGCATGAGAGGCTACTGGTGGAATGCTTTGTTGATCTTAATTCTTAGGCTTTCTGAGTAAGTTACAACCAGCGACCATCATGAAATGTCATTAAAATACTTTGATCAGGTTTTGCAGGGGTAATCTGGCATCTCTCTCGAGGAGTGTTTCCCTCACGGCATGTGGGGGTGCAGCGCCACCGCAGTTATGGCATCTCATCCAAAATACTCTATTTTCCAGAGGAAACAGAATGGAGAGAGATTTCTGAGATTTGAGCCACTCCCCCCAAGAAGACTGAAACGGATCCTAGGTTCTCACCATGAGTTTGAGAGCTGCTTGCAGCGCTGGTCCCAGTGCTGTCTGCGTGATTTTGTTGCCGGCAAACATGGATGGCAGCTGGTTGAGGAGCTCTTGCACCAACTGTGAGAAAAAAAAAATAAACAAATGCTTCGGATCTCAGGGATTAACCTGTGGAACCCATCAAACCAGCAGTGTCATTCATCAAACAGTTAAACTTCATTTATCTCATTAACAAAGGCTGTTGAGAAAAACAATCCGTCACGTTAGCTTTAAAAAGATCATTAAGGGAAAAGGTACGGATAAATAATGGGATGTTATCATTTGAAAAGAAACTCTCGTTTGTTTTGAAATCTTGCATACCTCTTTGTTTTCGTGGACATTCACCAGCAAGTCATTGGGGCAGGGAAGAAAGATATCTGGAGGCAAAGGGAAAAACCAACCAGTGAAATAACGACCTCCTTCTAGACATAAGGATCGCAAAAGAATTCAGCCTCAACACAATCATTCCAGCTGGTCCAACCTCCAGCTTCCATAAAGTGCATCTTGTATTCCCATTTGCAGCAAGTCATCGGTTTCACCACAAAGTGACGTACCATCCCTAGACTTTGTACACACAATACAACAGTTCGAGGTGCAGCAACTATCCATGATACGTCAAGGTGTGAAACGACCAATGAAGTAATGTGAACATAGCGTTATCAAACCTCAAGTGTCACAGGGATTTGGAGTAGCTTGGCGTTGGAAGACAGACACGGACCTGACGGGCCAGGAACAAATGGAGGCAAATTCTACGCCGAACTCAAGACTGGAAAATGAGTTTTTCAAATGATAATGGCACACATAAAAGGGCTAAGATGACCTCAAATGCTCGTCGGAGAAACTGTAGCTCTGTAACTCACCGTCGATGTCCGACACCACCAGCATCTGGGGCCGAGACAAGCCCTCCTGCAGACTGTAGAAGTGCAAGGTGCTGTCAAACGTGATGAAGCCGATCATGGTGCGCGCGTCGCCGGGCATGCGCTCCAGGCAGTCAAGGAGGCCCTGGCAGGCCACCGACAGGTAGCCCGACTCCACGGCGCTGAAGGAGACGTCGATGACAAAGAGGTAGACGGCCGGCTGTGGGGGCCTCAACTGGTGAAAGGAGGAAGAAATGGGTGGGGGGGGCCCAATGAGTGATCATCTGATTCCTGGATCAAGAGACTCAGACTATTTGAGAAATCTTTAGCAGCCACTATAGTCCAAAAAAGAGAGAAATTCTGGAAATATGCGAAGTTGTCAGAGGTTTTCCAACCTATCATGTTGAATTATTGAATTTGTCACTAACGTTTGGAAATGTCTACAACTTCTACATTTTTCTTTCACTTCTTTTATGCAGCACTATTCTGACTACTGTGGTCAATTTTTCCAATTACATTTTGGAACAATAGTTGCTACTTCTGTGTACCTCTGCTCAAACCTTCAGAGTCATTTTTTTCATGTTTCTCTCTTCAAATAAAAAAAAAAAAAACGATGCTTATTAATTAGATTTCTATGCGTATTCATGGATTCCTGAATTGCTCACCATGTACTCTGAGGGTGCAATGAACTCAATGGTAGAGGACTTGATTTCCGGCCTCCTCTCCGGAGCGCCATAGGTCTTAGAAACTGGGTCATAGGTGAACTCCTCTGGTACTGGAAAATTGAAGCAGAAATAAGAAATGTGATGTTTTCTCATCTGTGAGGAAGCAATAACAAGTCATCCTGCATGTCTAAAAGGAGTCTTTTTTAAAAATTAAACTTCTCCGGAATGCAACGCATAATGCAGTGTAACATGACACCAGAAAATGCAACAATATTACAAGTGCTGGTGCTCTAAGTGGCATTTCACTGCGGCGTTTCAAGACACTACTGCGCACTGCATCTTTAATCAAGCATGCCAACAACTCTTCTTTGAGACAACTTTGATGTTGGAAGGCGGCTGTGTGCTGCACTCACGTTCGTTTATCCTATAGCAGAGGTTGCACTTCCAACGTCGCTGCTCAATAATGGTGACAAAGGGGTTGATATAGGTGCGACACGAGCGACATCTCACGATGACACTGGACTGGATCACAGGCAAATGCTGGAAAGCACGAAGAGCGGAGGTTCGAGTTATGAGTGGCTACAAAAGACACCTATACCTATACCAACTGAACGTTCCCCTAGAACATCCAGCGGAGAACTACTTCAAGGATGTGGAATTTAGAAACTGATGGTCGTGTAAGATCTTGGAGTTAATACTTGTAACACTCCTGCAGATGAGACTTACACGAACAAAGACATTTATTGTTTGACAGGAGAGGCCACCATCTTTAGGAAGTTGTAGCCTGGTGAAGTACTCACTGAAAGGTCCCGGAAGGGATGTATGATGAGTCCTAATGGCAGTCGTGACTTCTGCAGCAGGCTTTGGGTCTGGGGAAGAGCGTTCAGTGTGGAACGGAAGATGCTGCAGGAGGCAACAAGAGACAAACGGTGTTGTCAGATCTAGTAACTTGTTTGACTTGCGACAGTAACAAAAGCGGATACAAAGCCCTTTCGACCACTAAAGCAGTTTTCCAGTGCTACCAATTTTTTTCTGCAAAAAGGCCTTCACAAATTTTGCACTGTCTTGCTCATGTTTCGGCACAACGTTTGTGAAATTTTAACTGAAGTTCTGATCAAATCCTCTCTTCGAGTTGGCACTGGTAAATTCTCCCACATCCCATTCTGTGTGGTACCAAAAATCTCAGTGCTGAACAGAAAGTCCACTTACTCCGGGTCGACCTGCAACTTGCTGTACTCCGGGTTCAGTCTAGTCTTGGGTGGCTCCACTGGCGTGGGCTCCACAATGTGCCTCTGCTGCAGTAGGTTGATGGGCATGGTCTCACCCTGCTGGACCCTTAGATTATTCATGGACGCACTGAGGCTATTCATGCTCGGCTGCGGGCCCTGCGACAGGAATAAACTCGAGTCATGATTTCTGATGCAATCAAAATGGGGCATATGTTGCTGGAATTTTCAAAGGATTTTAGCGGCTTTTGCAGGATCTGGGAGGGTTAAAATTTAAGGACGCATTGCATGGTATGGGATCATGTCTGCTGGATGAAAGATATAATTTTTTTCAAAGATTCTGTCATGAGAATTCCAAGGATCAGCCTTGCTAACTTACCGGTTGCTGCATTATGCTGTTTGTAGCCATCTGTGCTTGACCCCCATTCGGCTGTGGCATGACCCCCATCTGCTGCATGGGCTTGCCCATGCCCTGTAAGGGCGGCTTTGGTTGGGCCATACCAACCTGCCCCGCAAAGGTGGACGGCTGCTGGTACTGGCCTGGCTGGGGCGGGTGCGTGTACCCGCTTTGCTGTGGGTACTGCCTCGGACCGGTGATCCCTGCAGAAGCAGGAGGGTGTTGTTCACCCACTGGGGGACCACTGGTTGGGGGACCACCCCCTAGGGGACTACTGGTTGGTGGGCCAGTAGTTGGAATACCACTCCGCTGTAGACTGCCCATTTGGGGACCACTCATTGGGGGACCACCTACTGGGGGACGACTTGTTGGGGGACCAACCACTGGGGAACGACTTGTTGGGGGACCACCTACTGGGGGGCCACCTGTTGGGGGACCACCCATTGAGGGGCCACCTGTTGGGGGACCACCTCCTGGGGGGCCACCTGTTGGGGGACCACCCATTTGGGGGGCTAGCGGGTGTCCACCTGATGGGATTCCGGCCCTTGGAGGACCTGCCAGAGGAGAAAAGGGTAGCTGCGCCCCTCCGTATTGACTTCCTGGTGTTGGAGGGCCTGGAAAAAACAACCAAACAACAAATATGCATGAAACAATATGCCTTCGGTACCAGTCTTGATTACTAGGTTGAAATGAACATCCGGGAGTCCAAGAGGATAAATTTCACCACAGGAAAAGACATTAAATAAACAAGAAAACAAAGATCAAATTTCTTCATCGGAGACTTTCTCCTATTATTTAAATACCATTCCTCTGTGCAAAACAGCTACCTAGACTCCCCCCCTCCCCAGGGAAATTGTCGACAAGCAGCCAGTACTTTTTTCTCTACATTGCTTTTTATCAAATTACATGTAGCTCCAATTCTCTAATTAACATTTTGTCATTAAATTACCAGTTCCCACCATTTAGAAAATCAGCTTCACAGACAGGAACGGATCACCTGTTTTATCATGCCTGACTGGTGTGGTAAGCATGCGCACAATTTTGTCAGATGGATTCAGCACAGGTTAAAGAACCAGATGTTTGGCCCTCTCTGCAGTTCAGTTATATTCAATTAACTAATACCTTGAACAAGTGTCCACAGATGCTTATTAGTTTATTCCAAAACTTTCCCAACCATGAACCATAACCAGGATGACGTCAAAACCTGTCATAAGGCAATTCTGCACATCTGACTGACGTAACAGGTAGCTGCCAAACCTTGTTGGAACAGTCTGGACTCAACACGATGGGTCATATAAGTCAACCATTTAGAAAAAAAAAACCTATTGTAAAGGGAGCTGTCAGTCACTACCTTGATGATAATTGGGAGTGTATGGTGTTCCACCTTCCAAGGCATCGTATCTCTGTGAGGGAACTGGTGAGGGCGCTGCAGATGACCTTGCAGAAGGTGGACCTGGACATGGGTCCAAAAAGAAATCAAAAGAAAAACAAAACCTCCAATCATGACAAGTTAACAACACGTACCAATTTCAAATGACAGCTTGAGAGTGTGAGAGGAAATATTACACGTTTATTGCAGACGCAGCCAAGAATCCCAGTTACTGTCTCTTGATCTCAGGGCACACTGCTACATCATGTATTAAATGCAATGAGGATGGCAACAGGCTGCAGATCTGCAACGCGATCCAGCAATGCATGGACCTTGTGCGTACTGGTTTGCTCTGAGCTGCATTCTGGAATAACCATCTGCCCCCCTGGCATTAGTCAAATTGCTCCGTGAAGGCTGCCACTTTTTACCGGAATTATCCAAATGCTGAGAGCAGCTTTCGGCCACTGCTTCCTATCCTGACATTCAGCCAATCAAGATTTCAGACATGGAGAGAATGCATATTTCATGTCAGATAAAAAACTGAGACAGATAATTCCATAGAAAATCCAACCCAACAAGTGCATCTATCCTTATATATGGATTCAATCATCCATAAAATCCACCCATAAACATGATAAAACCACACGCTATTCTGTTTATTCCCATTAAGGATGTACAAGTGCATGTATTGTCCACATACCATCATGGAGAAATAAGTATTCCATGTATCTATCAGTACACTGACCCCATGCTAATGTGAAGTAATACAATACACACATTGATATGGGGTCAAATTTCATTTTGTTTCAGACAGAAGAAAAAATACATAAAAATGTTACAAAATCACGTCGACATCTGATACTAATTATGAAATCTGATGACAAAATGCAGAAACCCAAGGACTTTTAGATTTGATGCCTATTTATCAGACAAATCAAGAATTACCGATGGATGAACATAAAGTTCTGAACAGCATGATTTGCAAGTCAGCAGGGGCAAAGAGCTACAGCTACATGTACAGGTGTATATTTGAACCCTGAGTTGGGAGAAACATTTAGCAAAGCTACACATTTCATATATGGGATTTGAAGCTATTCATGGTGACAGACAACTAAGGTGGAAAGCTTGTGGTAGCACCATGCAAGGATACGATCTCTTTGTGAGTCTGTATGGTTCTGAAAAAGAACCGTGAGGAACTCAACGTTTCGGACAGTGTACCAGTGTTGTATTCGAGTCATCACAAGTCCCTTCAAGTTAATACATGTATGTAAGTCCATCACAAGTCATTCAGTCTTAAGCCATTCAAATGACCTGTGACAAAAGCATTCTTTTGTCATTGTTCACCCTGTTACTTATGACTGGCCTTTTGAAGGGACTTGTGACTGGCCTTGTGAAGGGACTTGTGACTGGACTTGTGACTGGACTTGTGAAGGGGCTTGTGAAAGGACTTGTGATAGGCGAAATGCTGAGGAAACAACTGCTGCAGCCAAACAGGCCGAAGCCTTTCAACACTCGGCTGCTGGTTCAGCACTAATCACGGACATGTTCAGGTATAATGCGTATCCTACTTTTTCTGTGGCCTGAATGAATATTGATTTTCATGCAGTATCAATATACCTCATTTAGAAAGTATATTTTAGAAAACAATTGGGACGGCATTAATGCCCATAACTTTGGTACGCTCATCACAATCTGACAAGCCTTTACTTGTCATTTGTCATGACATTGAATTTCTAGAAAGTGAGTATATATTTGATAAATCTTTCAACAGAAGTTGAAATTAGAGACAAAAAGTGCTCAGACATCTAAATATTTCATGACTACAAACTGTAGCATGGTTTAAATTACATCTAGCTAAGTACTGCATTTATGAATGCCAATTTCTTTCCATGGCTTACATTCAGGTTATACCATGATTTTTTTTAAGGATAATTAAATTTTACTGTATGCGGAGAAGTATATCATTATGCACATGATGTATGTCTGTTTTACATTTGTGTGTTTTGCTTTTGTGTAAAATTAGCACATTGCGTGAATTTAGAACAGCGCATTACGCAGGGTTTGACACGGACTCTGCCACACAGTTATATGTCGCACCGTTTGTTGCTATGGATCGATCAATCCAAATGGAGAATTCAAGTTTGCCTGATGATAAAAGTGCATGGATGTATGCACACAAGTACTGTACATGCACCTTATTGTTCAATGCAAACTTGTTCAGTGTCCTGTACATGTGTCTACTGAACATTCACTGGTGCCCATGAAGATTTACAGGAAGAAACAGGAAACCACAATTTGTAACACATCACTGCCCTGGATGTTTATCTAGATAGGAAGCTGCAAAAAACACCCAACACCAAACAAACTCAAGCAAGGCTATCATGCAAAATGGACCATGATGTAATGAAAGATAACACTTCAGAACAGGAGTACCAACACCAGCAAGTCACAAAAACAAAATGGCATCAAGAGAGGTGTCAGATTTCTACTTGACATGTTAATAGTAGCATTTTGATTTTATTTTTATACAGTTGGTAGTTTATCACAAGTAGTTAATGGGTATTAGGGCTGTGTCAATTGGAATAATTCACTATTTTAATATTTGACCTTCAGTTCAATCAAAAATCCGAATATTCGGTCAGACCGACCGACCGGCAGATTGTTGATAAACAAACCATATGCAAAATCAGTCACGATAACGAACACAATTGTACATTATAATCACTATAATAGCTTCTCACATATAGGAGTATCTCCAGCCCTGATCTAGCAAGATTTAAGAGATGAACAAGACTTCTTGCCCTGTTGAAAATTTCTATTCCTTTCAAATTGTTTAATGAATAATTTACTTTTTGAATTGTAAGATTTCTGTCGCTTTTCATTTGAATCTGCTTGAAACAAGCCTCCACAGTGCAATTTTTCTTGTTTAAAACAAAAGCAAAATTCCATTTCTTTTCATGAATTTTACATTTGAATATTAATGACTGTGAAATGACAGACCATGTGAAGTTGAGGGAAGGGTTTACTGCACAAGAGTGATGATTTACATGTACATGATGTGTTGTTAATCCGGCCACCATTATGCAAAGCCTCTTCTTGAATCACTGCAAGTCAAAAGCATCTACCCCTTTAAAGCTACGGATATAATAAGCCTTTTGCAAGTTAAATTTGGAATAAAATCTGGTACACTGAGTTATCTGATTGCACATAAACATAATCGGAATCTCCCAGCCTAAATACACTATTGCTATACCCCATGATTCAGGGCAAGCTTCTGCTTAGCGACCACCATCTCTGAAATAGATGGGTTCCTTTGTGCCCTTCTTCCATTGAAAACAGTGTATTGGTGCGAGGTGTGTCTTATGTAACTAAGCAAAAGCTTGCCCTGAATCATGATTTATAGCAACAGTGTATTTATAGTCTGGTTAATTGAAATTGCTATGCTCATGTGAATTTAAAGAACTCAGTATATCAGATTTTATTCAAATTCAACTCGCAAAAGGCTTACTACAACAGAAAAGAAACCCAGAAAGAAAAAGAACACAAAACAAAGCAGGTTAAAAGAGACAAAGCAGAACTACAGGCCTGGAATTATGTTCTGGGTATGGTGAGACCATGGTAGAGAGGTGGTTTCTCTTTTGAAAAGGGCACAGGCCCAAACTTCCTTACTATTCACGAAGTTGAAAAAAGTAAAGCACAGAAGTTTGAATTACATGTATATATCACCAACTTTCCCTTTTAATCTTCTAAAGAAGTAAAAAAAAAAAAAAGGCTTGAGCACTTTACAAATGATGTACCTGTCACAGCCTGCATGCCAAAAGCAAATTACCTAATTGGGTCAACCATGAGATTGGGACACAATTTGCGACGGTGTCCTTGTTACATACATGTGGGTAACTTTTACCGTCTGTCATGACCTGTAGAGTAGGTCATTTACTCTGTAAAAATAACACACACCTCTGTATTCAGCCTTGCAAGATGTATAACAATGTCAATTGGGAATCCACATGCAGGGAAATAGCTGTTCATTTTTACGGAACCCATGTAACAATTGACACCATCACAAATTGTGCCCCAACCTCATGGAATGACCCATTCCAACAAGCAGTTGGAAGGAAGGTTGTACATGTATTTTAGTGGGGCCTGTGGTCAAAATCAAATCATTAGAGACATACACAGTCTACACGTAGATCTCTCACGTTATGTACCCTGTAATTCTAGGCCTGAGCGTGGTGCAGTGGTCAACACTGCCAAGAACCCTGCAGATCGCGTTCAAGTCGCAGAAAGTTGAGGCGAAAGGTCCAGTGGCATGCAGCAACATTCCAGTTTAGCAGCAGAACAGGGTAAATTGGAAGGTGTTATCAGTACCTGAATCCCCTGGCGAATTGCTTGCCAGCTCGGCGGTTGGGGAGGCTGACTGCAGATGAAATTTGGGCATCGGCAGCGAGCCCAATGATCCCGTGGAGGGCGACCGTATCATGGAGGGGTACTTCGGTACCTGTAGGCCCTCCCCTTTTTGCATTGTGTTTTTTTTTTTAATCCCAAAGTGTGTCGATTGGATGGGGGTGGAAATTGGCCATGGGTGGACAGGAGAAATGAGCCATGCAGCCACACGGACGGTAAAGTTTAAGAAGGGGGAAGGGAATCGGATGCATGTGAGTAAACAGGGGAAAACGTGAAAAAAATAATGGTTAATGACTTGCAGGTGAAAATAACTTGGAGTGCACAGGCAGACTTATTGCAGCATCAAACCATAACAGAAATTTACAAAGACATATTACAACCCTCATTGAATAACTTCAACTGTTTATGAAGGGAACCTCTCCCTGAATCCTAAATAAAATCCTCCACCGTGCAAAAAATCACCTGTACATGTACATGTACATTCTTTGAATTTACACTTTCAAAGGGAATCAAGCCCCACATACAGTACATGTAGATGTAAAGTAACAGTGGCCGGGCGGAATCTTTTTGTATTTAGAAAAAAATTCCTTGAACACTATGAAGGGTTTGAGAGGGTTAGGGTATTTTTTTACACTGAATACATGAATAGGAAAGTACGGCTCTGAAATTCGACATTTTCACTTCATCAACTGTACATTTTCCATTCACCCCCAAGAGCTGTTTGCGAATGAATGCGTAAACTCATGATTCAAAAGGGGTGTGCATACATGTTGTTCCTCGTACATGATCCATTAAAATATGAATGACATTGATTGGTATACAATGTATTCCAGGGTTTACATTTGGTCAGATTTTTAAATGGTATAATTTACAATTGGGTAATCAACAAAAGTGCACATAGTTAGTATGTTCAGAATGGGAAGATTTATCCACAAATTAAAAATGATTGAGGTTTATAAATGAATTAGATGGCAAAACAAAATGCTTTGTTCAAGATACAAAGAGATAATGACATGCTTTCAGTCATGCAGATTCAGCAAAAAATGGGCAAAATAATGAAACGTTTGAGCATAAAAATAAGCTAAGCACATTTAGAGAGGATAAATTACTAAATGTATTAAGCTTGGATCTGTGCACACATGTACATGTACGTACACGTATGTTTTGAAAAACATAACTGGTCGCTGTCGTATGATTTACAAAGCTCTGTTCAACTCTGCCACTAAGGTAATGTGTACTGATTACTGGTCGATTTGACAAAATAAAACTACATGTATGTGAAAGAATTTCAACGCTTCGGTATTGAGCATTTGTTTTAGATCTCAACTCCAAAACAGATTTAACTCTTTGCCTATGATGCACATGCATCCACATGGAAAATCTTACGAGTGGACATCAAGGGACTTTCCCTAAAACTGGTCAGTTTTCTTCAGCGTGCGGCATGAGTGGTTTATGAGTATACAATACTGATTGGCAACACAAAGCCACTGGTGAACAGAGTGGCACGTACATGCAACACTGCCCACTCCTAAGCTTGAGATCGCTTTTGGGCAATCTCACCCCATCCAACTCACCTGAGGAATTTAAACTTCTCTCCATCCCTGGCACATCGGGAGTTGATGGAGAATCCACTGAACCAGGAGTTGCAGCTTGTGGTGGCTGTCGACCATAGGGCCCGGGGCCAGTTGATGCGGGCCTGGGCACAGATGGCCCAGGGGCAGATCCAGAAGTTGCTCCTGTCGGGAGACCGGAGAAGCTGGTCCTTGAAGGGGGACCCGACTGTCCGGGAAAGGAGTTCACTTGCTGGGTGCCAGAGTACTGGTTTTGTAGGGGTAGTGATGAGGGCGGGTTGCCCGTGCCGTGTATGGGAGGAGTTTCCCCTGGTTTTGCATATGGACTGTTCACTCCTGGGTGTGCGGAGAAGTCACTTGAGGGTGCTCCTCTGGATGTGGGTGGGGGTCCTACCTGGTTCGAGTTCGGCATTGTTGGTGGTGCCATCGGTCTTGGTGCATATGCCCCGCTCAATTGAGGAGGCAGGGCACCAGCCGGGGGACCATCCTGCATTCTGGCATTACCTACTGGGGGCATGGGGCTACGGAACGGTCCTCCATATGTTGATGGATTGCCCGAGTGAGCACCATTGGCAGTGGGGGGCAGTCCTTGGTTAATTCCAGACTGATATCTAGGATTGTAACCCCCTGGGGGTGGTGGTCCTGGTTGCTGCAAAGGCGGCCCTGTTTAGATTTTAAACAACAATTTTAGCAGTGGATGTTTACATGTACATGTAGGCCAAGCTGGTGGCAGTTCCAAAGCACTATTCTGCTGGACTTTTCTTTCCTGTAAAAACTCTAAACAGTCAAAAATTCAAAGAAGAAAAAAAAATCCTGTTTGTGCTCTTCTTATCCGGTGAAAACTGCACAGGCTTACAAAGGCCCATAGGCGTAGAATTGGTGCATGGCATCTCTTAGTCTTACGGAACAGGACAAAGCACAAGGCAAAAGCTTGCCCTGAATCATGGGGTATACTTAGTTGCAACAGTGACACTCACTGACAGTGTCTTTATTTATGCTGGAGAATTCAAATTGTTACATGTAGGCCTATGTTCACATGAATTTAAAATTAACGAAGTGGCTATCGTTACGGTAGCCATAACGCATCTCCCATTTTCTATCGTTACGGCACTGAACTGCACAAGTGCGATGACGTAGCTGATCATCACGACGTTTTTTATATTCTAAAATTACCTGCTGAATGCTTGTGGCCGAGTGGTCGAGTGGAAGGTTTGGAACCACTGCTGTGTGAGTTCAAATCTGAGCTTGGACCGTTTTATTTTTTTTGGCTTAAATTTCATGTTTTATAAAATAAATGTTTTTTTTTTATGTTGGTCTCTAATTGTAGGCCTATAGGCCTAAGCAGGAATCTTTTTTCTTTTCTCATCGGAGGCTTTGGAGGATTTTTTTTAAGGGAAACAAGTCCGAAATTTGCGCTTAAGTTGGCGTGCTTGCACAACTGCAGTGCTGTAACGATAGAAAATGGGAGATGTGTTACGGCTGCTGTAACAACAGCTACGGCCTAAAATTACAGAACTCTGTGAACAAGCACGACAAGAGTTTATTCAAAGTTTAACTCGCTACTCAGGATAGTTCATCATGTTCATCATGTTTACGGCGTTGGAAATTTAACAATGGCCTAAATCATGTAGGCCTAAATCCCTTTCAACTGTTCAAGTTAGACCATGGAGGTAGAAATTAGACCTAAGCCTAGTTTTTTTTTTAATCATGTTTAACATGTTTAACTTTACCAAGATATTACACATTTAAGGAGAGGGAGACTCACTTGAAGTTGGCGGTCCCATACCGCTCGCAAAATTTTGTGGTGGGCCAGTGCCGGGCATTTTCATCGCCTGGCCCTGGGCGTGTGGTGGTTGATTCGCCATTTTGTCTGATGATGATGAAACAGCTTGATGTCTGATGAGTTGTCGAGTTGTCAATGAACCAGCGTTAAAACCCCAACTGCCAATCCAAAGAAAGGTGCAATTTTACGTATTTCATTAATATTTTCTGACATTTACACGACGCACTTATAGCTAAAATATGACAAAAATCGTTAATCTAGTCAAAAGAGTAAAAGACTCATCAGAAAGTGTCTACCTAAAGTACAAAACATTGCGTAAATTTTACTCTTCCTAGTGCGAATTCCACAAATGTGATGGTCGCCATTGAAGGAAAACCCATCGTCATCGCCCAGTTCTGAGCATGCGTAATGACCGGCATTTTCAACGTGGCAGTTCTAAAAATACCTCAAAGTTGGACTTCACGGGGGACCCACTTCTGTGTATACCTTTCGCAACGTGCTGACTTGCCAACGTCGCAAGAAAAGACGTGGTCACCAAATCAATACGTGGTCACCAATACGTGGTCACCATATTTAGTTATTGATTTGCTTATTTGTCTAATAACTGGTAAACCCTCAACAAAAAAATAAAGCTAAAAATCATATACATGTAATACTTCGGGAAAATTGGCAAACTTCAGAACCCAAGGCACAAACATCCAAGACTCAAGCGCGAATATTGCTCTGGAAAAGTTGGCTGGCTTACTGCCTTTCAAGGCTGGAGTCACGGTAAGTGTTCATGGTTGTTTGCCAGCTTTCTTTCGTTAAATCATACACTTGCTGTTAACACCAGGTGTAGACATGATAGATAAAAGTTCCACGACTTTTAAGCGGGAATATGCTGTCTCCAAGCTTCGATCCATGTTGCACTAGCTCTGATGTGAAATGATTCGCCCGATGATAGACTTTTGCATTATTGATTTGCCTTTAAAACTTCCGCAAATACATTTACACGATACGGTTGTGTTAAATACATGTACATTTTAAATCTTGAAAACCGTAACACTGTCAACAGGGGTGGATCAGGGGTGGGGGCGCGCCCCTTTTTTCGCCATAGATTAAAAAAAGAGAGAAGAAAAGAGGTTGAGGGAAGAAAAAAGGGAGCGACCCAGGCCCCATAGATGTGATAAAGCGTACAAACAACAGTTATGCTTCCAGTTACCCAGCCCCCCTAATTTTACGGCCGTGACCCTAAAAATACCCCTGTCCCCTTTTGAAAATCTTTGATACACCCTGGTCAAGAAACAAAGGTGTTAAGATAAAAAAAAATAATAATACCGCCCCCCCAAATATAGACAAAGTAATGTTGTTTTGAGTGTCAATTGCACAGCCTTTTTTGTCAGGGAAACACAAGGCTGTTAACTTGGTTGTCAATCTCAATTTTTCCAGTTGAAGTACTAAAGCGGCCTAGGCCTTTCTGAAATGTTCTCATATTTGGCAGGCGATATCGCACTCATGGGTCAACGGTACATGTACCGATTACACCCATTCACTGATGTAATGTGTTTTACATTTATTCTACACTGTTTCAAAGGTAAGAATCCTGAGTCACATATTTTTGGAGCTTTCCGCTTTGCAACAAGAAGTTAACTGTTAACTTTGTTGCCGTGATGTAAAGCCCACACCTTTTCAGCTCCCGCTTATCTCGCTTTTGATAGCACCCGTTGTTTTTTTCATAGTGGTTTCCCGATCAGTGAGCCGATCGTTTATCCAAAATAGACTCATTGACTGTCACTATTGGTCAGACTTTGAACTGCAAAACGCCGTTTTATTGTACAAAATTCGTCGCGTGAATAGACTATATTCATCTGATATTTCAGAAAATCTATATTGATTTTGTTTTTACGTATTTGTTTTAAGATACGGAGTATTTAAAATTGACAAGGGGGAATTTTACTATTAAATTATGAATTCCAACTAGCCAATGGTACGCATTCTTTGATAAAAAGGTCGGGTGCCTTTTTTAATGACGTAAATTTCGCAGACTTCATTTCAGTGGTCTCGGGTGCCTTCTAGATCTCAAAACACTCTGCTCTAATGTTAGTATTATCAGTATAGTTTTAGTGTTCGGCCGCGCATTATTTTGTTAACATCGGTAAGTATTCTTGTTATTCGCCTAACTGTTGCGTAGGGTGTGAAACAGTGCCTTAAGAATGGGTATAGCAACGATCTGACGATTGGTAGCCGACTATCAAGACGGTGTCACGGTCATGACGTGTCGTGCCTCACGCACGTACGGGTCCGGTCGTCCATCATGTCAAACATGTCAGATGGTTTCTATCAATATGCCACGATGTATGTGCATCATGTCCATGGCATGTAGTTTTGTACTCGCCTAGCAAACAAGGCTACATTCATCGTAACTATACAGCAGGGAGGCATGTGCCTATAATCATGACAAATTATCGTCATTGAGCTATTGTCATAATCATATAATACATGGGCCGATCTTCATGATCTAATTTAGTCGTGGACGGAAAAAAAATGATAATACTTTAATACTATAGTGCATGGTTATTTTTGATCCCAACGACTTGGGGAAAAAGTCCCTTTTAGGGGGACATTCTTTTTGGGGGACTGATGTTTTCCCCAAGTAAAGGGAATTTTCCAAATCTAGGGACAGTCCCTGTTGTGATATGTGCCCTCTACTGACAGTCATGACAGTGGCGTAAAGTGTTGTACGTCCATGTATACTGTAGACCTATACATGGAACTCTTTCCAAATTTACCTACAGTTTAATGCTTCCTACCAGAATTGGTCAGGAGCACCGAAATCCTTATATGCATGGCACAAGCTTTTATTTCCAGATTTATTTCGGTAAATCCTGGGAAGGAAAGAGTTCCATGTACGGATGCCAGTAATTATTTTGTACGGTGACCTATTAGCCGTCAGAAAGCGAAAATGTGTCCAGAAAAGTTCAATTTAGGAGGGAAAATACCAAGTCGTTTACTTAGAAAACACTTAGAAAGTTTCAGACCAGTCTCGTAGGGTTTGTGCACAGGGCATCGAGCGGCATCCGTATATGGAACTCTTTCCCCAGTGAAAAATTGGGCAGAAAGTAGCTCTGCCCATGAACACTTCGAAGTTACCATAGAGTGCCAAGTACATGTACATCTGACACAGAAAATCAGAACTTACTTCCATCCTTCCTGATGAAAGTCTTAAAACTGAAGGTTTTACCAAGCATTTGTATAATTCTGAACACAACTGGATAGTTATTTTGGTAGATTTTGCGATTTCAAACTGATTTTGGTAAGGGTGTTAAAGTAAAACCTTTCTCAGACTGGTTACTTTTAGATCAAGTAAAATTCCTCCCTGTAAGTTTTGCCATTTTTTGAGCAGATAAGGCCCTTGTCAAGGGACTTGTATTTAGTTCTGTCTACTACTTAGTGGTACTTGTACATTATCATTGACATACGTGATTTGCACAGCCTCCAGGTGGAATTATTGTTTGATATAAACATCTGAAACCATAAGCATGGTAAAAAAGATGTAACCAATAAGAAAGTTAAATTCCGCGCTATTTAAAACTGAGTAAGATGGATTACTGTTACATCACTCAAAGTAGTCTTTATTGACATTGTGAGCTAAGTAAACATAGCATCTGCATCAAGCACAGTGTGCCTGTTAACATTGGATCTTTGCTGGTGGTGTGTTGCCAGCACTGTGCATGTCCCACTAACGATAATAAGAAACCCTGTGTAGATTATTTTGAAACTTCACAGACAGGGTAGATAAAAAATCACGATTTAAAAAAAAATTTATAATATCAGATTTTTATTCAAATTAATTTTTGTGGAAGTCGATCTTTGTATAAGTTGTCCAGAAGGCTTTTGGTTTTTGAAGTTCAAGACATGATGCCATGTAATTACTAATGGACCAAGTGCTGACTGCTGGTGTTAAGTTTATTGTACATATATGTTGAACTGTTTATTTCTAATCAAACACCAAAGTTTTCTAAGTCCAGTTACCTGCTGAAATACCACAAACTCTTGGTATGAACAAACTGTTTATGCAAATTTCAATTGTTAGATAAGATGATTAAAGATCAGTGTCTTGCTTCTTCAATTGGGATAAAACTCCTGTACTTGCTCACACATGACATGCCTTATGTAACATGTTGAGAGGCTTTATTGAATAAGTACACATCTTTGGTGTTCCAAGTTTCATGATATCTGGCAATACTGCTTTCCATAATACCGGTATTTGGCATTACTGCTTTACAGGGAATGGCTATTGAATTCCATGAATACATGTACGTGCTGTCATACAAAATGGAGAGTGGTGTACATGTACGTATATCAGGTGGCGCACATGTACAAGTCAAATAAGTGTAAAGAGAAACATTATACACAAAATGACCCAATTTTGGTTGTGTGGGAAGTGTCTTAAAGGTATCAGTATATTAAATTCAGCCATTTCTTCATTTCAAATACCCAAAAGAACTTAAGGTTTCTTTAACGTGATTTTTAAAAATGATTTTGTATTTTTTTAAGTAATTTAAAAACAATCTTGTTCACAGATGTACATGTACTCTCTTAACCCTTACCATCCTCAGTCCTCCAAAATCCTCTGGGGCAGTTTTGGACAATTTTGTATGATTGAGCCTGAATTGCAAAAAGTGGGGCTGATTGTGAAGGAGGCATTGTTTCAAGGTCTTGGATTTAACGTTGGGTTGTTCAGGGTGTGCCATGCATAAATTTATACATTGATTAAATGTGAAATCATAATGCTCCAACGTACCATTAGCGCTGCCTCAACATAATGACAGGAATTTCAGAGGGATTTTAAAGGATTTTCATGGATTGAGCTAAATTTAGTTTTAGGGCCCCCCACGGTTTTCTGTTGCAACAAATCTCCCTTAGCCTTTAGTTGCATATAATATTCCTTATTTGTATTTTCCTGTCTGTTTTAAGATCGGAGGCTTAAAATCAGAAGTTCATCATGTTCCTTGTAAATTGGTTTACGGATGTGCTCGCTATGTTGGGTAAGTACAATTTTCAAACCAGTGATGGAATCAGTCATGATCCAAATAAATCACAGAGTCCCTGAAAGGATTTGCAACCAGTCAACATTAATGCTTTTTTTTATAGGTTAGTGTATTTCCTGGTTATGGTAATCTGTGTGTAATGAGACTTACCACAGGCAAAATACATGCAGAACAATCCGTTGAGAAGAAAGTCATTAAGTAAATATGTATAATAATGACTTACTGTTTTAACAAGGTTGGTTCACACAATAATGGATACATGTACCAAAATACCTAACTGTACTTGTAAGACTGTCGTTTTGAGTATTTAGGGAGTCTCAGCACTCCAGTACCCTTTTAAATGCTACATTTTGCAACCTGCATTCTCGAGATATTTTTAACCAACACAGTCTGTTGTGCACATACTAGCATTCTCTGCCAGTTCCAAGTGGAAAAAGCCTACATTATACACTTCCCTGATAAAGATATTTAGTCTCCATCTGCCCTGAAGGATACCTTTCATTAGTCACTCGGTAAAATGCACGTCAATCAGCTAGGTATTGTTACTAGACTGTGTGTCTGTGCAGAAATTGAGGGTACCAGCAGATGATGTACATGAAACATTCGAATCACACACTACTGTGACAGCAAAGGCTGACTGGTAGATTAGCATGTAGTTGAGTTAGAATGACCTTTCAGCCTACTGGTACATGTCCTTCACAAGCTGTGTTCACCGTTGTCGTTTTCACTAAGTGTGAAACAGCTGAAAAGACAAACACCGAGAGGCCTATTTTCTTGAATTTTACAAACCATCAGCGACTTGGATGCTCTGTTTTTCACTGCCTTGCAAGTCAGGACACTCATTTTCAAAAATTTAAAGTCCAAAACCCTGCCTTTGCCTACATGTATGTTTTGGCTGTTTTTATTGGAGGCTGTATCATACATTCATATGTGGGCTCAGGTAGCAAATAAACTAGTGCCTTAAGTGTCCAAGGTTTGCATCCTTCCTTAATGTTTTCAAGTCAGAAGTGAATCTTGCTGCTTGAGGTTATTTCACACAGTACAGGTACATGTATATATGTCAAATGGTCTCAGTGGTCCTTAAGCCTTATTTGCTGTATAGAGTACCAAAGTGACTACGTCACATGGCCAATCTTGAGTGTAAAAGGCATTAGCACAAGAACCAGCACGTGAACCAACACGGTCGTGTATTCCAGTCGTTTGTGTGGCATTTACTGGTTCTGAATGACATCACACTTTGGTGCTCCATACCACTGAGGTGTCTAGCTCTGAGCATTTCTGGAAATTGTACAGCGGCATTTACTGTCATCCAAGGTGTGTGAATGCCGATAGTTTTTCATTTTTGGGCTCTTGCAGGCTTATGGAAGAAGAGCGGGAAGCTTGTGTTTCTTGGGTTAGACAACGCCGGCAAGACGACGTTACTACACATGCTGAAGGATGGCAGGATGGCACAACATGTTCCAACGTTACATCCTAGTAAGGGGCTCTGTTACATCTGAGATGCTGTCAATGGTGTGCTCGTGCTGAGTCCATTTCAGAGAGACCGCTTAGCATAATTATTTGCTTAGCAAATGTCAGCTGGGAACCGATTACAAAAATACACAGTGTTGACATGTTGGCTAGTATCTTGCAATTTGTGGACTTTTTTTGTGTTCCTTCCATTTTTTATGTTTTGTTCCAGAGCATTGCCTGGATTGCAAAAAGTATTTGCATGGGGTTGAATTACGTATCATTTCATCATCATGTGTTGTCTTTCCTTTTGTCGTTTTCCAGCATCAGAATCATTAAGCATGGGGTCGTTATCTTTCACAACCTTTGACCTGGGTGGCCACGAGCAGGCGCGGCGAGTGTGGAAGGACTACCTGCCTGCGATCAACGGCATTGTGTTCCTCATAGATGCCGCCGACCCCACCAGATTTGCTGAGTCAAAGGCAGAACTTGACGTAAGCATTCCTTCTCTGGAAGAAATTGTAAAATCCCATCTCATGGAGTCTCACACCCAACAAGCAGTGCCTTGTAATCGAATGCACTTCCAAATAAATTTCCTTTTAAATCATGTGAAAACTATACCGAATTAAAAACGATGTGTTATTACAAGTAGAAAGAATTCACATTTCCAGTTGGCCACTCAGTGCCATCAACCATTTTTCAAGAAATCCGCCTCTATTATGCCCAAATTGAAGGGTCCTTTGCATTTTTCAGGGTCTGTTAACAGACGAGTCTGTGGCCAACGCCCCAGTACTGATCCTGGGCAACAAGATTGACATCCCCACAGCTTGCAGTGAAGATCACATTAGAGATTGTTTCGGCCTCATTCAGCAAACGACAGGAAAGGTATTGAATACCGGCGTCTGAAGAACTCCACCCCAATCGCTAGGATTCTTCTTTAATTCTATAAAAACCCCCGCCACTGTGCAGAAAATCGTTCAAAGGGCACAGTCTTTCTAAACTTTCAAGCAGCATCAAGCCCTGTGTAAAGGAATAGGCACTGTGCTTTAACTTCCTCAGTTCTATAAAATCCTCTGAGACTTCCTGGGGGACTTTGAAGGATCTTGAAGAGTTAGCGTTAATGTAGAACCCTATATGTCTCAAAACTCTAACCTAACCCCATCAGTTAGGCTCAGTTTTTATGGACCCTCGGCAACTTGCTGTCCCATAAAGAACCATCAGCTGAGAACTGAACACAGTTTCATGGAATCTCTACTCAAGTGTGAAAGTTCTAGCACTAAAATTAAAGCATTAAAATGCATTAAAATGGTTGGCAAAGTATGTTGACCAAGTACAACCTCTGACTTTAATCATGAAATCACTTGATTCCAACTTGGAAGCATTGATCATTTCGATTGTTTTAAACCCAAAGATCTAAGGAGGCAAGTCTGGTTGCTGTTCAAATAAGGAACACTTTTTGAAAGGAATAATAAAAATTTCTTTGTTTCTTTCCATTCAGGGAAACATACCTCTAAAAGACTTGCCGGGTCGCCCCGTTGAGTTATTCATGTGCAGTGTCCTCAAGCAACAAGGCTACGGCGAAGGCTTCAAATGGCTGGCACAGTACATATAGTACCTCCATCTGATCTAGGATAACTCATAGGATTTTTGTAAGTTAAGAAAAAAAACCAAAACGAATGAACTTGTTATATGCGATTGAACTTCCAAAACGACAACAAGTGGAGACTGCTCCCTAAGGGGAAAAAAGGAACGGTCGTCTGCCTGAGCCTTGAAGCTCAAACATGAGACCAAGCGACTTGAGGGAAGTGGGTGCCGTTTGTGTCGTCTGGTCAAACGGTTCAGCGTTTTTTTGCAAAGACTGAATGACTATATTTTAAAGATGCATCGAGGAGAGTGGGATAAAAAAAAGAAAGCATTACAAATTCTTCACTGGTAATTTGGGCTGATGAATACGCTCTATGGACATTTATGTACCCATCGAAAAAAAAAAAGCAATGCCTGATTTTGACTGCAAGTGCCGTGCTTCATGGGAGGTCAACCCGGGAGACAATGCTTTGAGCTGGATGTGTTGCTGCCATTGTAACACTGGAAACGTAGCACTACAGCCACGCGTCCGGTAGACCTGCTTCATCTTGCGGACCTGCTGCATCCTGCAGACCTGCTTCATCCTGCAGATTTGGATCATCCTGCAGACCTTCATTCCATTCGCTCGATTCACTCTGCAGACCCATTTCATTCTGAAGAACTGCATCGTTGTGCACATTTGTTTCACTGGTGTAATTTGCATCTCAACCTCGCATCCTGGGAGTAACAGGTGTTATTTCATCTGACCCTCACATGGATGCGTCCGAGGATAGTGCTTCCTAGGATTTTTGGGGGGTTTACGGAGGGGATGGGGTTTGGTTAATGAGATATGACCTTTCTTTTTTTTTTACCCGCAATGGTAGCTGCCGCGATTGATCTACTAAAAGTCATGCGTGTGATTTGCACCTGAGAGAAGAGACCATTTCCAGTACATTAATATTTGCACTTTGCTGAGTATACAAGAGTATTGCTTAGTAAGCCAGAAAGCAGGTTCAGTACTTTTGATTTCCATGTATATGCAAATTGGCCAAGTGATTTTTGCCTGTTCAGTAGATTTATCTAAGTTCGCCCAGCTGAAGGTGGCATTTCATGGGGGTCAGTCTGTCATTTGGGAATTCAGCATAGCTGTCTTTGAAAAGAATTTACCGCCAGTGGCTTCGATCTGAGCTTGAATTGCATTGTAGGTCAACATTCCGATCTCAAGGCTGTTGCTATTTTAACTTCCCCCAAATGAAGGGTTTTCAGGAAGGAGCATCCCCCTAATGAAGGGGTTTTAGGAAGGAGCATCCCCCAAATGAAGGGTTTTTAGGAAGGAGCATCCCCCAAATGAAGGGTTTTTAGGAAGGAGCATCCTGCTGAACCGTTCTACTGCTCCCACTTAAAGACATTTGTTCACGGTTACAGATGGTCTCACTTTTTAAAACTGTCTTGTTCGAATGCTTGCATATAATTGGTCCTTGAGGGTATTCAGGAAAGGGGACTTTTTATTAAAAAATCCAAGGTGTTAGTGTACACTTTGCTTAACCCTAACAGTCCTTCACCTTTTGGAGGATTGAGGACTGTTAGGGTTAAGAAGCGTCAGTTTCAAGAAAAAAATGGTACAATAAACATGCACCTGTTCCATAGGTTTTGAAATGGGTTGATGTTATTGTTGCTTTTTTAGTGAAACACAGTGAAAAAGCAACAGAAAGTTGGCGAGGTGGTTTGTAGGAAATGAGACTAGTTTTGCAGAGATAAAATTAATTTGCCACACATAATGCAGTACCCGAATGATTTTTGCAACTCCTGTACGTCTGAAAATTGAGGAATGAGAGACAAATTGATAATTCTCCGTCACTGCGATACTTTGATTCATCAGCAAGGATCAGTAAAGTCTTTTATGTATTTGTTCGTAATGTATGCAAAAAGTCCTCTGTGTATTTATTTTTATGTTGATGGCATAACGTTATGCAGGCTTGTGAACTTTAGCCAAAAAAAAAAACACTCTGATCGTCATGTACATTTTAAATGTTTTAAGTTGGTTGTCAGTTGTCCGATAATATTTCGGCCCTTTGTTCCGCTGTTGGATGTGGGTGCTTTCATGTACTAGACTGATATTGTTATACACCTGCGTTGTACAGAGCAACAGTAAATTCCAGATTTAGGCTTAGCAATGATAAGAATGGATCAAAGTGCAACTTTTTCAAAGTCTGTTCTGCAGACCGTACTTCTTTCAGAGCTAGTTAAGCTAACACCAGGTATTGAAAAGCAGTAAAATTGCAGCCTCATTCAAAAACGGAGTATTTTCATCATTGGACCGCCTGTTTTTGTCAAAATAAAGAAATGCTATACTGGTAATCCACTAGACCGCATGTGTATGTCTGACATTATTGCTTGTAAATCATCAAATCATCAATCAGATCATTTCCTCAAGGAAGCTCGTTTTGATACTGTCATGCACACTTTGTATAGCTTGTTAGCAGGTGAATCAGGTCTAATAATCAGTAACATTTCATTATTAAATGACTGCCAATCGCCAAACTCTCATTTTAACACACTGTTCCTGGCATGTATCTGTTACAGTTTGAGTGTGCTGTCATAATGTAGATGTTGCATCTGTGAAGAAAAACCAGAAAAACAAAGACACGGGCATACCTGTAAATTCAAGCATTGCTAGCCTGCAAGGTGTGAACATGCATCATGTGGTTCAAGCAGAATCATGTAAATTCATTTCAGTTAACAATTATGCAAATTTATTGGGCAAAGTGGGCATTCAGACGTTACGTGTATGGAATGTTTTCAGTATTGTGAAATTCTGCTTGTGTGAAGCTTTGTGCTGTTTAAATGCATGTACATGTAGTTGAATCTGTACAAATCTGCCATGAGTCAAACTTTGGCTCTTAAATGTTTGTTCACATCGCATGAACCGCTGTACTTGTAGATATGGTTTGAACTGTTACCAGAAAGACTTTGTGATTTTCATTTTTGCATAAAAACCAGTGAGGGTGGTTTGCAGATCAACATTGAGGATGGTGATAGACTGGCTCCTTGCCCTGGTGTTATTTCAAATAATGGAACAAAATTTTTGGAATCGACATTTGATGAGATAAGCCCTGAAAACCATAGGGGTGCCCTACGTTTCCAACAATATGCCATATCTTTTCAATTAAATTAAAGAGAGTAGTGAAAGGGCATCAGCCAGGGTACATGTATGATTACACAGTTATCTGGTCTCAATATGCAGATTTTTTTCCAACCTTGGCCGTGCTCATTAGATCAGCAACCTGATCATCCGTGCTGGGGTTCATACTTGGACTTAAAGTGTTTCCTAGCCCAGTTGATGTAATGTTTTGTCCTACTGACGGATGTGTTCTCAAGTACTGTTGACAATCTCCACCTGTACTGAGCTTCATACTTTTCGTTTGACAAGTCATGAATGTTTTATTTTAATTTTTATGTTTATTTTCTTGATATTGTATGCCATGTATGTTTTTCCAAATGATTGTTTTTATGAGTAAATTTATTGCATGCTGACACAATTACTTTAAAATATCTAATTGCCTTGAATTTAGTATGTAATCCTTTTGTCCTTAGTGTGTAGATGTAGAATGTAATAATTTTGTTGGTATAAAAGTCTCCATTGATGTTGTGACAGTGAACAGTCAGAGGCAATTTGTAAGGGCACATCCACCTATATTGGAAACTTGGTGAATTTTTTGACTGTCCATGATCTGCTTCATGTTGAGGTTGATCCCGCCTCATTTCCTTGTCAGCTTCTCCCAGTGAGGTTTTGGATCTAACCCCATCGCTCATCCAACCATTCATGCAGTAGATGCATTCTTGGTAGTTTATGTCAGTGCTATTTTAGTGACAGCTCTTTGCTATAAATAACTTTATGCAGGAATAGTGGGCAGAGTCAGAGGTCCAAAAACAAGCCAGTAGGAGTGGTCAGTGTTATCGTCTGCATACAAATTTCTGTATATATTGAGATGCCCAAGCAATCTATCAAAATGGAGAACAGACCGTGCTCTTTTAATAGTTGCGGGGGAAAAAAATTATGACTCATTTTGTGGGATCATATTGCATATGTGCTGCTTTATTCTACGTTTTTTAGGGAAAAAAACTGTTTTGTGATCAGACTCGGATAAAAAAGTGCACTCGATGTAATGGCCATTTTATACACTACATTAGGAGCAAGGGAAGTTGCAGAATTTTTAAAGGTCTAGTAAAATGTTTTTGTTTTGGTTGTTGCTGTTTTCTTTTCTTAAAAATATGTATGTATGTAAATTAACAAAGAACGGCAGATTTGCCGATTGGAATTGGAACAATAAAATGTCAGTAATATTGCAGCCTTGTATTGTGCGGTTTATGGGAATATGTTATTATTGGAACATGGAATGAAGCTTGTGAAATCTGTCAAAATCAGTCAAATGACCCCTTTGTGTCTGTGCACTTAGGCAAGTCAAGCGGAAGGTATTTTTGATTGAGCCTGTCGTAGCAAAAGGAGGGTTAGAAAAGATCGAACTCAAATTTCATTCTGAACTTATTACATCTGGGGTACTGAGTTTTGGTACACAGAAATAAAATCAAATCAATCCGCTCATAAATTGACTCCCGTAGCCCACCTAGCTCTAAGACAGATTTTACTGCTTTGGCCAGTGCACCGTGCCGCTGACGAGCACAGCCGGAAAGCAGTACCATAGAGGGCGCTATATTCGAAACAGAGACACATTCACATGTACAGCGCACATGTTGATAGGAGCTTTGAGAAGAAACCGACGGATCGAGCCCAGCGCGTGCGTGAAGAGTGAATGCATGCTCGCTAGTGCATGACGCCTGCGCGGTGCACTGACGCAACATGTACTAGTTGTACATGTACGCGCGGTCGGTCGTACAGTACATGTACGGATTAACCAAAGCACGTTGGACGTTCGAGTATGCGTCCCACGTGCTTGGATTAATCCGTACTGTACGACCGCCCGCACGCCCGCATTCATTTCGTACGCGTATGAAGACTGAAACCTATTCTCTTTTCATATTATTGCACACAAAGGCAAGGAGGGAAACAGTCTCTCGTACGCGTGACATATGCATACGTACCTAGCCCGTACGGCAAGGCACAGTGCAGACGCGTTCACCTTTGTTGGTGTTGTGTGTGTTGTGTGTATTTTCTGCCCAATTGAAATTCATCGAGAGTCACAATGAGTAAACGCAAAGCTCCACAAAATGACAATCCAAACAAAGATCTGGTGGATGTTCTCTCTGGTAAGGAAACATGGTGTATTAAGTTCAAACTGCTGCTCAGTCAGTCTGGACTTATGTGTAATATGAAACGTAACGTTTTACCAGTTTCGTGAAAAGCGTGTGAGGCTAGTCATGCTAGTAAATGTTATCGTTACTATTATATTATTATTATTTATTCATGCCATTTCTTTTCCATCACATACAAGTTTGGAATAGGAGAGGCAAAAGCGATAACAATCACTGTGGCCAAAGACCTGCCTATCCTCATGATCATCAAGTTGTGTACAATAAATAAAAATATTGGGCCCTTAAAAGTATTTGAAGCCAAAAGTTAGAACTTATAAATATTTAAATATAAAAGAAAAAGAATGACTGGAAATGAATAAAGATAATGTATGCTGTTGAAAAAAAATTGAATACATGTGGCCGAATACACATAAATGAGCGAGGGCACTGTTCACTTGAGAACTCAGTTTCTTAAAATTAAATTGGAAATTGTGATTTCACGTGTCCAAGTTGTTCCATAACAGAGTTGGCAAACTATGAGAAGAATGTAACCAGACAGATGCATAAGTACAATGCCTACCGCAAAGCCGCGAGCACCATCGCCAAATACCCTGAAAAAATCACCAGTGGCAAGGAAGCCAAGAAACTGGTAAGTTTGAGAGACATGGTACTTGAACTTGAAGTACTTTCTGAACAGTAAGGCACTACTCGGTAGGCCTTACTGGCTCCTCACTTTTGATTGGTTTCGTACGCCTTGGCATTATAAAAGCAGCCCAGCAATAACATGATAACCCTCTGTTTTTACTTTCTCAATCAAATCTTCCCCGAAAATCCATAACAACAGACTACATATATTAAACTCCCCTGACTTATTGTTTTTGGAGTGTGTAACCCACTTTTTTGGACACTGGACAAACACTGATGTTTGCCATTTGCCTGCTGTTTGATAGGATGGTGTTGGGGAGAAAATTGCCAAAAAGATTGATGAGATTCTAGCAACGGGCAAGCTGGAGAAACTGGAGAAGATCCGAGCAGATGACACAAACGTCGCCATCAACCTGATGACAAGAGTGACAGGAATTGGGTCAGTGGGGGAAAAAGGGATTCAGAGAAATGTTGGAAATACTCTGAAAGAACATAATTAACCTAATCCCTACATAATACTAAAAATTACTACTTAGTAATAAAATGTAGCATTCAGTGCTGTTGCTTGTATGAGGACATGAATTCATTGCTTTCTGAAGCCATAAAATACAATAAATAAGACAATGTACCATTCAGTGCTGTGGCACTAAGAATACATGACTTCATTGTTCTCTGTACGAGTAACAATGGAAGTGCCCTAGCCAGAAGTAATTATTTGTAGCACTAGGTCCTTCAGGCTCAGACTACTATGTAGTATTTTGTAGGACTGAGTCCTGTAAGCCAAATGATATGCCAGGCAGTTAGGGTTAAATAGACTTTCCTTCAACCCTATCAGGAAAACAAACTTATAACTCAGAGACGTGTTATACAAGTAATAATCAGCCTGGTGGTGTGTCGTTATTGATGCACAAGTTGTGACAAAGATACTGAGAAATGACATCAGAACTCATGCAAGTACCTTCTTAAATACAACAGATGTAAATGTGTCGTATTGCCCTAGACTTTTGCCAACCATGCTTGAAATTTATGTGAAGCATTCCGCCCACAGAAAGAATTGTTTATTTAGAAACACAAAGAAGGTATTGTGGTGTACTGATGGAATGTTTCTCTACTGGTTTGCTGTGTGCTGGTGTTTGGAAAGAAAGCAAGTGACATTTTTTGTTATTTTCAGCCCAGCTGCAGCGAGAAAACTGGTTGACGATGGCATCACAACAATAGAAGGTAACAACATGCTCTGTTTGGATTCAGAAGAATGATCCAGCCCCATTTACCTCCTGTCTGCCCAAATCTTCTCTACTCTGTTAAATTGATAGAATTTCAGTCAACACTAACTGCAGAGGGCCATGGCTGGTGTTTAAATATCCAGTGCATTGAGTAATGCCACAAGGTCTACTGTTGCATTTTGTTGCATTTTATCAGGATGACTTTCTATTGCGTTGCATTTTGTTGCATTAAGCAGGGTTCTCATTTTTACAATGTTGTATTTTGTTGCACTCAGCATGGGTGGAAATTCTGTTTGGTTGCATAAAAAGCAGTGTTCCCATTACAACTGTATTGCATGTTGCATTCAGCGTGGTTCTCATTCCTACCATGCTGAATTTGTAGAAATTAGCTGAGAAAATAAAATGGTAATTTATAGGGTGAATCAAATGACATCACTGAAGAACTGCTATAAAAATTGGACACCTTCCTTCTCAGCTGTTGAATGTTGAATTTCATTTCTTTTGACAGAGCTGAGGAAACATCAAGACAAGCTCAACCACCACCAGAAAATTGGACTCAAGTATGAAATCAAAGTTATGAAGTTATTTTCTTAAAAGTGAAAACCATTTAACAGAGTGTTGACAGATCACTTTTGCCTCTTTCCCCAATCAGCTCAGTAGCCTCTTCCACCTAAAACATTAAGGCTGAACTTTCCCGGATTTTGGCTTTGAATTTCCCCCTAAAGCCTTGGAAATATGCTCCTCATATTAGGGTGACTGAAAACATGTATATTCAAAACAAGTGCCCAAAACTTGCCCAAACAGGCGGCTAAAAGTTGCCCATACTCAAAACGAGACCTTAACAATGCCTCCAAAGTCTGACTAGATTCTATAACCCTGTTCGAAATGAATGTACATAACACAACTTGGCTGTGAGTTGACTGAAGGAGTGTTTTTGCCTCTGCCAGGCATTTTGAGGACTTTGAGAAGCGTATCCCCCGCCCAGAGATGGAGAAACTGGAAACGTTTATCAAAGCCCAGGTAGAGGACCTAGATCCGGACTACATCGCAACGATCTGCGGCAGCTACAGACGGGGAGCTGCATCAAGTGGTGACATTGATATCCTGCTAACACATCCAGAATATACCTCTGCTGATGAAAAACAGGTCCGGAACCTGAAATTTAGCCTTGAAGAACCTCAGTCAGGTTCCGAAAACTTTGTTCATACAGTAACTCAATCTCTGTGAAATTTTAACGCTGGAGTTGTGGCATAGTAACATTTTTCGAATTGTTTTTCGTGAAAGTTTCACTGTGCTTTTGTTTGTTACTTTTCAAAGAAACAATGTAAGGTTTGGAGTTATTGAAGGCAGCCTAAATAGTAGTGTTCAGAGCTGAGCAAGATTGTCATTATGCCCATCATTTTCAAGACGCTCGGTGGAGCTAATTAAAAGACTACTCTCCGAGACAAACAGCCTACGTGCAAGCTTTGGTCATATCAATAAAGTTCAAGCAAGGTGTGAGAAAATTGTCCGGTTAATGGTTAATGTTTTTTTGTTTGCCCCTTTTTTCTAAACAGCCTGAACTGCTTCTCTCAGTTGTAAAGCAGTTGGAGAAATCTTCCCTTGTAACTGACACCATCTCACTTGGCGAAAGCAAATTCATGGTAATCATATTTTTCAATTTTTTAAGTTGGGTTCCCATGATGGTTTATTTTATGATTAAAAAAAGTAATTACCTTTTCTACAGGGCCATATTAAGACCGTCCATTACACAATTTCATCAAAAGCCTTTGTTCTTTCCAGGGGGTGTGTCAGTTGCCAGCAGAGGAGGAGGATGAGGAGGACCATCTCTTCCGACGCATCGATATCCGACTTATTCCCAAGGACCAGTACTTCTGTGGCACGCTTTACTTCACCGGCAGTGATATGTTCAACAAAGATATGAGGGCCAAAGCTATCGAAGCTGGTTTCACGCTCAATGAATATACTATCAGGCCCATGGGCAGCACAGGTGGGTACCAGCCAGTTTTTAAAATTTGAAGAGAGGTCACCTTGCATAGATGCCAAACATCTCTGTTTAGTTATGACAGGGTTAGTCGTACCAGTGTTTTGGTCCTGTGCAGGTATTGCTGGTGAGCCTCTACCAGTTAACAGCGAGAAGGATGTGTTTGACGTCATCGGCATGGCATACAAGAAGCCGTCGGAGCGTAACATGTAGACATGGGGAACCCAACTAACAGCCACTATTGATTGAAGCAGGGTGGTCATTCAGTGCTTTATCTAGAATAAACACAGACTGACATTTGTCTAGTCAGTGATACAGTTATTTTGACGTATCTGGAATATTCAGTGATGCAAACGTGAACTTCCAAGTATATATGAGGAATTCTCAACCCATGAATTGGAACTATAACACAGGGGCGCAAGTTTTCTAGAGACGGTTTAGGTCAGCTGGAAAAGCAAGTTGTACACGTGGATATATATAAACAATTGAGTTGTGTAAAATTGGACCATTTTAGTGCAAATGAAACATTCCACAGTGGATTGAAATTGCACTCTGTAAGTTGCCAAATTTGATTACCAATATGGTAAATATAAGTCATGTTCAACCCAGTGGCCCGCCAGGCCCATCTCTGCGAAGAGACCACTCTGGTGCTCTGTTTAATAAGCATTAGTGTTACAAAAACCTCAGTTTTTGGAGAGAAAAAATGTTATAAGTTGCCATTTTTACAGGTCTTCAACCGTGTCTAAGTAGTTGCAATAGAATGTAGTTTCTGTTGTATTTTGCCAGTTGGTATTCAATTCTCAAGTGGCCTTTTTGAACCATGGGGGGACACAATGGGAGGGCGCTATTCGAAGTGGGTAAATGTGGAGTAAACAAAAGATTTACCCAAACAAAATAGCACCCTCTTGTGTCCGCCATATCAGGTACCTCATGTAGGCCGTTGCTGTTTGTGCTAGTCGTTGCCCTTTGTCATTTTGGAACAAGGAGACTTCAAGGTAAAGTTTTAAACCGAAGCTTGTGAATATGATGTTGGAATAAAGGACAGGTCAGCATTTTTCTAAGAGAAATAAACATCTGTATTTTATTTCAGAGATTTTGGTTTGCTGTTTCATTTGAAATGCCAGTGCCAGATATGCCACACAACTTTCTATGTACTACTTCATTCAAAAGAGTGGTACGAGCAAAATCAGTTGAGTTTCCCTTTCTTGAAGTATATAAATTTATGAAAATCATAACGATTATTGTAAGTTTGAGAACCGAAAGTCTAAAAGACATCCATCTTCAAACATCATCATACAACTTTGTAATATCTGATCTCATAAATATTAATTCCATTGACACAATGTAAACTTCTTTGAACAAAATACCTGAATGATTTCGCCTATTTCAGTTAAAAGGGTCTTATGTCTGCAATCACGTAAAGGGACAAATGCAATGAAGAGAAAAAAAGAAAATAGTTCTCCACAAAAAAAAAAGGCAAAATGGTTTATGAAAAGTAAATCTTAAAATTCAATTTAATACTCAAATTGGATGAAAATATTTGCATGGGCTGACAACCAAAACCTAACAACTGGATCATTTATCTTGGACCAACTACAATCTGCACTTCTTCATGTTTACAAGACAAGACAATATTTGCCAAGTGTTTGATGCAATTTACCTGAAAAGCCCTAAATTAAGGTGTAAATATGAAACTTCACTATTCGGAGAAGTTTGAGGCTCACAAAGGAACTCTTTAAAGAGTAATTTCTCCCTGTAGAACTACTGTCGCTTTGCCCAGCAGATCAACGCGCCCATCATCACGCACCCTTATTTGAATATCTCCACCCCTCTTGGAACACTGACGAGCTATCAAACAAGCAAGAGAAATACATTTGATGTTAAGGGGAGCCCCTCCACATGAGACCAAACCACTTATAAATTATAACCCCAGATATTTGGGTCACTGGATGTTAATCAGAAAATTTCTATGCCTTGTGGCTCTGAGGAACTTGCCCTGGACTGGAGATGCACTGAATGGAGATTATTACTGGATATCTCCTATCAAGACCAGTGATGTAGTGCCTTGATGCGAGCCTTGGCCATTAGGTTGACTTAAGGTTTGATTTGAGGGCCTTAGCGTTGTGACTAGAGAGTCAAAGCCCTGGCCTTGAGGATCAAAGCCTTTGCTCCAACACTGATCAAGACATTCTTACCATAGAGTTCCTTCTTGCCAAGTTGCTCTGCCCAGTAACCAGCCAAGACGGTGTGTGCAGAGCCTGATAGGAAAAAGGAAAGTCTACTGCTGTTTACTTCAACCCTCTTCAAAAACAAGTCTGAGCATAGGTTAACCCTTAGCTATACACATGCAAAATATCATTCATAGGCACAATTACCAGATCTGTTTCTGTTGTGCAGTCATGCCTATTAGTACAATTCAGTTTAGTTTGAGCGCTTACAGCACAGGAAATTCCTGGGACATTTTGTCTCCTTTTCTGACCTGTGACTGGGTCCTCGGGTAGGCCGTGCCAGGGGGCGAAATAACGGGAGACGAAATCGTACTGCTTGCCGTCGGCATCGATGGCCCCGTTGCCAGGGTTACCCTTCAGGGTGACGATGACACCTTTGACTTTGGCGTGAGGATTGGGAGCGGCCATCATGGCTCCGAAGTCGGGCTGCAGACTCTCCAAAGTTTCTCTGCGTGCACAGAAAATGAAATGATAAATGGCAGCAGTCGTCATTTCTCCATTTACGGTTTACTGGAGCTATTTGTGTTCAAAGGGAAAGCAACTAACATGTTTAACATGGCACATCTTAGCCAATTTCCTTACACTGGCATGATCTTCATTTCCAGAAAAATCAAGGAATCTCCAATATCACATCTGCATTGTAAACTTTGCCCCTGAAACTGTTTTGAATCATATTAAGCAGACACTGCGACAATGGGCCAATGCTAGAGGGAAAACTATATTGCCAATAAAATACTACATGTACATATATCCTATACCACTACGAAAGGCAGTGAGTTGTAAGTCGTAGTGCCCTATCATAGCAGATCCTTCAGTTTCCAAGAACATGGTCATGCATCAGGAATATAGCAACATCTTGAATTAAGACTAATTGCACAGGAGGTTTAAAGCACATATTCTTGGACAAACTTGGGCCCAGATTCCCAAATCAATGAGGCTTACATTGTCAGAGCAGTAGTCTGTCCGTCTACAACATAAAATGGGTACAAAATTCATTGACGATGTGGAATAATCATATCGCTGTCAAATTGGAAATTCTCGCTATATGTACATGTACCTAGTTGCAGAGTCAGGCAAGCGGAGAAGAAGTTCCTGGTTTGCTCCCAGAGTAAACTGAACATCGACAGGTGTGATAGGGCCAAGGGTAGCCTAGGATAATTGCATTGCAAGACATTAGTCTCAGAGTTTCAAATTTTCTGTGGAAAGCCCACATGAAATGCCAGAATGCCTTAAACTCAATGGAATTACTTCTGCATGCGAGACAGAACAAGGTACTGTAAAACTTTTGAGTTGTTTTGAACAAAACAATGAGAGTGAGTCTATGCAGCTTTGTCAAATGGCAGCTGATGAAGATACTGTCAGTTATCAAGATATTACCACATCCAGTTGTGGTAATATGCTCATGTTGGCTCAAAACACGTCTGGTGCCAAGTCACCATTTGGATGCATCTGCTCACCAAATAAAAAAGTCGCCTGACTCCTGTACAGTCCATTCACGTTCTAATCTAATCTTTTGCTTCTAACTAAACTTACTATAGTTTCTCTTTTGGAAAAAACTTATGGAAAATCTTAATAGATGTACATGTACACTGTAACTAAATTGAGACGTCAACTTTGGCTTGTGATAGGACTTTCTCCCTGCAACAAGGAAATTTTAGAGAACTGTGCTTGTTAAAAGATGAGTAAAGTTGCCCTGATTTTGTTTTGCAGGTTCTTCTGAACGCTAGACCTCATGATAGGCAAACTCACTGAATTTTATACTGAAGTTTGACAGTACCTTGTCTCTGTATCCCTCAGCCTCAGTAGCAACTTTTTAGTCCTTTCTGAGTAATACACGTCTTGTGGCACGTGTTGACCAATAGTTACCTGCAGATGGTGTGACTATGTGATTATGATCATGTTGATGGAAAATTACAAGGTATTGCATAACATGAAAGATGAATGTTGACCAAATCATCTTGCATGTGATGATCATGGTAACCGATGATTAACAATTGATCAATGAGCAAGCGATAATCAGAGAGTGGTGATTTGACAACTATAGTGATGGCGATCGGTGAAGTGCTGCACTCGACTCTACCACAAATTTGTGGACAAGTGTATCTGAAGTCAGTTCAGTTTCAGTAGAACACCTGTCTCAGCTCACTTGAAAAAGTGACAATATAAGACTGAACGACTTCTAAAGGACTTATGTGGACTTGGGATGGATTTGCCAGCAACAACAGCATCCATGTAATATTTAGGTCAACAGAATGATCATTATTGCAAATGGAAATGTCAGTGAATGAGGGCCAGACTGTAATGGTTTAATCATAAAAAATGTACTGATTAAGGAAATAATTATGAACTGTAAAAGCCACATCCTACCTGAATAAGCTGTGCTAGAGGGGCCCTATCCTGCATGACATAAAGAAAGATCAAACAAAAGTTGGTTACAACACAAATCTATTGTTCACACTCTCATTCGATCATAATATCTTGTGATTTTCATGTTGCTGCAATTTAGTCGTTATTTCTGGGTATTCTAAAGGCCATCAGACTCATTTTTCCTGAACTGTCACTGACTGGCAATATCCTCCCCCTAACACTCATAAATCTACCAATTTGTAGACAATTTTTTACAAAAGCATCAATTGTCATTTTTAAAGTTAGTTGTCAGTCCCTTGTGCACACTCGCATGCACAGGCATGCTCTACAGTTGTGTGGACCACATAAGTGTTGCATAATAGTTACTGTGGTCTCTAAAGATACTGTGGAGATGTGCGAAAACATCCAAATTCTTCAATAAAAATTCTCTTAATAATACAAGTCTTGAATCCTTTCAATGGGATCCCAGCGTCTTGCCGAAAAGTGTCCAATGGGAAAAAGTGTCGGCAGAAGGATGATGCTAAGGACAGACGCTATCTAGCAAACTTCTGGCGACAACTGCTCTATCATGAAGGCCTGACCAATCAATGGGAGTATGCTAATGAGCGGATAATATTTTACACCAGACACTTCTGCGTGACACCAGCCAGAAAAAAACAACACCTCTGGTGATGGCATATTCAGCGGGAAGTCCAGGCCGATGTAGGCCCCTGCCCGCCTGGCTATCAACTCGCCGCTCCTGGACTGGAATCGCACTGCATCATTGCGGTTGCCCACGACATAGAATAGCGCCGCAGCTGAAGCCAAGGTGGCATGGCCGCACAGGTCCACTTCATGGGTGGGTGTGAACCAACGAATCCTGAGGTGGGTTGCTTCGGAGAAATTACGGGGGAAAAATTAAAAAAAAAATATTCATCTGCAAAAAAGTTTTCTATGTCACACTGTGTTCTTATTCCTCCATGGTCACATTGGCTTCAAAGACATCTGCATGTATGCACTCAACTAGATCATACTAAAAAATCATCAGATCTTATCTGAAATTTGTGATTTTTTCACGATTCATGTCGTAAGGTAAAGGCACTTCGAGAACTCTAAAGTCACAACTGCGTGATACTCCGTTAGTGATTTACAGTTCTCGAAGTAAGGTAAAGCCTAGGTACCAGTCTGAAATGTTTCGCCTGGCACAAGAGTCTGTAGATAAGCAGTTTCTGATAGATTCATTTCGGCGGCAATCTTCATCTTTGTTTCTTCAGGAATATCCTGAAAAATACAAATATAAAAGAATTATCTTTTGGCAGCTGTCGTGAAGACAGATACATAATTTCAGCGGTTCAAACATCTCTTACTACTCGTACACCAAACTAGCACAGCAACAAATTGTGTCATCAAAATGTTTTGGCCTCGGCATTTCCATTTGGTAATGGCATGTTAAGCCCGGGTTCCTCACCTCGCCGAGGCAGCAGACGGCCGCTGAATTGCCAGCAAAAGGCTTGTCGGTGAAAGCATCCACTGTTATAATAGGCAGTTTTCCCTCTCGTCCGGGAAAGACATATTTTTCAGGATTTTCGGATGCCATCATGACAGCAGAAACACATTCCCGATCCCTCGTCTCGATCGCTCGAGTGCAGTCGCCTCTTGATGCAATTCATAAACTTGGTTAATTCCTCTGTCATTACATCTTTGACCGAATGCACGAGGAAACGAAACAACTCAAAATACAATTTACACTTTTTATTCCACCCAAATTAATTCTGCATTCATTCCAAAGGATTGGTAAAGTTCGACTAGCATGAAAAACAGTAGTTATATGGATTAAAAAGATCAACTCCGGCCAAAGAATCTGTGTGTTTCAGTTTTCTTAATTTGAGAGACTTATACAACTTTAGTAAAAACGTGCTTCTTTCATCCACGTTGCCCTTTGACCTCTCGTGTGTTTACTCGGCTGCGCACTCTCATCACAGCAAGAATGTAGCTCACGCAGTGCCGCGGGGACGCGAAAAACTGTTCTTCCGTGGACTTTGAACCAACCACACGATCGGGAGAAAATGGCGAATTACACAGTAGTGCTGGAGGGTGGATCTCCGTGGGGATTTCGGATGAAAGGAGGGAGGGGAACTGGTATTCCTCTTGTTGTCTCGAAGGTGAGTTAGCATCGATTTTCCCCCATTGATTCTTTTAAGTACTTTAAAATTGGAATAACTGTGGGGAGGGCGCTCTTCTCTGAAGGCCCTACAAAATTTACAGTTTTTTGGAAAGAGTTCCACTCACGGACAACACAAATTTTCCCTTGAAATGTTATAGCAGCCATCAGAAAGTGATAAAATGTCCTATAAAGTGAAATTCAGGTGGGAAAATTCCGAAGCATTTACTTAGAAAAGTTTTCAGACAAGTCTCATCATAGTCACACCAGGTTTGTGCACAGAGGCTTCAACTTCAAGTGGTACTCTATTTTTTTTCATGCAGGAAAAACTTTTTTTTGTCGAAGTTATAATTTTTTCCACTTTTCCCTTCACTGCATTTAGTGGTATTTATTAATACATTGATATTTTATTTGCATCAATTTTAAAAACTACTGTTGAGGCATGTCACGCTTGTCAGAATGGTCAGTGACCGTTATGATAGGGACTAAAACAATTTACATCATATTTGATTGCGAATGTGATAAAAGATACAAAAAGGTTTCTGATTCAGGACAAAAAAGGAGATGTACACGTAGTCCTATGGTTTGTCTCCAACGCTTGTTTTCTTGTTTTCCTTGATAAAGTTAAATATGTTACATGTAAATGCATGTTACAAGTTGCAGACCTGTGACAAACACACTATTATGATAAACAAATGGTTTTTTTTCTTTCTGAAAACGCTCCTGGAAAAAAGGTGGCTTGCATACGTGCATACTCATGTTAATGATGTTATAGACATTCTAGGTACAGGTGCATTTGTGCAGATGTTAAAATGGCTTTGTGCATTGCACAACATGATCATTTTTTGGCATTTTAAGGCTTATAGCAGATGTTTTCCTGTACTTACCAATGCCAATTTATTGCCAAACAACACACACCTTGCAATCTTATATTCAAACAAACAGAAGATGGTCAACTTCTTGGAATGGGGGTTTTCAGAAGATCCTAAATCTCTTCAAAGGACTTGCTCACAAGAGTCTTTGATTTTCCTGGCATGAAACCGGAGACTCAATACCTGAAAATTGCAGAAAGTATGCAGCTTTTCGACTACTAACCATCACATGTACAATATGTGCTGTTACATGTACCGGTATGTTGCACTAGTACAAGAGACATCACCTAGGGTGACCTAATTTGTTGTTATCATTATAAACCATGCCTGCATTGTAGGACTAAATAAGCTGCAAATGTTTGTTTGGCATGAATCAACAAAGTAAACACGGGTTGTTGACATTTAGCAGTTAAATTTGTTGAAGGACAACATTTACATTTCACTGCTTTGGAAAACTTTACAAGAGAGGTTGAGTGCAGCTGTGAGCATTGTAAAATTCAATGTACATGTACTCATGCCAGTTCGATGTGTACACGTATGTGTGATATTGTCCACATTCCTTGAAAAGTTTGCTGTCTTTTGCCATGATTTGTTTTATTGTTTCAGAAACGATGCAAGCTCATTTGCAGATGTGCTGTACATTGTGGGTCTGACATTCAAATCAATACTCTACACGGTATACACACACAGCTGTAATATGCAATTATGATTGTAAAGCACAATCTGTATGCTATGCTTTATAACATGAGATATTTACAGATTTCCACTGCTGGTGATTTGTGTTCTAACAGAAAAAGAAAAATTGATGGAGGGGACTTTTTGAACAGAAATCCAATATCCCATAGAAGAAAAATGTCAGATTCACTGTTACTAACCAATTATACCAGTAATTTTGGTGGCATTCCGTCCCCAAATATAAAAATGTTTATTCAAATTTTGTGGGATATGTCTTAGAACAGTGATGGTGAAAAGTCTTTCTGAGGTACAGTAACACTGCACACATACTGTACGTTGTAATTTTTGAGCCATTTTGGTTCAAAGAAAGGTGCTGTAACTAGCACCATTATCAAACTATAAACACCTAGGCATACCGTGCACCACGTTGGTTAATTATACATGTACTGTACATATACATGCGTGTACATGTATGTAGAATTGGACAAAGATGTACCAATATATAGCCATGTACATGTTCAGGTGAATGCCTACATTTGGATTGTGCATGCTTTACACTAAGCATTTTTGATATCCAGACAAAAACTCTGTCACCCACATTTAAGGATTCTTTGAAGCATTTCAATAATGTACGGTAATTGAATCCCGTTTTGGTAAAAACAACCTGTTTAAAATCACCTAACTGTACCCGACAAAACAGGATCAATTTAGTCACACAACAAAGAGCACAACAGCTGGATTTCAATGCAAACCTGTTCCTGAAAGATACTTTGACCTTGCCTATTGTTGGGACACCTCCCTGCGTTACCTTGAGAAGTATCACAAATGTCATGTACCGTAGGCGAATTTACAAATGTGTGTATTGTAGATCGGCAAATTTGATATTGGGTGATGATCCTACACCCCGTCATTCTTGTTTTGTGCGTACATTGCTTGTATTTCAGGTCATATTTCTTGCACAGAAGCAGGGGAAATTCACATGAATAAATCAATAACCTTGGTTCTTGAAAGGTACGACTTAAACCTTTTTATTCTCATTCAAAAGACTCTATGAATCACCGTATGAAATTGATCAATGACCATAAATTATGCGACATGCATTATGAGCAACTGTTTACTCATTTTTATTGTCAACAACAGGGGTGTAATTTGTTGTGTACAATAGGACCTGTTTCTCAATTGATCAAAATGTCATTTAACTACAGGGAATAATGCCCAACAACAGTACTAGTACATCAGCTCTCATCTCTTTTTTTCACTTCATTGTAAGGAAGCACAGGGAATGTAATTTTCTGAGATTTTAGGTTTTACCTGGCATTTTTAACCCACACGTGTATCAGACTTGAACAGTCTACAGGTAAAATCAAATTAGGATTTAGTACCGGTATCTCTGAAAATTATCATTTTCAAAACAAGCAGATGCATGGCCCATTCTTGTTAACTTGTAAGCAAATCAGACAGACACTAAACAGCAGACTTCGTCACATGGAGTGTCATTTTTGGTCAATTTACCAGTGGTATGTAGGTACTATACAATGTACAGTGTACGTGTACAGGGTATGTAAACTGCCGAGACCTTGGAGACAGACCCCTCCACGATAACCTTGAGTCTCAAGTTGGAACACTTGACATTCATACCCAGCACTTGACTGGTAGCTTTATGATTAATGGTTGCTTGCTTCCAAGTTTAAATCCAAGCGCTCCTGGGTTTTAGTCTCTGGTTCCAGTGGGAGGCAGCTATCTGTTTTCCTTCCCCTGAGAGTGTGGTGAAATCCTAACCATGCCATATGGTCAGGAATGCTTGTGGTGTATGGCAGTGTCGGCTCTTGCAGGTCCAACTACCAACATTCTTGGCAAGTTTTGGATTGTACTGGTTTGTTTTGCCAGCATCCTCTCAGAATACTGTAAGGAATGCATGCTTCTCCTTTGAAGAAAAACAGGGGGAAAAGAGAAATGAAGGAATATAATCTCCAAAACTAATATCCAGACGGAACACAAACCTTTGGGACTAATCAAGGTGTATTTTAACTTCTCAGTGTGTCGAAAAAGGCCTCATCACAAAGATGGCCGGCCATTTGGTTTGGTCTTATTCATTTTCACAAGCCAAAGGTACATGTACATGTATGTACATGTATGTATGTATGTATGTAATTTCACCAGGGAAGTAAAAAAGACCAGCTACATGTACATGTAGTTTTGTCTTTTATTGTTGCATATCCGACATTTGTTAGTCATTGGGCTTTACTTTTCTGTCGTGACATCTTTGAAGAATCCAAACTATTTACAGGAACACTAGAATCCAAATTTATGAGACCTTGATCCAACTAAAGGTGAAAAAAAAATAAAATGGGGATTAAACTGTCAAAGAAGTATCTGAGCGCTTCTGCTCAAGATTTATAGACATGGGTCTGGACCTGTCCAGGTCCTCATAGAGAGCTGGAAACCGTCTGGAAAAGGGAACCTCGAAAATCAGACTTTTAAATATCACAGGAATGCCTGGATAATTTGCCCTTGTAGCGGTTCATGTACAAACATGTACACTGATGGTGTCATAAATCTGATTGTTCCAGTTATAATGCAATGGGCCAGTGTGGGATAGAGACCTGTTCTTTTTCCCATAATATCATTTCAGAGGAGAAATAATAAGCCTAATAAGGCTTTTGTGAGCTACATTTGAATGAAAACGGCACACTGAGGTCTTTAAATTCATGTGAACATAACAATTTAAATTATTCATACTAAAGACACCGTTGCTATATATGCATGTACATGTACCGGTACGCGGTGATGCGGGGCAAGCTTTTGCTTGGTTACATAAGTGACGCCTCGCACCAATACACTGTTTTCAATGGAAGAAGGGCACAAAGGAACCAGTCCATTCCAGAGACGGTGGTTGCTGTACAAAAACTTGCCCCAAATCATGAGGTATAGCAACAATGTCTTTAGTCTGGGGAAATCAGATTGTTTATGCGCAATCAGATACATGTACCGGTAAGTCAGTGTACCAGATTTTATTAAAATTCAGCTCGCAAAAGGCTGATTTCCCCCTCCCCACAAAAATCAGCGGTACTTTATTTATCTGCATTCCATGAAGACGCATAATTTCCAGCGTCTTTGAAATTGGTTGGTTGTTATTAAAGGAGGGATAAATTTGGTGCCAAACTGTGCCAAGTGTAGTAGCCTTTTTAAGCCTGATAGCATACGGAGGTGGTTTTAGTGTTCATGTTACCCAGGTTGTACGGTACCGTGATCCACCTCCTGGAACTTTTCATTAAAAAGCCAACAGTGTTGAGCGATTAACCGTACATGTACTTGTAGCAGGCAACTTACATCCAATACTATGCCTGCACAGCCTCTCCGTTGTAAACTTTCCGACAGGAAAGGGAGGGGACAATTGATTTTCTCTGTTTATTTCCTGTTTGGAAGGCCTAATTGAAATGCTGACGTACAGGTTCTTGTAGGGTCAGCAATCTCCCACATTCCACCTGCTGGTATTACCAACAGTGTTCATGTACTAATGGCCTATAAATCAAACCTATTGTTGATCCAGTGGGTTGGTTGAATGGCAGGACACACTGGTACTGTACATTACGTGTATGCTGGCTTGACTTTGAAACACAGACTCTTAGAAGCTGGCAGCAAAGCCTGAACTTTGATCTGAGCAACATTGGCTTTTTATTGAATTGGGAGGGAGAGGATAAAAGATACATACAGGCACAAACAAGCACCGTCATTTGGCCCTCTACCCTGAGGTTTAGCATACAGCAAGAGAGCATTGAATTTTGTTCCAACCGCAGATAAGTGAAACGGGTGTGGCGCTCGATTTTCACAGTCACTGAAACTGGCCTGCCACTGTGCTGTAGATTTGAATGAGAATTTGATTTGAGGCATTTACACAGCGTGCATGTGCAGTACTATATACTACATGTCATGAGGTACATGTACATGTGTAGTAAGTCTTCTTTTTTACTGCGTTCATCATGCTCATGAACAAATTCCGGAAAGTAAACTTTACTTCAGCCAGGAGAGACAATTACAGAGTCCCAATTTTTCTTCCAAGTGCAGAAGAATATTGACTATTTTTGTAAGGCACTGTATACTTTGTGCCCTGCATAATGTATGTATACACAAGATCTTAAAAATTTCTCCATCAGAGAGTTACTCATGCAGCCTTGAAAACTTTTCTCCCTGGTGCTCCACCTGTGAACAGACCTTGGCTTGAAAGTGTGCCTTGGGTGTAAAAATGTCACTCATTATCACAGTGTGGGTCAGAGTTTGACAGGAGGTTTATTGACCTTGTCCCCAAATCCCATTGACTATGGTCATTAAAAAGGTGTTGACTGTAGACTCCTTCTCAAGCCTGCTATGAGGATACTTTTGTACATGTACAGCACAGTGCTTGTCAGTGTCCCCTATTCAGGTAGTCAAACAACATAACTCAGGATACAGAAAGTTACACCACAGTCATGTGGTTTCTGTATGGCTTTTGCAAACTGGGCTGCAGTGTCCTCTGCTGGCATGTTGGCATGCTTTTTTTCCTTTATGGGTTTTAAAGTATTATCCTGGTACATGTACTTCAAAGTTATCTCAGAGACTCTTACATTTAACTTCTGCATGTTTTGGCTACATGTTTACATTCCTGTATTTTCCAAAATTTGTGTGTAGGCCTACACTACAGGAAATACATTGAAGCATTGTATACCAATACATGCGTGTACTTAAAATGCTACTGTTCTTAAAGGGCAGCAATGTAAATGCCGTTTGAGGGTTTTTGCTGATGAGTTTTTACATACATTTGTACATGTATATTCAGAATTAAGCTGTGATGTCATCCCGGGAAAAAAAAACTCTCTGTTCTTTTGGTCAATGCTAGAAAAACTCCTGCATTTTTCAAAAAGGTTTTTCTGGCCCGAGTGTTCTTTTCCTTTGTGATTCATTGTTGTGTTAACCCTGTCTCATAAATGCTTTCATTGAGTATTGATTCCTTGAATTCTCGCTCACCCACAGAAGAGTAAAATCCCCGGAGTCACACTGAAGCCTCTTTATTTTCATGCACATACATGCAATACATTTGACCCCGATTCCGACTAGTTGATGCATAATTTGACGTTCTTGGCACAAAGGGCACATCACATGTGCCATATGTGCCATTCTACCACAACAACAATTCTGGGTTCACAGTTTAATTAAACAGAAAAACCTCTGCACTGAACCATACGGGTACATGTATGCCATTGCTGGATGACAGCACGTCATCAGTACCTGTACCCTCAGTTGTCTAGGAAAGCATGGATAATTTGGAATGTGTAAAAAGTTCACTCTCCAGTGCATTTAACCTGTTAAAAGGTGGAGTATCAAATAGTTTTCTCATATTGAAGGAGACTGAAAAGTTTCAGAAAAATTGTCTGCGGACAATTCACTCCAGGCACACTGTCATATGTATGTACATTCTTGACCAAGCCCGCCAAATTATCCAAAACCTCATGGATGGGGTTTTAGTATCTTTCTTTGATAACAATTAGAGGATGTATTTTTGATTTGATTTTTTTATTCGGCAGGTTTCAAATTAAAAGAATTTGTAGTAAAAAGTTTTGAAAAAATACAGGCTTTTGTGGTGCAAAACTTAGCAGAGTGTATATGGTAGGACTAGTACCTGGAGAGCAAGACTTCATTTAGGCAAGAAAGATCAACAAGTATTCAAGTACCATAGAAATCAAAGTAAAAAAATTTATCATTGACATATCGTTGAAATGACATTTCCATGCATTCAGTGTTCTTTACTTTATTGTGCAACAAGTTTCATGTGTGGGTGTGCAGCCGTGCATACAGCTCTACACATATGCACAGGTATTCTACTGTAGCCTCACTGTGCCCAAACAACAGAGGGCGCTACATCAGGTTGATTGTAGCCACCGGGCTGACCTGAGAAAAATGATTGATTGGATGTTGTAAAATGAAAACAGCATGTTGAATGGCCAGCTGGCTTGACCATGCAGTCCAGAGTCATTTTGGGATATGCCAGCCCCTTGGAATTTTGTTTGATGATTATACATATACTTTCTTGATGAGGGGAGAAAAAGTACATGTAATTGATCTTAGGTAAAGAGATTTGTGGTAACACTATTATTAGCCTTTTAGAAGCATGACAGACACATTAATAGGAGGGCACTCAGTGTTTGACAAGCCCGCAGGAAGGGGGGGGGATGCTATGGATCACCCCTAATTTTTTTGGACCAGGGTACTGGTGCACAAAATAACACCCCTAACTTTGACCACGCTATGCCACAAACACAATCAAACTCACCAATGTCAGAGATCCCTGAACTAGGGCCACATGAAATTAAGGATATCAGTCTTTGAAGTCTTAGCCATCTGTGAAGTACATGTACATGTACAATGTAAATTATTAAAAGAACCTTTTTTCTTGTTTTGATGAAGTGACTGAAGTACTATTTGGCTTTTCTGTAGATCTGGAGACTAGTGCACCTTTATGCCTTATTTTTCATGAGGCCTACAGTACAGTTTTTCCCTGGCAAGGGTGAAATGTTAAAAAGCCAAGCGTGGGGAAAATCCTTCACAGTAAAATGCTGTGGCATGCCACACATACCAAGGGTTCTTCCAGGGGCATTTTGGGGGGGGGGACGGGCACGTGTAGCATGAAGCCCCTGTTGCCCTCTGTAATAAAAGAGTTCAGTTCTGAGCAGATAACCTGATTCCAGGTTTTATTATGACATAATACCCCTGGGGTGCAGCTCTCAAGTTTCTGTGAGCCATGAATGTTTTCATTTGGGATATACTCTACATTTAGATTTTCCTGTGGGGCTGTTCTGGTCGTATGTACCTGCCCCCCCCGTGCAGCTAGGAGGAAATCTGTGTTTAAGTACACATACAAAAAAACCAAGGACTGTGGCCCTTTTTGAGTGAGAGTCTTAAAGCGGATCAGGGACAATACAGTACACCTTACCTGGAATTGTTGTTGACAGAGACTCAGTTGTCTACTGATGCAGATCAGCTTGCCATTTGAGGATCGCTGCTCTGTAGGTATGCTGGCTTTTGATACTGTGTGGTGTTCATTCACGCTTGCCAGCCCCAGCTCAGTAGATGCCTGCCTTCACTTGTTGTGTTTACAGTGTGTATGGCGTAATCAGTTCATTATGTGTACACCCATCATAGATGTCTATCGGCCATTCATGAGACAGGACTTCACTACCGTACATCCACATACATGTATCACTGTATGATTGCAGTTCGCATGTAAAGTGAGTGGTGGTGTACCTTCAGCATCTCTGGGATAGCAAACTCATGCCTCGGAACGCTGTACACGCACAGGTACATGTACATCCCAACCTCTGCTCGTTAACTGCATAATTAGAACTACAGCACCGAGGTCGTCACTCTGCTCGACCAGAGCTCAACGTTTTGGGACGCACTTTCAGGAAGACCTCCCCCATCTGGTTTGTGTGTGTCACCAGCTACATGTAATTTTTCGAACATCACGTACAGCACTCCTGCTGGAATCTTCAAGATCTCAACTGTTGTTGGGACAATTTGTGAGATTCGGGAGCCCTCGCTTGATCTGCGTTAGGGGAATTTTAACTACCAGTACGTCTGGCCCGTGTCATTAATATCCTTTTGACGTTGTCAGAGGTCTGTGGTACGTGCACAAAGTGCTACCAGCAGAATTCTGTTGTGGTGTTGCACTATTTTGGGATTGGAATTTTTTTTGTTCGTTGTTGGCAGTGTTTTGCAGCAACGTCATTGATAGGACAACATCATCAGATATAAAGCAGTGAAAGGTAAGTGAGATTCCATAATTCACAAGCACAAAGAGCTCTCCTCTTCTGTGGATATCTGAAACTGTGACAAATCTTTGAAATCCATCTGTCCAATATTTCATTTTTCTGTATCTGTAATAAGAACAGGAACTCTGCCAAGCTGCATGATTTGGTGATCTGAGCTTTGCTTTGGGGTTTGGTAGGGCCTATATAATGTACATGTATGATTATTTATGGGACATTTTCCAAATCTGTCCAAAGAAAATGATCATGCTAAATGTTTATTGCGCAAGCTTGGATTAAAATTTCGTTGACAACTGATTTCATATCTGAAAGATAATTTATACCAGTTGTGTTTTCCTCTTTACGTGTACAGTGTACATGTACACACATGTACATGTACCGGTACCCGTACCGGTATACTGCTACTGGTAGATTTGAAATGTATGGTTTACATGTATACCAAAATGTTCAATGTAATTTTTGCTGCACAGATCAGTTGAGTCATTTGCTGTGCACATTTGTACACATATACGTTTACTTCAGTGGAAGGGTCTTGATGAGCTAATTTCCCGTTCCGTCGCCATGTTGATTTTAGCGCCCCCACGCGATGAAGTGAACAAAGCTAGAGGGGAACAAATTATCGGCAACAATAACAATCACGGGCATCCATTCGCCAAATGTTACGTAATGTTTGTCGTGAATTCGTTGCCCTCTGTTAAATCTTCTGAGCATGTGCTCGTGAAACGTGAAAAAATGCTAATTGGTATACTTGATAAAAACCACAGCTTCTAGTAATTTTTGTCCGTGTTGGAATTTCCTTTACTTGTACGAAAAATGCAATAAAACTTGACCAATGATTTGCCAGTGAGTACAGTTTTGCAAAAAATGCAATAAAACTTGACCAATGATTTGCCAGTGAGTACAGTTTTGCAAAAAATGCAATAAAACTTGACCGATGATTTGCCAGTGAGTACAGTTTTGCAAAATAGTCCCAGATTGTACACTACAGGTACATTTCCTGGGAACTTCAACACCAGCAAATTCTGTATTAAAGAGCAGGTACAAATTCATTTAGAGGGTGTTTTGTGGGATTTATTGGGACTGGGTAAGCATTTTCCACATGATTAAGTTCGGAGGGAACCATGATTATTGTTAGAAATTCCAGGCCAAATGAGTTTGGAAAGTGTTGTGCCAACTGCTATATTTCCCATTTCTATACATGTACTTGCATGCAATGCTTTGTGAAATAAAATAATGTGGAATTTGTTTTCTTTTCATATTGGCAAGCCGTCAATGAAAAGTTGTTTGCTCTCAGAGGGTTTTTGAAAGTCAACGTTTCAGGAAACAAAACTGAAAAACTCAACCAGGTACATGTACATGTACACAAGTTTGGGTTGGGTATTAGTAACGGGCCATTTAATTTCCAAAGCCCTAAAAATCTGAGGCAGGATTTGTTTCACAGTTGGGTACACAAGTCCAAAAGGGTGTCTTGAAAGGGTGAAGCCATTTGTTTACAGGAGAAAGCGCTGAAGCATGAATGCATCATGTCACACCAGCACATTGCAGGTGCCATAATCAATTAGGTTGGGTTCATGTTAGTGTCATGAAATGTCAGGTGGATGTCAGGTGTGACAATGTTACTGAGTTGGATTGAAAACATGAGCTGGTGGGTTTTTAATTATATTTACCCAAGGACAGAGTTTTGTCCACGGGTAATGTCTTTCTTCTTAATTTTATTGGTATGGAACATGTTGAGAGCGTCCCCTGGTTGATGGTCCTTGTATCGTTAGAGATGATACAGTGTTCACATTGCCACTTTTTAGACAAACACCGGCACCCGTGCTCGTTAAGTTTCATTTTATTTTCTGTAGGTTGGTAGTAACCGGAAATCTTGCTGAATTTTGACAGTTGCTGCATAATTTGTAATGTCCAAATACATGCCCATGCTCTCCAACAAAGCTTCACATACTGGGGTCAATTTCATAGAGCAGCTTGAGCACAAAATTTGTTCAGCGTGAATTTTCCTTGCTTGGCAAATCAGGTTACCAGTCAAAACTCCATGTGATGTATATTGTTTTGGAACGGTGTTCACCTGTCTTTTGGCCATTTTTTGATTTTCAGCCGGTAACCTTTGGTTTTGAAGTCAAGTTGTCTTGCACTTAAATTGGCCTCAATTTTCAATGTCACCTATTTTTAGTCCCACCGACACGTACAGCAAAAACATGCACACAGAATCCAAAGGCACAGAATCCTGGGGAGGGGGACATAGGATATTTTCTGGCATTAGAAATGTCAACAAGTTCTTCATCCTTTCCCTGTTCAATATTTTCTTAAAAAAACAAACCCAACCATTTAAGACAAAAATTTTCGAGAAAAATGGAAAAGATGTAGACAGTTATCAGTCCCTGCACATGCACACTGACTGCTATCAAATGTCAGGGTTTTTTTTGCTTGAGAATTTGTCATGTGGTCCCTGCACACACAACTACAGTATCACATACTGTTGCAGTTTTAAGACTGCGGTTTAATATATTCAATGCATTTGAAGACAAATGGATTTTACATTCTCCCAAGGTCATGTTGTCCAACATGTATTGGCACAGTGACTCACGGCACTTTGCACAATTTTCTGAGAGCATTTTTCTTTTGCCATCCTACTCAAACAATTTCCACTGTCACTTAACATCCCGATATCATATCCATATTAAGCCAGCGTCCCATACCATTCCGATTGCACATACAGGTACACGCTCGCACGTATCTCCCATTGACACACTGCCAAAGCACGTGCCCTACATGGTCTAATGAGAGAGGATCCCACAGTTCGGCAGCTGTGGATTGTTCTCGATCTGTGTATTTATAACCTTCGTTGCCTCCATTCTCAGTCGGGATGAAAATACCTGACATGGAGCTAGCTCCTCTGTTGTGTGGCATAGCTTATAAATGGAGAAATTATTTGTACACACTGGTATGCACTGATGCAGATTATCGACATGTATTGAACGAGTACTAGTGATACTGCCGTATGTCTGACTGTGGGTGAACGGAGAAATAAATGAAATGTTGTTTGCTGAATTAATGCAGAAGAACAAAAACTGAATACACTACATGTACATGTTGTTTTGACCACTGTTTGGTCAAGTATCATACGCTATGCATGTACATGTGCCAGTACCGGTACGTACATGTACATGCAGGCAATAACATGTCCAACGTGTGACGTTGTATTACTTTTGTCTGCAGTGTACACCATGGTACATGTACATTGTAGGGGCCAGTATTTCTACATTGCCTTGTAACAAAATTTTTAATTAAAGTGAATCAAATGTGTACGTAACCGTATTTAATGTAATATCAGTAAATGTACATGTACGTGCACCTTTTGAATTTAAGGTGCATGTAGAATTTAAAATTCTATTAAAATTCACCGGTACATTGTAAATGCATGTATAGCCATAGTAACAGACAGGAAATTAGCAGTGTACATGTACAATTTATACAGGTACTGGTACATGTACTGTAGATGTACATGTCAGCAGTTCCTCAGTTACATGTAAATGTAGTTAACATTTGTTACATTTTAAGCATGTTGCATGACTCTTTGGGCTCTTCAGTTTTGTACGGGTAATTAAGGGTCTTTACATCTTTAACAGAGGGTTTGCATGGCTTCCATCTTGCAGGCCTCTGCTTTAGTCCCGCAGGGTATGCTCAAAGGTTTCCCTGTGGAATAAAAGAACTGCCCTACAAGATGGCTACCATGTAAAGCCTTTATACCCTGATTTATAACACAGCCATATAAGCGATCTGGTTTGTGAACTAAATTGTTCATGTAATCTTGCAATCTATCAATCAATCTTGTAATCATGTAATCTTAATGTAGTTACATGCATACGTACATTTTTGTTTGGCACACTTGGGTGCTTAACAACTGAATGAAATTCGGCCCTAGAAATTTACAGGCCCTGGATTGCAATTGCTAAAAGAATTAGTAATACATGTACGTGTATGTGTTAATGCAAAGTGGCATGTACATGTAGGAGGTCAGGCTGCTTCACCATACATGTATATTAATTCCATGTGGATGGATACACTGGCAATTAATTAAGCATATGATTGGTCCAGTCCTATCCCAGCTTACTGTGACACGGTTGGAGTACCGGTACATGTACATGTACATTTTGATTCCTGAGGGGCATTGGGCTCCGTTCTGATATAATAATCGTTCCCTCACAACCTGTGACATTTCCGAATCATACCGCTTAAAACATGCGGACGTGCTGAGCACATAGAAGTGAGCGTTAATCATGGATCTCAGGCGATCGTGTCCTGATAAAGCTGATGTTGGGGCCTTCATCAGCCATCATCGGATTAACCCACATGCATGGCTTACAGATGAAATGAGATGGGGCAAATTGATAAAATCAACACTCGTTGCAGGCAGTGTAGCATGAAACGGCGCCATTTGTTATAATGGCACTTTTTATTTTTCATCTGCTGTGTTGGTGCCGTGAGGAGAGATTGGCGCATTTAGACAAGTGAACACAAATCATTCACAAGTCTGATCAGTAGTCATGATCCATTTTTAATTCATGTTATATAATACCCTGTCCATTTATGGGAGCCTCCACGTAGTGCTGAAATTTTCACAATTTCCGGATCAAGCGCCATCACTTGTCTGTAATGTCAGATTTTACATTTCGATAAACCGTTGGACAAAAACATCTCCAAAGTTCTGTGAATGTTGTTTTTTCTCCAAACTGTCTTGGAACAAATTAGCAAGTGGTATGATGTTCACCAGGCAGAATTTTACACAGGGAAATTTATCCCGCTGTTTTCATACCCAGATTGGAACGAAACACCGGGAGGGGAAAGCATCCCAGAAATTGCCAGAGAGAGTGAAAAGAGAGACAGAGAGAGGGAGGACTTGGGGGTAGAATTTCGAGGTCATTGACCCCTTGACCTGAGGGAGAAAGCCTGGACCAAATTCCAAGGATTTCATTCATGCCAGGCAGGCAGTTCTAAGACTGCTGTTTTGGTGCTGCTGTGCAGGCCCACTGCAGTGTTAACCTGCTCCATATTTGTTGTGATGAGGAGGGAAGGTTGTTCATGTACTGAGATGAAGAGAAAGTGAAATTCCCTTGGGCATTATTTTTTGGAGCAGGGATTCTGATCAAATTGCGATGTTTATTTGTAAAATATACGGGTATGCTTATTATTGCAAATGTATAACATTAAAGCATAATTTTCAGGGGGCATCCACATTTCTGCCGTATTTCTAAGTGCATAATTTCTTCAGCAAGTTTACAGATTTTTCTAGGAATTTGTCAGCCAGATCTACAAGAATTGTGACATACATGTATGAATACTTTCAGTTTAACCAAATCTTTTTCAGGGTTTTTACTGTGAATAACAAGAGTTCCATTGTGACACTTTAAATTTTGAAGCATTGAAAATGTTAGAATTTAGTTGTCTTGTACTTACCTGTAGATTTGCCTCTTTTTTAGAGCATTATTGTGTAATGAGCATTATTTTGGGAGAGCTATCATTATTATTATTATTATTATTATTATATATTTCTGGTAATGACACCAATGATTCCTCAAAAGCCCCATAGGCACTGTAGCTTGCAAGTCTGAAGAAACCTGTAGAGAGGAGACAGTGAGAAGCAGTTACAGTTTTAGAGGTGGGAGGAAAGGTGGGAAAGGAATATTCTGGGTAAAACTCACGGAATCAGGTAGGGACTGAAAACCCAATCCACATGTGGACTGGGCTGGGATTTGAACCCGGGCCGCAGAGGTGGAAGGCAAGGAAAGAACCACTACGCCAACCTGACTTCCCAATGTGACAATCATTGAATTTACGAAACTCATTTTCTTTTTTCATTGGATTGACTAATGCTTTTTCTTCATGTAGATCAACCCAGGCAGCAAGGCAGCTGTAGCACAGATCCACATAGGGGACACAGTGGAGAGAATAAATGGCCAACCAACAAACAACCTAGACCAGAATGATGCTCAGAACCTCATACGCAACGCAACCTCAAAACTCAAATTAGCTCTTTCAAAGTGAGTATGTTACACAGCTTTGTGGCCTGGTTTACTTGTTCAGTTCAACCTGAAAAACAAGACAGCTGGCCAGTCCAGCAATGATGTGGGAAAACCACAAAAACAAAAGACGATTCTCATGCATGGCTGGGCTTTACCTGCCTGTTGGAAAATAGAATTTAAGTAAGTTATGAGTAAATTACAAAAGTAGGCTATGAAATTGGTAGTACGCATATACCCGATATTCAAACTCAGATTCTGAATATAAAAGAAACTGGTCATAAATTTTTGCAACGTGATAAAATCAAAGTGATCAAAAGTAACCACCCACTATTACCAATAGCAAAAATGGTCTTACAAAAACAATTTACACTCTCGCTTTGTTTTCAGACCACGTCCGTTAAATGGTCCAGTAATCCCCAGTAACAACAACAGTATGTCCGTTCAGACTAGTGCAAGTGTTTCAGGTGAGTTTTACACCCTGCAGATGTTTTATGCCACACGGTCAAGCCCCTACTTGTACCTGTGTGGTCATGCAACGTGTTTGGTGTATAGTACCCGGCATGTCCATATGTGGTATATTGTATGGTTGCTACATGTACATGTACATATGTCAGTAATATGAAATTGCAGTGAATTTGGTGGTTTTTTCCATAGGTATAGTGTACTGGTACCCATGTACACCAGCTGTGTGCATACATGTACATGTATGTATTACATGTACAGTACAAGTGTGCCCATGTTTTGTACATTGTTAGTCTTATCGTACTTTTTGTGTACATGTGCATTAATCAGATCACTGTCACTTTGCAGGTTCAACTGATTTCTCGCCCTTGTCAGGTGACTGGTCAGACTGGTTTTTTGTCAAGTTTCTCATTTAGAAAGTTCTGTAAACCGGATTGTTTTTTTTGGGGGGAAGGGGGAGATTTTTCAACTTGGGAGCTCTGTACTAACCTTAGTTTGCCTAAACAGGCCAGCAGAGCGTTAGCAACTTTGCAGTTGATGATGAGACTGTATCGGTGGATGGCGTCACCTTCCATGGTTTCTCACCCAGTAATGTGTCGGTGACCCGTACCACCACCACCAAGGTCACCAAGACCACCCGTAGCCGCTCCCCTTCTCCAATCCGGGGGCGGAGCAGCTCCTCCGAGAACCTGACGGTCTACCCAGGCAAGCAGGTAACCCTGCGCTACGACTCAGAGCCTGAGAACGACGCCCCTCCTGTCAAGTTCATGTCTGGCGTCATTTGGACGCCACCAGGTAGCAAAGGTTAGTTGGTATGACCTTTGTGTGACCCTTGACCTTTTTTAATGTAAAGCACATAATCTTCAACAGCACAATAAAAGAATGTTCACCATTTCACCACATACACATTACAATGAACATGCTCAAATGCCTCCCATGGGGTGTGTGTGTCATAATGGTTGGAGTTTGTGACCCCCAATGGTAACATTGGGGAAAGTGTTTAAATCCCTGGGCAAGTCACCCTACCCCCACTTGCCTCTCCCCACCCAGGGGTAAAGACGGTCATCTGCAGGAGCAGAGGCTGGATCCATGATGATACGGGCTGCCGAAATTGATCTTGTTGCCTGATGAGTAGGCTAATGATAACTTCAATTTCCCATTGAGCAAAAGCACTGCTGGATTCGTGCAATTTATGGAAATAATCTGTCACCTGAGTATTGAATTCAACATTTGATGGCCTAATTTATTTGAAATCCCCATAATTTTAAACTGGCTTGACAAATGGGTTATTATCTACGGTCAGACGGTACTGTGCCTTCGTACCACACACTCGTGCATCAAGTTTCAGTTCTGGAAATGAAATGAACCATTTTATTAAAATCGTTCAGGTCTGTCACGTTTATTAATTTTTGAAATCCGAATTCATAGCCTTCATTTTCATCTCTAATCCTTCCCCTCATCTGCATATATTTACAGGGATGCTCCATCCTCATTCAGTTGTCATCCCTGTCCGCTCAAATGGTATGGTCCGGTGTAAAAGGCATGACATTTGAGCCATGGCGTGTTAATATCAACTAAAATATTGCATTTGCTGGTTTGCGAGCCGTCAATTTTTAAGCAAGATGTGGCATGATCATTTGTTGTGCTGTTTTCACATTTCTTATTTGGTTTTTAATTCTGCAAACCCTTTTCCTTCTTTTCATTCTCATTGTTCCATTTTCACAACCCCCAATCACTTTTCCTCTCTTTTCCCGGTTTCTGTCCATTTTGCCTTCCCATACTGAAAAAAATTCTGCTTAACTTTCATCTTTTGCCTTGACATGAACATGTACTCGTAACCTTCATTTCCACTCCACTGATCTTCCTTTTATTACCTTAACCATCCTCAATTTCTCTTTGACCTTTGGCTTCTTGACCTTTGAACCCTCCCATAGTAGGGCCATCCGATTTGAACAGTTACTGTACTTGCAATGAAACTGGCTGCCCAACCGTCCCATCCTATACCACCCCTAGTTATTCATCTAAAGACAGCTTACCAATCGCCTCACGTCCACCGCGCCCGCGGGAACCGGTCATCCAGCGAGGTGAACCAGTCAAACCAAAGCGACACCGAAGCAGTTTTTTCATACGACCCAGGTCACGAAGCAGTGATGGTATTTTTCTTTGTCCACTTTATCAGTGAAGACATGTTTTACAGGGTGCTTATTGCCAATTTTATAATACAGGTTTATCCATTTTACAAGTATGCAATTTACATGTACAAGCCTAATTGTTATATTTTGCTATTCAACATAAAGGCCTGACTGAAAATTGAAAATTAATTGAAAAATTAAACAAAAACAATTACAAGAACAACCAGAGGGCGCTTCCAAGAAAATTCTTTCCTTACATGTACATGTAAAACAAGAATTTAAGCAGAATATTTCTCTAAATTTACAAATCAGAGAGTAAACTCCACGTACACGCACTATCCTTGTTGATCAACACAGTAACACATACATGTACATGAACATTCATGAACTCACTATGTAAAATGTACACATAGAATGCCTTAAACAACTTCGTCACTCAGTGAGGGCAAAATATCAAGGGACGCATTTTTGCAAGGCTCAGAAAGTGCTTAAGATTCCACAGAGAGATGTGGGAAGAGCTGAGATTGAACACGGGTCAATTTTCAGCGAGATGGAAGAGTCCCCGATGGGACGGCCCAGGGTACATGAGCTCAACCTTTGACCCCAATCCAATCACACAAACAACATGGCAAGACCTCGTTCATTCATTTCCCCCCCTAATGTGTGCCCGACTGGCACTGTTTTTTGGTGCATGCTGTTTGGGTTTTAAGTTTCATTGCCATGAGCATGCTGCTGTTGTCATGGTAACCCGTGTTCCATATTTAATTTTTTTTGTTTTGAATGGATCTCATATGCCTTCAAAGTTTTTCATCTACCTTTTATATTTCTTGCTGTTACTTATTCAGTTTTGAACAAATCAGTTATTGGTAATGACGGAAAAACTTGTTTGAAAATGTATGCTCTGTTTTCAGTCATAGTTTTTTATTTCCCAGGAAGTTCAAACCGTTATTTATTCAGCCTTGTATTAAACAAGTTTGCCCAAAGGAATACCATGATTTTAATATACAATATATTATCCATTGTTCAGAATTTCACATCTTTTATTGTTTAGAAAAAGAGTCCATTTTTTCAGATATTAATAGTGGATACAGAATTGGACACATTTTGCTTTTAAGAAATCAAATCATTGCTATTTGCAGAACACAATCACACAGCATTGAGATCTTCATCCTGCCATAGCCTGTCTGCATTCATAGAATTCATAACATTGCTTCTTGGTGTGTAAAAACATAATATGGAGGGGTTTCATATTTACATTCAAGAAAAAAAATGAGCAACCAAAAGTGCCAATTTTCCTTCATTGTTTTATTTGTTACAAGATTCCTTGTGTGAAATGCACCGGTTCGTCAGAAATTGTGGCGTGTTCATTTGCAAAATTGTTGCTGTGGAGGTTTTTTCACAATCAAAGTACATGTATCTGCAATCTTTAAGAAGTATTGATTGTGTCATCACATGCGTCTGTGGTGACCATGCAAAGAACAATTCGTCCAATTGGAGACTTTAATTATGTGTCACTCGGGGAAATAATGGGAGATTTGTCTGCGAAATCAAACTAACGATCAGTGCACACTATGATAAAAACAGGAAAATGTTTCCACAATGTTTTAGTGCACTTTTCTTTTATTTGCTGTAAGCACTCGTAGGGCAAAGGTGAAGCTCTTTTTTTTCTAAACATTCTTCGAACTCAGCTGTATTTCTGCAGAAAAGTTTATGAAAGATCAGATCTCCATTTGTCTGAAGTCACTGTGTGTGAAATATCTTTTTGATTAACAATTTTACCCATGAGTGTTTTATATGACATGTTACAGCTTTTCTTAATGTGCTGAAAGCTCTACATTGATGTACATTTATTCTTTTCACTTGCTGTGATTCCCCCCTCTTAAAAAATGATACTTTTTCTCGTTTGATGTTTAATTGTGGTTATTTTTTTCACAGCTTCTAGAAAAACAGCATGGAAACCAGTGACTTTCCAACCTCGGTCCAAGGATGACTCGGCCAAATATGCCTTCTCTTCACCTCCAGTCCCACCCCCTCCCCCTGACTCCGATACGGAGGACATTCCCCCAGTCATACCCCCTAAGCCCAAGGTGGTCAAACGCAAGCTGTATCTCTCTGCCAATCAGCCTCAGCTGCCACCGGGTAATTTGCATATTTGTGAATTGGACTGCCTCAAAATTAACCTCCAATTTGCATGTTTCACTTTCCAGGTAGCCAGTGATTGAGCCACTCCCTCAAGAGCTCTTTTGCATGGGTTCTGTGCACCATTTGATGATTGGACACAAGTTTGTAAAGCTCATTCGGACCATTCATACTGGTCTTCTTCTAATCTGCATGTTTTCAGGTTGAGACAGCCAATGAGTGGGTCCCCTTGCCTTTGAGCTCATTTGCATGAGTTTAGTGCCCCAGATGACGATTGGTCATAAGTTTGTGAGGTTGTCCAGTCAGTGACGAGCATAACAGGTTGATTTGCATGGTGCTTTTCTTCACTGCCTCTTGGAGCACAACTGTCTTGTGCACTGTGTGCCAATTTTTCCCATCCACATGTACAGCATACTGTGGTATTGCATTTCACTGTATTATGCTGTTTGAATGTACATGTATGTGGTTCTGTGTGTTACTTTGTTCAAGGCAAAATAATGCATTTATTTTATTAACTGTTCCCTCCACAGCATTGTAGCCAACATCCTCCAAGAAATAGTTTGTGTACCCCTGTAAATATACAGTATTGTACATGTACATTGTAGGCAGTGATTGAGCTGCTCCCTCAAGAGCTCATTCGCATGGGCTCTGTGCACCACATGTACATTGTACATGTATGCACCATACATGTATGTTTCTGTAATGTCCATGTAGTGTAAAAGTTTTGTTCAGACTTGTAGGGGGCGTAGTTTCAGTTGTTTTCTTTTACACACTGTGTACATGTATATGTACATGAAGACTACAAACCAATGAGGTTGGAAAACACATCGGGCAGGGCAAAAAGCCAAAATTAATTGAATTAGGCTGTGTTATGTTTCTGAGTATTTTACATGCGTGCCTACATGTATACAGTGTTTGTATATAGGGCACTTGTTTAACTGTGAAAACCGCATACTGTACAGTCTTGGTATGTGTTTATTCTAGTGGGAATTGTATTAAGTGGGTGTCATTTTGTACCTGAAATGCTGCCGCTGTTTAACATTATTACCATCCACAAAATCAAGCAGTTGATAACCTTAACCCTAACAGTCCTCAGTCCTCCAACAGGTGAAGGATTGAGGACTGTTAGGGTTAATACAAGGTATCAGTACATGTGCAGTGTGGGTGTGGAAAACAGCCTTAACATACATGTACATGTAGACACATGGAGTGGTACACATGCACATATATGGCATTAAATGTTGATACGCACATGACTTCAAAATTGCAGTGTTATCAATGTTGAGCAGTGTTTTGAAGAATGCTGATGTATCCTTGAAACACATTAAATTTTGTGAAACCATGTACATGTATACGCATACATTTGTACATGTACATGCACAAGGATAGATACCTTGGGATTACAAAAGTCATACTTTCAGTTTTGTATTCAATCCATTTGTAATTCACTGACAGAGCAATTTCTTAATCGTCATGAGAATTGGCCCAGTCCACATTTGTCCATGGCTAGCTTGCCGAATTGGGGCAATGTGCATGTGTGTTCTTCCATAGTTTTTCATATACGTGGTGCATCAACTGAGTCCTTGAGGTCCCTTGTAATTCAATTTCTTCCCACAGTGACACACGCACACATGCCAAACATTTCCTTGACTTGTGAAACCTTTTGGCATGGACCAATTGGGAATATAATTTGGTGAATCTTTTTTCCTTCTTTCAAAACAGCACACCAAATGCATAATTTATTGCGTGAGAAATGCTGTTTTATTTACATGATACTAGTGCATTTGCTATTGGGCTTCCTGTAGAAGGCATTTCATCAGTAACCGCAGGCCTTCATATGGCTGTGCAGTGTTTCAATGGCAGTCATCAATCGTCCATGATTGGCGTGTGTTCCACTTAACATTCTGGGGCCAAATTTCATTCACTGGTACTAGCAAGACAGGCTTCATTTGCGCTGCATTGAAAATGACATTTGCAGCTGTTTATATAGTCATCTACATGCTGTGCCAGTTGTTTTTTATCCTCGGGCATAAAATTACCCTACTGCTTTGTTAGATGATCGGTAAAGTGAAGAGAAAGAACGGTGTGGTCTGTGTGCCAGTTGAGCCTGACACCTTTCGGGCTTTTTACAGTTGACAAGTCAAGAAATACTGGTAGCAGCCCTCTCTTGTCCCACTTTTTACTCTTCGGAAGACTTAATTCTGAGAATTTTGAAGGAAGAAAACCACCTTAGAAAAACAAAACTAGAAAACAGGAATCATTTTATGCTGAGAAAAGTCTAAAAAGTAATGAAAGTGCAGTGTTCCTCTAAGTCACCGGGCAAAATGAGTTAGCCTGTGAGATTTTTGCTCTCTCAAGATGTACTTCGCGTCAGGGAGATGTTAATTTTTAATTAAAGGATTTTACCTGTACACAACATATATATTTGTAAACACTATATACTCAGTGCTTGTCCAAGAGCTTGCAAAGAATTCACAAGCTTACTCGGGTGGGACTCGAACCCATGACCTGCTAATTAGTGCAGAAGTTTCAACCGCTCGACCACCGAGCTTGCCAGGGTTGGCTGTCCGGTCTGAGTCAGAGGTACAGTGTAGCAGCAGGTACCGCAAACTATTTCAAGATTGACTTTGCGTTGAGGAGATGTTCATTTTTACTGTCATCCTTCTTTTGAATGGCAAGTTACCAGTGCAGATATTGAGAGTCACAGTCTTACTAACACTGCTCGTTAGTTTGTGGGTTTGCCACTGTTGAACTGTGCTCACTGTTCCCCTGATCATGTCGTGTTTTTTTTTTTTTTTCCCCCTCTTGTCTTGTTTGCTCTTGTCCACTGCATGCAGAAATCCAATTAAGCCCCGTTGCCAATGGCCGGGTGCGTAAGACTTCACGAGGGGCCGAGATGTTCTTTAAGCGCCAGGCTGAACAGGGTATAGCAAGAGACCCAGGTATTAACGCCACATGCGCACTCTAGAATTAACATGTCGACACTCCAAACCAGTCTGGGGCCAAGAACCCGAGATGCACAAGTACATGTAAATGGCATCACGTGAATGCTCCAGACTTATAATGAAATTATGGTTTGCTGTTAATTCTGTTGAAAAACAGCGCAAAACAAGACTGAAGGAAACAGTCATGTTGTTGTCATTACAAAGTTGAGACCATTCATGGTGAATGTCATCAATAACGTTTACATTAAAAGATTAAATTACTGTATGGTATGGTATGCATGTGTGTTCCAATCCTTACGTAAGGCCAGCTCATACTCCAGGTGAATGCAAAAGTGAAACGAATTTGATGCTACGACAACTGCGCGGCGAAATTTCGCCTGAGTTGAAATGTGTTAGACTTTTTTGAATTCACAACGCGAATATTTGATCTGACGTCACAAATTCACATTTGCTTTGGCTTTCGTGTGAATTATGAACCGGTCTTTACTCACACTATCTGTTTATTTCTACAGATAACACCTCAATCTTTAACCTGTGAATTGTCACTAGATTGAATTCACTTGCACTTTAATACATGAAGGGTTAGTTGCTTTACACTTGCCCTGTAAATGTCACCACATTTTTCTCCAGTTGAGCATATGTTGTCATTACTTAGCCTGTGTATGTATGTTTGTTCACCTGTTTGTCCACATGTTTGCTCACCTGTAAGCCCCATGTGATGGCTTATAGTGATTTTTCTTTGTGACATTTAACCATCCAATTGATTTTCCTTTTGGTGACGTTTTCTCCTTGTTGATTTGATAAGTATGATGTCATGGTGTCGGTGAAGGTTCTGTCATTAGATTTGTTAAATGCAATTAACAGTTTTGCCTTTGACAAAAGTTCTGCAAGAATTGATATTTTACACCCTCTGTCAAGACGGAGAAGAATAAAGAAGCACTTTGATCCTTGCATTGATACTGAAACACCTGTATGTCACTAGCTTAGCCGTCCAAGTCTGCTGGAAAATTTACAGAATTTCTAGGATCAAAAAATGCATAAAAATGGCCAACAAACCTAAGAAAAGTGAGATTAATATAAGCATTTTCATTGAAAAAGAAATTATAATCAAGCAAAAGCTTCATTCATCAAGCTTCATTTGTGACAAGGCACATGCTTCTGAATCATAAATTTTGTCTAGTATAAAACTCATAGTTTTCCAATTTGGAAGAGAGTTTTCCTGCTTCCAAAGGCCCCCTTTGGCCCCCTTGTTCAGTTGGCCTTTTATTGACTTGATTTGTAAGGAGTTGGTTTAATGCATAACAGTAGTTTCTCTGCCTTTCTCTTTCTTGATAAAAGTTCTTGGGTTATTTCCAGCAGGAAGTTGAAACTCAATGCAACTTGAGCAATTGCATTTTGTATTCAGTGATGATGTGTCACAGTGTGATCAGTGTGTCACAACATCCATTGTCCGTCTGTCAATGATTAACCCTAACAGTCCCAAATCCTCCAATTTCAATACGATTTTACATACACCCTAGGGGGATAGGGTTAATGTTGTATTGATGTGATGACTAGCATTAGTCAATCATTTTGTGTCCACTTATTCAAGTTACTAAACTACATGTACATGTACCTGTGCCAGTGTACGTTAGCTAACTATTACTCCCTTCTCCCTCAATCCCTTGTGTCAATGTACACGCAGACCTTTGCATTTAACTAACAATATTAGCGTATTATGTTTATGAACTGAATTAACCATTCTCATATTTGTTGAACATCTCTGACCTGTTCTTTCTCAGGGAAGTCTCCTGTAGTCATGGCAACACTGATGACATTACCATGTAGATCTGATCACCAGAACATCAACAGTTTCAACTCACTGAGCACATTATTTTTTTGTGACTCTAATTCCCACTAATGGAGTTTCAGTGAGACTTGTAATGAGATTGATCAGCACTTTTAATACCTCTTTTTTGGTTTGCATTGATGTGTTTTCCTCCTAACAGAGAACTGAAACCCCTTAGTTTTGATTGTCATGTAATAATCCCTTTCCTGATGGAGCCTACGTGGTAGGTTTCACAATTAATAGAGGGCTTGCATGGCTGTCATCTTGCTGGTCAATGCTTTTATTCTGCAGGAGGTTTCCCTTTGGAGCTAAAGAACTGCACTGCAAGATGGCTACCATGCAAAGCCTTTTTTTCTTGCTCTTTTGGAATTCATTTCACAGTGTGTCACAAAGCATTTGCCTCAAAGAGGACGTGTACTTTTTGACTTTGCTATCAAATTTCTCCAAATACGGTACATTCACATAAACTTCTAATGTTGTGTAGTTTTTTATGGCAGTTCACGAACATGTACGTTGTACATGGCATTGCTGAGACACAGATGGATTCGGAAAGAGTAGAACTCACCACCAGATGCAAAGTTTCTGTAATAGATATCAGTCTAACCTCCACCCTAGTGTTGATTTCACCCTGACTGTTTTACCACGAACTATCCAGATCAAGAAGTGCATGCTGCTAATGAACTAATGTCACTCGAGAAAGTTCAGGATCTTGCGTTACAAGGACATTTTAGTGTAAAATATGGAACAGCATATGGTGTATGTCACTGGATCCCTTGAAATACATGTACTTCTTCAATGTATTGCTCATTTAGATGTTCATATAGTGTACACCTGTTTGAATTCCATAGTGCAAGATTGTTTGTAAGATGTGTAATCAAAAGTACAAAGTACATGTACCTCTACCTCTAGCAACCAGGATCTGGTCTCTCATTCTGTTTTGCTTTTTCACCTATACATGTAAATAATCCCCCTACAAATTCTACTTATGCATGTTCTGTGCAAGTTTGGATCTTTTTGCAAAATATCCTGCTACCGTGTAGAGGAAGCGCAGTTTAAATGATCTGCTTCGTATGATTATCAACTCAGGAATGAGGGGATTATATTTGTGTCAGTCCCATATTTGCACTGAGCGCATGCAGTGAAACCTGGCAGTCTGGGGCTCAGCTGTTGTTGGGATATGTACATGTGGCAATGTGCCAGGAAAGTGCACAGCCAATTTCGCTAATGGCTGATATTTTTCTCCCATAATGCCATAAGAAAAGGGAATGCCCTCTGATAAGGTGGAAGGAAAAAAAAGGATAAGAATTAAACCCAGATCATTTCCGGTGAAATATATGTATATTGCTGGGATTTGAACCTGGCGAGTGAGACGGAATGAACAGAAAAACTCTGCTGAAAAGCTTTGTATACACTTCAAGGTTTATGGGCATACATGAAAACTGGGTGTTGAAAGTTTAACTTTGAAGTACATCAGTTACACCTAAGTTACACATTAAAATTTCTGAAATAAATGCAAAAGTGCATGGTGTCCTTGACCCAGCCTGCATGAAAGGTGTGAGTCACACACCAGCTTTTTTCAAGTCAGGGACAAATTTTGCACTATGGAAGTTCAGTGAACTTGATACCATTTTTGCCTACATGATGTCTTGATTTTGGAGGTCTTTATACCGTACCAAATCAAATGATAAAAAATGAAGAGCTTAGAATATACTTTCTGTTCTTAGCGGCAAAAAGAATTGAAAACTTACATGTATTTTGTAAGCTCAGCCACTAACATTTTGAATCTAGTTTTCATATTCTTGAAAAAAAAATCTTTTCAGTTTGATGAATAAGTTCATATTTTCATGAATTCTCAGATTCTCCGGAAGAGCCTCCCCCTCCTCGCATGTTGGCCACCAACAACAACCAGTACCCAACCTCTCCTACCTCCCCCAAGCAGAGCTACAGGCCCTTCCAGCCGTCCATGTCGCCCGGTACCCAGTCTGCCCCCAGTAGTTACAACCCGGACTACGTCTATGATGCCTCGGGCGAGTCGTGGCCTGCCCCTCCACCCCCTGTGGCCTCGCCCCTAGTCAGCCAGCCACTGCACATTGATGCCAACCCAGGACCGGGAACGTCGCCCCCAAAACCAGGTACAGGCTTAGAGGAAGAAATGTTCTTCGTTGATGATAGTAGTTTAGCTGTGGTAGAAGAACCAGTCTAAGCTTCGGTAATGTAGAATGTTGCACTTGAGTGTCCAGGTTTGTAGTCAGTCCAGCACAAGTCTCCCAGTCTCAAGCCAAGTGACAAGCTTTTCCAGTGAACTTTGACAGAAGCATTCCTTCATCGTTGTTCACCCTTTCACAAATGCCAAGTCTCACGAGAGGGGCTTGCAGTACAGTATTAACACTGATGGAATGTGTTACGAAATTCACAAGTTGACGTTCTCCCATTTCTCTGAAGTCTGTGGAACACTTTACTTTTATTTTTATCTCAGCTGCGTGGTCACCTCAGCAGACCAGCCCTTCATCTTACCGGCCCACAGAGAGCAAGGGCCCCTCTGCCTGGAGTCCAGCAGGACCCGCGCCAGTCAAGGGTTTCAGGCCGGTCAAACTTGACCTGAACCCCAAGCCTAAGCCATGGAAACCGCCCAGTGCATCCCAGCCAGACAAAGTCCCTGTAAGTTGGTGTGTCTGAAGGCCGCTTCATATTTGGCACGCAAGTGAATGTGAACGCATGGAAAGGTGCTCAATTTTCATTTTGAATATTTGCCGTGATATCACGAATCAGTATACATGTACATGTTTAACTGAGCACCGAGTTTTAAGCAAGCTGTTATCTATATATCTAGTCACCCCCAAAGGTAGTCGCAGGTCAAATTTCAAGTTGGTTGCAGGTCTCAACCTAAAATTTTCAAAGGGATCCTTTGTTCCTGTTAGGAGCCACCTTTGACCTCATCCAACCTGCAGCCAACCTGGCAACCACCTCCTCCATCCTCAAGTCAGCCGACCGCACCGGTCCCGAACGGTGACCTCCATAGCCCTCACCGTCAGACCGACCAACAGCCAGCCAGTGAGGGCCCGACCAGCCCTTACCGGCCCAGGGACTACGACCAGGAGAGGTACAATCCAGGCTATCAACCACATCAGCAACAGCCGGACTGGCCTGGTGAGACCCATCGTAAGGAACAGCCCCGTAGTCCCCAGGAAACTTACAAACCTGAGTTTCGACAAGTTCCAGAAGAGTACAGCAGTAGTTTACCTCGCTCTGTCAGTCCAACGGTGACGCTACTCAGAAATCAGAGAGGTGAGTTAATTACTTTCCTGACTGTTTAGCTTGGCTTTTTTTTGCGCAGTGTTTTGTTAACGTAAAAGCAATGGCATTTTGTGTGGCAAAGTGAATTTTTCATGAGATCAGCTTGCTGCTTGTTGAACACAGAATGCTTTCTGAAATGGGCAACGTATTGTTAAGAATTGGCAGAGAGCCCAGGAGATGCTTTGGGTTGCAAAGTTTGCCTGAATTTGAGCTGTGTTGTCCTCGGTCTGATTCAAGCTGCAAAGTAAAAAAAGTTTAGCAAGTTAACGTGTTATTAATAGCAACATTCAGCCAATGATGAACGTTACGACGTTGCTGAGCATTTTGCTTGATAATCTGCGACATACATGTGTAAAGCAACTTGACAGCATCTGGTAGTTAACATGTTGTGTGGATGTGTTGAAATGTTCATCAGGAGATATGGTTTCTTGCCTGAGCGACGCACTTTCTTGCAGACGCTTGTGTGAAACAGCATACAAACGTACATAATTTGCCTCCAGCATTGAAGCATTCAAGAATGGTTTTGGTGTCTTTTGTCATGTGAATATTTGCCACATCTCTCTTTTTGTGAGTGTTGAAAGGGACTTCTTGTAGTCAAGAACTGCTGAATTGTAGACAACCAAACATTGAGCCGAATTGTTCGAGCTTGACTGGCAAAAAATGTTATATTCCCCAAATGTTTGCATTGAGATAAAACATTCCCAAAGGTTAAATCTTGTACAAGGTTGACAGGAATGTTAGTTAGTGTCCTCAACATGGAATGGTGATACTACGAGGATGAAATTCTGTGGTTAACAGAGCTGTAAATGGGGTCATCTCTGTTTCATTTGCGGCAGACATGGGATACCAGGTAACTGGTATCCCATGTTACTAGCTGATATGATTACGTTCATATTGCAAGGCTCGATTTCAGTGGTTGCAGATGTGCCCTGAGCTAATGATGTAAGCGGCAACCCGACATCCATACACACACTTCCATGAAACTGATCCCGAGGGTCCAAGCGAAAATGGGCAGAGAGACTTGAAGCAGAACCTATTGTGACTATTAAAGAGCTGTCGTTGAAGCTGGAATCGTGACCCTTTGGTTCTTCCATCAATCAACTGTTGTTGGCCATGAAGCAGGGGGAAATTGGACTTTGATCTGTTCTACCCATAACTTGTGGTGTTGGCCTTCAGCACTAGATAATGACCCTGTCACATATGGTTTGAGTCAATCTGAAAATGAATGGACAGATGTGGATTTAAAGAGGCCTTTTATTTCTCTTGCTGAGCATCGTGGTCAAGATTAAAGAAAACATCATGAGAAATATTTTTGCATATACTGTAAGACAAATACAGAAAGAGAAGAATATTTGATTTGCCAGTAAAAAAAGCTGGATTATGATGCATAGAATTCCCATTTAGTTCTGACTGAAAGGTCCTTGCCCATGTCATATTTTGGTATGCTTTTCAGATAAAAATGTAGAAAAGAAATATCAAATATGGAAGATAGACATTGTATTCCTCTCAGACAGAAGCTGAAGTACTCATGGTATTCTTTGTTTTTATTAAAAACAATTGAATGGAATAAACTACATGTAACTTTGGAATGCACACACTTGTTTGTATACCATTTAAACTATGTTGTGTGCACCATTTGGCTTGTACATGTATGAGCACTAGTATGTACATGTAGATGAACCAAAACATCTGTGGTCATCCTTAACTTCTTTTAACCTTATGCATGTCGTTAGCTTGCTTCTGGCTCAAAATTCATTAGCGGGAATTCCTAATAGAAAATGTTCACAAGGTGAACATAAGCATGTGTTTTTCAAAGAGGTCATAAACTTCCGTGGTCAGGGGAGGGATCAATGGGATATTTTCCTGTCCATTTTACTAATATAAATACCATCAAGTTTCTTTGCCCTCACAGTAGGGCCATCACAGTCTGACTGAGGATGCAAAATGTTTATTATTCCAGTTCTTAAAGTTACTGAAATGATTTTCATATTTGAAACCTAACAAATTGTCCGCATCAAGATTAAAGTTTAGCTAGAGTTTTTCGTCAGTCTCTCGTAGATTGCTGCTCTGTCATTGGCCGGTCATTCAGAGTTGCTTCTTTTTAACTCATTTTATCCACCAATCATGGCTGCTCTTAGAAAGGGAAAAGGACCACCGGAGCCATGCTGAATACCTTCCACCTGATAGTTCGCTTATGCCGCCGTCTTTAGTGGCCAAAGTGCCCTCTAGAGTAGCCAAAGAGCCAGCCACTCACTCAGCCAAACCGTTGCATGCTGGCACAAATGTGTCAGTCACCACTGGTGAGCTGAAATCACAAACTAACACATTTGTTGACATTCCAGCTTTTTTTTTTCATTCGCACCCCTTGCCAATTTTTGTTTTCTCTAAGCATTGCTTTGCATTCTTAAGTTTGCATGTTGGCTACAACGCATCCATCCTTTCTGTGCACCGTGAAATGCATGGGTTTCTTTATCAGTTCCTTCATTTTAAGTTGCTACATGCAGTTGGCATTGTAATTTTGCCTACATTTTAATGTCGTATGTGATATAGGCTTGCTACTTTTTATTTGACACTGACATTCATATGTATCATTTTGTGGGAGTTTTTTCTTTGAGACAACAAAGTTTTAAGGGGAGACATGTGTATATTCACCTGAATGTTCCGGAATGGTTAGTGGTAGTAATGTCTGTCTTTGAAAAAATGTCAAAAAGCTCAACCTTAAACGGTCATTTATAAAACCCAAATCCAGTTTGTTTCAATTTTGTACAGTTTTCAGTTAGCCTTTACATTGTTCATAGCAGAAGTTTGGGAAAACATTTTTATGACATTGTAAAAAAAATCTACCAGTTAGGAAGAGAGAAGGGTTCCAGAAGGAGACCTTTATGTCTCTACATCTTCGGTAAATATCGAATTATTTCTGAAAAATTTCATTTGTTAAGAACAGCTTTTGCTGGACTCAAAGATAATCAACTTTACTTGGGTAAAATGTGATTTGTTTGCTTCATTTGTAAGCTGCCAATGTTGGCACCTCACATCTTAAGCATTTAATGCTGTTAGGTGACAGAATCATATGGCTTAGCATCCAATATTCACCACTTTCACCGCAGTGTTTCCACTATCTTGCCATTTTTCATGGGCGCTGAGAATGTTAATTACTCAAATTGCTTTTTCACACGTACAGTGCGGAAGATTGTGGTTCACATTTATGTTCAGAGTTCACTGCGTTGTCCTCTCAAAGGCAGCATCTTGTCGAGTTGTGGCACCCATTGTTTCAGTAGCGGTATAGCACCTGTCCGCCGTGCCATTAAGTGATCAGTCCATCTTATTCATCACCATGTTCTTGACTTTGCATCTGCTATTTCATATGTACATGTACATGTTTATCGGACCTCCGCCACCAGGTTTTAATGTTAAATGTTAATGTAATTTACCTATTTTGGCTGTTGTGCTGACACTTTTAATGTAACATATTTCATCATACATTGGCAGGTGCTGTAAGTTATTGCAGAACTCTGGCACGGTGCAATTTTTGTGTGAGGATATCTTATGTGTGATACCGCCTCATGCAATCCTTTTCAGTGAACTGGGAGTGAATAAATGATTTGGAAATTTGTACCAGTTGCTCTTAGCAAGTAATTCTTAAGCTTCTAGATCTATCAAAATCCAGTAGGAAGATTTGTAGGATTTTGAAGGACTAAACATTTGAGACCAACCGCTCTTTCTTTCCCTTTGGGTTGATACCGAACGATTCCATCAGTCAGAAGTCTTAACTTGTAGAAACATTTCAGCAAATTGTCCAGATGGAAATATTTGAACTTTGAAGTTTTGGCTGAGCTGGCTTGGAACGTACATGTATAGTCACTTGCAAAAGTGTAAGACCACCCGGATTTTTTATTGGTATTTCTGTCAATGGGCCTGCATTACATGTACATTGTCTCTCTGAATGATTACTTAACATGTTTTTAAAGTGGTGCGTAACATCAGTGTAGTGCTATACCCATTTGAATGAAACTTTTTGCAAAGGCATGTCTTGTGTGACATTTTGTCTAAGGCAGCGTGGATAAAAAAGTAGCCAGTCTAAGTCATCAGAAATGAGAGAGGGAATATTAGACTGTTAACATTTCAAATCATGGAAATGTAGTAAAATATTTGCAGCCGTTTAACCTGGATGCTAAGGTCACACATTGAAAATAAACATAAGGTGCCATGATTGATGAGTTTAAGTTTGATTTTTCTCCAGGTTAATGCAGTTTGTATGGGTGGTCCTAAACTTTTGTAAATGACTGTAAATATGCATGTGTACATGTGTCAGAAATAATCAAGACAATGTGTACATTTCTACATGTATGCTTTTTACCAGTATTTACATACACTGTACATGCAAGGTGGCTGGTATCTTTAAAAAACAAAAGCAGTTTGCTGTGCCGAATGCCTCATCCTACTACGGACTGAAAAAAATCTCCCCTTTATCAGTAAATTGCTGAACTCCAGTTGTTTTTTTAATTCAGGGACACAACTGGTTGCTAATATTACACCTCAATTATCCCATACATGTGTTGTAGCACACCACTCCTTTCTACCATCACCTTGGAATCCAACGACCATGGCTTGTTATATCCCATCTTCCCACAACCACCTCCATTCTGTGTTACAGCCTGTCTGTGAATTGGTGCAGTAGAGTGCATATCTCTGATTTTAGGGGGGCATCAGCGAAGTTTTATCTGCCCTTTGTTTTCACTCATCATTTTACATTACAGCATGGGTATTGCAGAGGCCAGGTTTTATAAAAATTTGTAGACATCTTAAACTTTCCTCCGTCGGAGTTCGAATGAAGGCAAAATTGTACATAGATTACCAAGAACTGTGGCACAGGAGTGAAGTTGCATCTGATTCACTTTTTGTGTCATCAACCTTTGTGGCAGCAGCATGGCTTCTGGGTTGTTTTTGACCACAGAGACCATACACCTGTATAACCAATTTTCAAGTTAGTACCTGTTTACTGGGTACATTTTAATTTGGCAGTCAGGCCCATGGCTCATCAGGGCTGGTCGAAGTTAGCTGAATGGTTTTGATTACCATGCAGCTGTTTGATCTACAGACACTCACATTCTTAATTTGCATTCTTCTGGTGTTCAAAGGGCTTCCTTGGACCTCACAAAAATATTTGGTTGATTTGCCTTCATGCAAGCTCGGTCAGTGCCATTCTCAATATTCAAGAGTTGTCCCTGTATTTGGGCATTCCGTCTTTCAACGTTTTGCCATTTGAGTAAATTCTTGAATTCATGACTTTCCACTGTTACTCATGAATGCCATGAAGACATTTGTACCAGTAAACTGAAAAATTTGACTTTTCCAGGATATATGAAAATGACCTAGACAAACATTTGTACCATTTTTAGCATTTTGATTTGTACACATTACAGAATGGGAATAATTTTTCATTTACACACTGCTCCTGTCTTCACAGATCCCAGTGATCTTCCAGAGGGGGCCGTTTTCCAGAAACAGACAGTAGAGGGTGATGTCATCCACACCGACACCTACTACCCGGTCAAGACCCGGGAAGTGACCAAGAAGACAGTGCACAAGGAGGCACCACGATACCAAGGCATCGGCCCCAAGGATGAGACAGGACTGCCCATTGGCTTGAGAGCGGTAGGGTTGGCAGGAAGGAATCCTTAGAGTTAGCTAGCTTTGACCTTACTAACTCTTTGCCTTTGCATCTGGCTGTAATGCACATGGACTTTTTATATACACCGATTAGCCTGAAATAAACTATTATAGATGACAACGATAATATTAATGAAAAACCTGCCCCATGACATCAGAAATGTAGCGCTGTCCAAGACGTCTTTGAGACAGTCGTCAAATTTAATCTTAAAGCGTCATTTTTCACCCTTTATTCAATTTTCTCGGGTAATTCCAACATTCTGGTTAAAATTACCCAGCAAGGATGATTGCCCCTTAAAAAGAATTCCAAATCCTATCACAGTTTGGAGAACAATCCGACACTTCCTGAAGAACAGAGGTTTCATCCATTGCTTGTGACTTTTGGAACTACGTACATGTATAACCGATAAATCAACTGTAGATCATGTCTTCATTACCTGCACTTTTGCAGCATGTGAAAGAAGAAAACAGGCATGACTGGTACAAGGAGATGTTCAAGACCATCCACAAGCAGGACAGGCCAGAGGGTAAGGTTGCGGGTCAAAGGTTGCGGGTCAAAGGTCGATGGAGCATAGGCTGTGCCACCCCCTTTCGAAAACCTACCCTCATTTTGTGTAATAAACTGTTTCAGCCGCATGTGAGATCGATTCGGTTGATGCGGGGTCAGGTTTGATAGAGAGCTTGTTTTCACCTGAAGCCTTGCTTGTGTTTTGTCAAAATGGGATCGGGACATGTGCAGTCTTCCAAACTTTCCTTTGCTGTGTTTAATATTGCAGTAACCAAAAGTTTACATATTTCTCTGATAACATCTTTCAAAACAAGTACTTGCTTTACAAACTTTTTTCTTTCCAAAAAGTCTTCCTTGGGAAAATGAGGCTACTGACAGTTTGACACATGGCCTAATTTTCACTTGACCACTCTGTTGATGGATAAGAAAATCTGGTTTTCATTCAAATTTTTCTGAATATTTGAAGGCCCCTTGAGGAAATCAACTCTGCACACTGTTTGGACCTTGGTATGGAAAATAACCTGCGGTGTTTGGTTTGCCCTGTTGTTAGTTCAGATGATGTGCATTATAAAAGGCTTTTGAAAGCACACTGTACATTTATGATTACCAAATATATCTATATTCCATATTGCCTGTAGGCTGGGCATGTCTGCTGCCATCTATTGGCCGACAGCTTCCTTCAAATGAACCATATGAATATTGGCTAACTGAATCCAGATTCAAACTTAATAGTCCGGCCTCCCAAGTGCTTGCTGAAATAAAAATGCAGTTTAACTTCACATGAACTAACATTTGCTCGTTGAAAATTAAAGGAAAGGACTGAAACAGTCGCACTTTAGAACAAGCTTGACCTCACTGAGTACAAATTCAGTATTGATTGAAAAGCATTTGTCCCCTGCTTGAATTTAACTGACTTGTTTGCACAGTGGACCGATAGTTTCACGTATCGAATGACTGCCATTTTCTTCTGTACATTACCATGCATGTGTTAATTTGATTAACTTCATGTCATGCACTGCACATTTTTAACTCTTTACTAACCTGCCATTTCTCCCCCTATGTACTTTTCTTTCCCCCAGATGAAATTGACCAAACGTACATGGATGCCTTAATTCAAGGTTACCAACTTTGCTTTTCATGAATACGTTTCACACTGATACCCGTACCCTTTGGTGTCCATCTATATCTCAATTGTGGTGATTGGCTAAAGGTTGCCAATGCGTAATGATGTGCACTTGATGTGGCATACCAATATATTAATTCCTTGTGATGGTTACCAGTTTTAGTGTGGTGCAGGCTGTTGTTGATAACAGTTTTGAACCTCACATACCTTACCATACCGTATTGCAAATAGAGCTCCTCAAAATGGTGTTGTGATAATTCTCCACCTGAGCGTTCAAATCCTCCATTACCAGATGCATGGTTTGGAAGTAACATGACGTATGCATTATAACTGTTATATATACTGTACATGTTAATGTTCATCTTTCTGACAGTTTCAAACAATGTTCAGACGCTCCAGTTTTGGGTCATGCTATTTCATGGATGCTAGAAAAAGTTCAAGTTGATAAATGTAGCATCTCTTGAAAAGAAAGAACTTACTATGTAAAAGACAAATCCTTACAAATGTTCAAGGTACATGTACTAGTACTTGTCACTTTATTACAACACTCTCGGGTCAGTCCAAACAAGTCCCAACAATTCCCTTTATCCACTTACTATAATCAACTAAAGCACCAAATCCTTTCTAAGTTCTAACAAATAACCCTTAATTATAAAGGAGGTAGTCTTAAGTACACACTAGCACTTCACAATGTTGATGTGAATTCCTAACTTTTATGTTTCCTTTGTCCCATTACTTCAGCTTAAAACACTCAATCCTTTTACAAAACTAACGTGTCCCAGTACAAGTACTAGGTACAGTACATGTATTGGGTTTAGGTTCCACATTAATACCTCAAAATGCTAACTTCATTTTCTAATCCCTTGCTATAACCCTACTATTAACACTATCTCTCTGCCTATGCAGAAGCTAACTCGTATGAACCCAGCTACAGTTTCCCGGATGCTGTGGATGTGAAGGACAATGGTAAATAGCACCTCAGGAACCTTTTGTGGTGGCCTGATTGTGAATTTGGTTTCATATCTCGCGTTAGTAGTGTGTGGTACATGTGTTATTTGGTGGCCTGCTATATAGTGGCCTTGACCAGGTTTATCTATTGGCCGGATATTCATTGGCCATGGTATTCATCTAGGAGCCTGATTCTTAGTGGCCTTGACCAGATATATCTATTGGCCACGATATTAAGTGGCCATGGCCACAGATGCCATAGATGCCATATTTATCAAATGGCCTAATGCTTAGTGGCCTCGACCGGATATATCTATTGGCCTGATATTAAGTGGCCATGGCCACAGATACCATATTTATCAGATGGCCTAATGCTTAGTGGCCTTGACTAGATTTATGTATTGGCCTGATATTAAGTGGCCCAAGGCTATAAATTTATATAGATGTACAGTGTATATACATATTTAGTGACCTGATTCCTATAGTAGCCATGCGGTCTTAACCTATTCAGTTGCCTGATGTAGTGGCTGCTAGATACTGGCCTTGGCTTGCATTTCTATTGGTCAAAGTGGCCTTGGCCTGATTTGTTGTTGCAAAAGTGGCTTGGGCAAAAATGTTTGTCTTTGTGAATTACTGTGTGAAGCCCTTTTTCCTTGCACCACTATAACACCTCCGCAGTTATCTTGTATCATGTCACATCTCGGCCATCATATCCTTAAAACTTAAAACTGGCGAAATATCAGTGCTGTAGGTTCACAGAACACTACGGAAAAGTCTTGAAAATGCTTGTGTCGGTGAATGAATCCCTTGCATGTTTTGGGTTCCTCATATGACAGACCATTTCTGCCTCATTAAATTTTGAATTGGTCTTAAACTGACAGTTCTGAATTCTCCAGTTTCAGCAAAGTATTTCACGCTCTGTAGTTGATTGGGGGTGCTCCAGTGCTTAAATGTGGCTCAACCATGTCAACCCAGACAGTTTTTGTTCACACCGTTGTTTCTGTCACTTTTGTTCAGTATTGTGATTTTAGTCATTCATTTATTTACTAACAAACAGGAAATGGCATGTGAAGTTGTGACTTGGTCACCATTTTGATGTTCTTTGTTGAATACCAAGACAGATGGAAAGATTTCAGTATTGGCATTCAACAGAAGTACTACAAATTGGGCCAGTGGATCAAGTTGTACTTTGCAAGTTTCCCTGACATTGGGCTAAAACTTTCTTACTGTGGAGAATGTTGATTTGATTGTGTTTTACTGTCAGTGTATTCTGCGATTGATTTTATCCATGCATTCTTTCCTTTTTTGCATTTGTATGATTTGGGTTTCTCTTGGCCTGTGTTTTCTGCCTGCTTGGTTCCTCCTGCACCGCTCGACACTTGTGTCTGTCCTTGCACCCACACACCCACACACTGGTTCCCCAAACTCAACAACCATGCAATGAAAATGCTTGAGTAGATGACAGTGTGTTTGAAGAGGAAGCGCCCCCTGTTGTCCACTCATATCCAGGCAGGAGAGCAGGTGAGAGGTAGCTGGTGTCTGAAAGTTGCAGCTGTGGCAGGAGATAATACGTAGTCCCAGTGGAAGCCACTGGCTGGAAAAACTGCTTCCATTTGCCATAGGCATAGCGAGTAATTTAGACTCAACTACTGCCCAGCTGTCATGAGGTCAGAAATTGGCAAGCATGTCATTGACCCTTGACACCATATCTACTATTGCCTGTGTAAAAGTACACTCTCTGTTTCACCTGTGCCTTAATGGAGCACATGTAGGCAACACCGATGGCAAGGAAGGTACCGGTAAACCATCATGGCAAGATAAATGTCAGAAGTTTTTAGGTTGTTGCCTATGGAGTACCGAAGTGAATACGTCACGCACACAATTAGTGTGTAAAAGGCATTAGCGTGAGAACCAGCGCGTGAACCAACATGCGCGCGTACTCCATTCGTTTGCATTGCCTTTCTGGTTCACAGTAACGTCACACGTCAGTACTCTATTCCCCCAGGGTACCAGTCTAGGTGACAGATGGCCCATAGGTTATCCAATCATACCTTGTGTTCTTCCTGTTCAGGCATGAAGTCAATTACAGAAGTGTGCTTGATATCCAGAAAAGGCACTTCTTTGTGAGCAGCGTTAAGTTGGTTCTGACAGGTGTGGGCATGCTTGTGGTTTTGATTTTGTTTGTAATTCCTTGTCACCTGTTGGATGTTAAAGCACCGACTAGCGGTGATTATGTACATTGTAAATTCACAAGGGACACAGGTTCATTTCCATGTCCGTTGCTCAGCCAACTTAAGTACAAAGTACAGTTTGACTCAGCAAGTTTCACAACTTCCCTGAAAACTGTTGGTTTAAATATGCACAGGGCACAATCGCTTATATTTAGCACAGAATAATTTGCACACCAGACAATAAAATGGTTTTTTTTGGTGGTTTTAAATTATTCTGGTAAGTCCTTTTGATTTGAACAGCCCACTCTTGTATTCAGCATAAATGTGATTTTTCTGAGATTTTGCTTCCACTTGTAGTGTTACTTTTCATTGTTCTTTCTAGTTTAAATCTGGTCTCAATTTCAACATATATCTCAGCAATTTATGTGCTATGCGAAAAGCATCCGGTAACCAGTCACAGGCAGTACTAAATTGCATGGCATGTTGACTGGTAGCCTGCATCAGCTGAGCCACTCGGTGTTGTGCTCAGCACATTTTTGAGTCTAGCAGCTGTATGAAACTGGATGTGATCTTGGATAGCGAGGGAGTATTGGTCCTAGTTTATTGGCCTTACTTTATACAAAGAGACTCTGCTCAGTGGTAACTCTAGGCATATTTCACAACTGTAACTCTGGTATAATTGTGTGTACATGTACTCGGAAATTTCCATTGCCCAAACTCTCAAACTTAATAATGCCAGTTGCAAAAAAGTTGCGGTTCGCTGTACAGTAAGTGATGGAACTGGCCTTTCATGCCCCAGCTATAACTTCACAAAAGCATTGCCCTGTAATTATTGAAATACACAATCATTGGATATTCCTGGTATTGTGCTGAAGTGTTGACAAGGTGAAATTTAAAGTAATGTGTACAAAATATATTGTTTCAGTTTTTGTTTGGCAATTTTTTTTTTTGGACACAGACCAGTGGAGTCATGATCCAACGTTGCATGTGTCACCACCAAAATCACCACCACACAGGTACGCACCGTTGTGTTCTTAAGAGTCAGAAGACAAGGACCCAGTCACTTCTTGGTCATTCCATGAGCTCGGGATCCAGTTTTTTCATGTTGCTGTCACATCTGATGCACGATTGTGCAAGTTTAGAAGACATTGACATTGGTTCCTAGAGTCATGAAGTTATGCAGATTAGCTGCCAAACAAATCAGCATAGAATTCAATTTCAGTGACACATCCCTTGCCAAATAACACAGGTCAAGTGTACCGGTAACAGGGGCAAAAAGATGTCACATATCGGAGCACAAATTTATAGAACGAGCCGACTACATGGATATAAACCAAAGTTTTCTCTAATCAACTTTCATCAATTATTTTCTATTCAAATGAAAATCGTCTTTACCTTGGAATCAATTGGGCAGATCCAGGTTCATTGAAATTGGGGAATCCAATGGAACACACAGGGCCATGGCCCCCCTCTGTCCGTTTGTATTCCTGTATTTACATGAGCTCAAATCTGCCTCCACTTGGAATATTCTTTTGTTTTCTGATTAAACATTTGCATGCCATGATCGAATTTTTTTTTTAAGTACTGAAACGAACTGTTGAATTTTACAGCACAAACATATAAACTAACTCCATAAGCTCACTGGGTCGCTGGGAATTTTAGGTTAGTGACGTTGAAACTCAACCAGGCTTTCCATCCAAGGCTTTCAACCATTGTTTGCTACTCATTAATGTTGAATTTCAGCAATTGTTTCAAAAGCCTGCTCTTGACATTTTTACAGGCAACATTCACCAAACACCAGCGCCCGCAACACCATTGACCGCTACCACCAGCAACCTCGCAGTATCATTGACTATGAGCCAGGGAAATCGTCGCTGGCAGAGAGAGACAAATCGGTCAGTTCTTTATGGACTCACTCAAACAGCGTGATCTGTATAGCTCATTACTCAAACTCCAGTGGAAGTTTGGCCACTTGAACACTCACTTGAGTTTCTGCTTGATCTTCAAAAGGTTCAGAAGAAGCTTTGCAGGGTAGCCATCCTGTACAGCTGTTGTTTTGTTCCACGGGGAAACCTTTGTGCATACCCTGTAGAACAAAAATACTGACCTGTAAGATGGCAGCCATGCAAACCCTTTATTGCACTTTCAAACATCAGTCTAATTGTAGACTAATTTTTTCAAGTTGAACACTTCATCATGATAATTTTGCAAATCTGGGTATGATTAAGTCCAAGTGAGAAATGCCTAATTCCATTTGTTTGCCTCCTACTTACAGCCGACGGCACAGTTGTACAATCCACCAATTGAGCCCATATCAGCTGTGTGAGTATCATTATTCTTTGGATTACATGAACCCTAACCCATGTCCGTAAATTATGTTGAAATCGGATGATTGAGGACTGTTAGGGTTAAGACTGAAACCATCTGGTGTCTTTGTTCAAGGGGCGTCATTAATGTCCTTCATACAGTTTTGAAGATCCAAATGGTAATCAGTACATGTGAGTCAATGAAATCATGTAGCCTTCATTAATATGCCACCTGTGCTTGTGAATCTGTTTCGCTGAATGGAACACCTAGTATTTTCTTCATGGTCTTCATGTATTTATCACAGTCATTGAAAAAAAAATTGTTCCTGCAGGCAAAACACGAAGAAAAGCACAACCCTGCCAAGGGATTTTGCTCAATTCAACCAAGTCCCATCTGAATCGCCCTCGGCAAGGCATCTCTCCCCTAAACAAGGTAGGTCACCTTCCCTTCATGCCAATTTTCCCATGTGGATTCTCCGTTTGTCGCTTTACAGGCAGTTTTAGGTTGCCTTTGATCTTTCAGCTACAGGCGGGAGGATAGCACCATGGCAACCAAGTGCAAGTCGTCTTGTAGCTGGTAGTCTTTAAGGTGTTGAGTTAACCTTTTGAGATTAGCAGGGATCTAGCTTGGGTCTGTTGGACCTGCACCAGACCCCTTTCACAGCCACCTTTAACCAGACAAGGTACAGGCTAGCATTGGCTCTCCTCTGCGAAGTTCCCTAACTTCTGACGGAAAGGGGGTTCTGTTAAACCCTTGTGGACACAAATCAACAACAGGAGTAAATCTGGTCAGAAACTAACCTTTATAGCTGTTTCCTTTTCAGTAAAAAATGACACGGTGAGTCCTCTAGATCCTCGACATTCACTGGGTACCTCAAGTTCTTAGAGAAATAAGTATTGTGAAAAGAAAGGCTGACACATTTCAAAGTAAAATTGTGCTTTTTATGAGAATGACACTCTCTCGGTGTTATGCACAGTAAATGTCGTTCAGTATAGAGTTTAATGAGGAACAAAAAAAACACTGAACACAAACCTGCAAATCTGCAACAGGTGCTACAGTGTATTAATTTTAACCCACCACCCTGAATGTCACCAGTAGCCCACGGAATTTTACAAGACGGATCCCATTCAAAGTGTCAGGAATGGCATGGTTCGTGAAAGAAATTTCCAAAGCCTGAACAAAATGTCTTTGGTCCTTTGTTGCAGTTAACAGGATAGAGCTGCAACTGCCCATCCCTTTTGACTCATCTGTAGCATGGTTAGAATTGTATGCATCAAGCCAAGGGTTTAAATCAGTCTGAATACATTGCTCAAGCAAATCCAAGCTTTCAAATGAACATTCTACTGGGTGGAACTACATGTGCATGTGAAGCACTGGTGACAAAATTAGCAGGAGTTGAGTTCAATTTATGCATGGTTTTAACAGTTCAAGCTCTTCAGACAATTCTTAGTGCTGGCTTCACTTTAATAAGCTTTACTACCAGAGTTTGATCTGTATGCTGCTGCTAATGTGGTACCATTCATCTAACTTGTAGACTTGCTTCAGTCTGCCCACTGACAGAAGTTAAATGACTTGAGAGTGCTGTGAAGTGCAGATTGCGGAGAGAATGTTGACTTGTTTTGATTCATAAAGTCTGTGTAAAGTGATCAGTTTGCCCTCACTGATAATGGTTGTCAGCATCCGATGAAAATTCAAAATGGCAAACTGTGAGCACAGTACCTTGCTGGAAGCATACTGGCGTATTTGTCCCCGTATTTGTTACTGTCGTCAAATTCTGATTCAAATTTTGAAAATGGAAGCACACTGACATCACAGTTTCTACTGATCTTTGTTAGCCGAATTCAACAGCTAAACAAATAAAGAACCCGTTCCGCTTAAGAATAAAACAAAGAAGTTGACTGCAAAATCATCAGCTGTACGGCCAAAGTGCATGTGAGGAATGCTGTTTGCTGCACTTGAAGTCATCGTATGGCATTGTTCAGAATACTTTTCGTGCATAATGTTAAGCAGGGCATGTTCTTTCAACGTTGGGCAGAATTCAGCACAACCCAAACTGAGAAAATGTGGTAGACTAAAATTATGGGAATCATATTTTCAGGTTTTATTCAAGTTTGCAGGCTTCATTTTGTCTAGAATCATTTTGCCATTGCTAAAAGCTAAATTTGATGGACCTATTCCATTAATACTGACAGTCATTTCCAACACTTGAGTTACAAAATTCAGGACTGCCACCGGTAATCCTGATCAAGAAGTCTAAAACATCCTAACATTGAAGAGTGCGATTCACAACTGCAGTCGACTCTCGTTAATACAAAAATGGCTATAACGAAATTCCAATTATAACAAAAAAAACACCTGTGGTCCCGGTGAAAATGTGCAAAATGTGTGTTTTGTGAAGAGAAGAAAAATGACCAAAATAAAATGGGTTACGTTTTCTGACATGTTTAGAAAATCCATTTAGAATTAGATTTACTTAGGATATGACTTAAAATGCACAAAGTGGAATGGATACAGTACAGTTTGTTGTAGCACCTTGGAATTAGTCCTTTTAGATGTGAAAATCCTGTGGAAGTGAGTGTAAAACATTTGTTTCACTATAACATGCATCTTGCAAATTTATTATGTGAAGAAAACCCACTGTTACTGGCAATGGAATCAAGGAAATGCTTGTAATTACACGTAGGTTCAACCATTTGCAAAACTTAGCTTTTTTTAAAACTCCAAACATAAGGTGTGTGAGTATGCATTGTTAGAAACCTCAGAATGCTGGCTAATATTCTTATTTTCCGTCTTTCCTTTGTTCTTTTACAACAGGCACGATCCCAAGCATTTTCTCTACTAACCCTAACCTATGTAGTCCATCGACATTCACCACAGTGAATTGCTTGCGAGGAAATAATTACCCATCCACTCAGAGCATGATTCCCCAAGAAACTGCTAGCCATTTAGAGTTTCGACCCAATCAGGATGCTGTCTTGGACAACATTGCTAAGAATATCCCTCTCTCTATGGATGTTACTGAAACAGACCCCATAGCAGCAGTAACATATAATGTAACACATTTTCATTTACAGAAATTTTCCAACTGCTCAGTCAAAGACATGTCAATGAGCAGTGGTCAAAATTCCAAACATGACTCCGTTGCTTCTTTTCCATGTCAATATCATGAATTACCACAAAAGATGACTCTCACACACTTGAACAAAGTACAGTACTCTCAGAGTCCACCATCAGGAGTCTTCAGGAAGCCTCTTTTGGACTTAGGGGGAGCCCCAACCCCCATCCGGCCTGATGGTACCGCCCAATCAGAGGCAGCTTCAAGTGGGAATGAAGCAAGTTCTCAGGGTAACTCCATTAGAGAGCAGGTGGACAATGCCAGCAATGGAAGTGATGATCTGCCTGTGAGGTTTGGCCCAAGGGGAACAGCTGACGGGTGTTCAGGAGTTGACTATGCTGGTATTGTGTGTCAGGTAAACTCAGATGGTAAAATTCAGTGCCATGACTGTGACACAGGAGAAAATTTTGAACCCCGCTACCTCCCAAGACCCACATCTTTGTTTGAGCCATACTCCCTCGAACGGGAACAAGAACGCAGTGCCTCTCAGCCCTCATCTGCTCCTAGAAATCAGGGGATCTCTTTGAACCTTGCGCCTCGATCGTCTGCATCAGCTTCAGTCAACAGTAGCCTTCCAGATCTGGCTTTAAAATCAGAGGACAGTGTCATCTCGATGGACACACAGAGTGACAAATCAGGCCCTTCAGTTGATGGCGACGACGGTCAGAAAATCCCCAAACCAGGATCTTTAAGCCCTGACCAGCTAACAGCTGATGGAGAGCAGAAACTCAAGAGAGGTAGAATAGGTGTGAAACACCAGAAGCTGAAGCACATCAAGAAGCACCGCTCAGAGAGGCATTCTCCTAAAGATGAAGACTTTGATATGCTTCCTTACAGTGAGCGTCCTAATGCCAGAAACTTTGCTCCTTTAGAGAAGAGACGGGCCATCTCAGCTGAGAACCTCTCCCTGGCTGTCAAGTCACCTGCTTTCAACCAGGAGTCTTACCAGAAGTATGCCACAGGGCTCAAGAAGGCCAGCCAACAGTCCAAGACCTATGAAGACTTGGTGAAGTTCTACTCAGAGGTGAATCGCCACCTTGAGCAAGATGACAAGGAAAGAGTGGAAACTATGAAGGAGAAGTACCTGCCCAAACCAGCCCAGTTGGAGAGGTTTTATAGGACACTTCAGTACTTTCTTGAATTAGAGATGGCAATACAGTATGGAGAGAAGATAATGGACAAAGGAAAGATAGACGGCTTCTCCTGGCACAAGAACACTGATGCTGGGCTGAAGAAGAAGGAAAAAGACATCTTTGAGCTCTATGACTTTTTTGAGAAGTTGGAGCGTGGTGCCATTGGATTGCCGATCACTGAGCAAAAACTAGAGCAGATACGGATGCACACTTACTTGCAGAAAGTCAAGGAATTGGAATCCAGGCAGTTACGTGTGGGCCAGTTGTATGAATGGTATGAAAATATAGAATCCTTGGGAAGCGCCACACCCTCCTTGGCCAACAGTCAAGTAGCATCTCTACCAGATTTTGAGGACCCTGGAGAAGGTGGTCCAAATGAGTCATCAGGTCTCTCACAAAATATCATGTCTGAAGGAGAAAGAAACCGGCAAGTGCCCAAAGTAAACCTTAGTTTGGAGGAGCTTGAGTCACTTATTCCAAGGGTTCCAATGGTTGACCTGCCGTTAGAAAGCTTCCCCAGCAAACACAGACCTCTTGGAAGGGCCAGCACTTTGCCCCGTTCGTACATCAAGAGCAGTGATCGTGCATGGTCTCCTGTTGGGATGCCCTCTGTAGAGCTCAGGATGGAGGAAAAGCTAAAGCCAGAGGACCAGGTGGACAGTCTCCAAATGAAAGTGGAGGGGAAACATGAGACCATTACCAGACTTGCTCAGCCCTCATCAGTAGTCTTAGATGCAGGCAGAAAGACCCCCCCATTCATGATGACTGGCAGACCTTCGCCCGTCTCCCGACGCAGGAGCTTTGACGAGGCCATTGCAGGCACAGAAGGTCAGGAGGAGCTTGAGGATCGACTGGACCCAGTCAGTACCAATGATAGTTACAGGAATGATCCAATATTGTGCAGAAAAGGACCAGAGAATCTGAATAGTCCAGTTGATGGTGGTATTTCTAAAAGCCACCGAGTCTCTCCACCAGTTTCTCCAAGAGAAGAAGTTGTAAGACCTGGAAGCCCTGATGCAAGTGCCCCTCCAAAGCTTCCAGAACGCTCCATGTCCACCGGGGTCCTTGGAATTAGGCGTGTCCTCGGTTCCATGTACAATCCAGGGCTTGGAAGGCTCCAGCGCTGGAATAGGGCAGACCTGTCTCAGATCGAAGATGAGGACTCTGAGCCAGACAAGGAAATCCCATCCACGCCCGAGTCCAGGTGTAGGGCACCCCCTATTGGCCAAGTTGGCAAGATGCAGTCTGATTCTTCGCTCCCTTCGGTGCCCAGATTTGCAGGGAAATCCCTGGACAAGGGTGGCATGAAGAAATTCACTCAAAGCCAGAATGAAGTGGGACAAGGCAGAGGTTGGCGAAACTTCAACACCAGCCCACAGCCATTTAAACCCCTGTATCAGATGAAGTCACCAATCAAGGAAACAGACCAGGAGTCCAGTGTGGCTTCATTTGACCTCGAGCCAGTGGAAAGTCTTGTTGGGGATAATCAAATAGATGACCTTCCAGTAACCTTTGATCCCTTCAGCCAAGTCCAGAACCAGCCCCGGCTTCAAGCTGCTGTTAAAACACCACAGTCTCAAATCTCATCGAGCCATTGCACAAAGTCTCAAAGCTTGACTGACTCTTCTTCTGAGCTTGACCACAAGTCCAAAATTCAACTGTTTGAGAAGAAGATCATCGAGCAGCGAAGCACAAACTTGCATCATGCAGCACCATCACCACCACCACCTCAAAGGCAAACTTCAAATGAGCCAGTCATGGTCAAGGAAGACCAGCAGTCTGACAACTTGCGTGTTATTCATGTCAGGAAGTTGAGTGAGGAGATAAATGCGCAAAAATCCAGTGAGGGGCATGGTGGCTTAGTCATTGGAATTTTCAGTAAGCCACAGCCCAAGCAAGAGGCAGAGATCCCCAACTGGCTGCCCACTCCATCTCCCCAGCCAGAGCTGTATATGCATCCCAGAGATAACTACCTGGCCCAGTCCTTGCCCGACAATTTCCACTTCTCAGCTGGTGGAGAAAAATCAGGGATGCCCCCCGCAGGAGTAGTGGATCAACTAAGGAGTGTCTCTGCCAGTGCTGATTGCTCTGGTGTTGACTGGGGCAAAAGGCCCCTTTTGAAATCCCAGAAGCCTGACCAACCTGAGAGAGTGATCACTAGGTATGCTTTCTCCACTGATGAGGTTTATGAGGAACGAACACCAGTCCCTTCAAGGAACGTCAGTCCCTTGCCTCCTAGTATCAGCAGGTATGACATCGCTGGTGCTCGACATTGGACAGATGCGGACAGACCCAGATTAATACGGGGTGATACACAGGCTTTGAAGTCATCTGCAGAGTTGGTATCTCCCCGCTCTGAGAGCAATGAGGAGTACACCCCAGTTGCTTCCAGAAGTATCAGTCCTTTGCTTCCTGGACTGGCAAGGGACATCCCTATCCACAGAAAAGAGGAAGTGTTAGATGGTGCCAAAAAGGCAGAGAGTGATGTACAACCTTTCAAGTCTTATCCCACGATGGAATCCACTCATTGTCACAGTCACCCTCAAACTGAGCAGAGTGCCAGTAGTTTAAGCAGACAGAGGGGCAAAGCTGTTGAGGGTAGCCAACTCCACCAGGACAGCAACAGGGCATCTGAACTCCATCTTAATCTGAAAGATTTGGACGTTACTGACAGCAATCCTCCTGATTCTCCACAGGACACATTCACCCCGTCCTGTTCGTACTCCCCAAGCCCAACCCCCAGTCAGGATTACCTTGATGACGACTCTTCCATCCGGAATCGCTGGTATCTAGCACGTGACACCAGCCAAGGAGTTTCTTCGAGGCTCAGGCAACACAAACCACACAGCCAATGGCCTGAGCTAGAATCGGAAAACGTCTTCTACTGGGACACCTACATCCCAACCAGATACATAGGAGAAGATCAGTCTGGTGTCATTCCAGAGCAGGGGCCTCCTCCCAACAGAGAAAATCCAAATTCCTGTGATCTTACCCCAACAAATGATTGGTCCGAGTCTTACAGCACCCTTCAGGCTCTGTCTCCAGAGCCTCAAAAATATGACTCACACTCATCTCAGCACACTCACTCAAGGCCCAGACTCACAGATTATCAAACACAAGCACCTCCTGAACATCCCAAAAATAGATCGGTCCAAAATTTGAGGCAGAGGGTAGACTCTCCGGCAAATATAAAGGCAGTCCAGGCCAAGTCCTATGCACTTCCCCAGTCTAAGGCCCATTCAAAGACTCCTCCAAAATATCCTCGGGGACACCCTGTGGACGAATCGCAGAGTCCCCTCCCTTCAAGCGGGTATCCGAGTCCCAGGGCGCTTAAGGGGGATGCCTTGGTTCCCCAAAAGTCATCGACCTTGCCGCAGCAGAGGAAAAGCCCCAGATTGAAAGGTTACTAATCAGTTTTTGAAACTTCATGACATGTGCCTTGTGGAGTCAGTATAGTAATTGTCAGATGTACATGTAGTTGGTATTCAAAATGGTCTTTCTTGTGAAAAAATAGATAAGCATCAGTTTTTCTGTTGTAATCCTTATTCTTTTCTGGTGTCTCTGAGCTTGTAAGAAGTTTTCATTTGGTAGTGCTATGGTGTATTTTGGGTTGCATGCTTTGTCATTTTGCATGTTTCATTTGTATTTTGCTTTCTTTGCAGTTTTATGTGCCCGTTGCAGTGCATGTGTTTAGTATTTACGTAGTTTTTGAAAAACAAAGCTTTTTCTCTTGAATATCAAACACTATTGCCGTATTTTTTATCATAATTTATAGAAATGTGGCCACAACGGGTTTGAGCCATGCAATTTGGAAAAATGCATACAGTTTACAGTTGGCCACTTCTGGTTTGTAACTCAAATATATCCTTCCAAGGCTAATTACAGAATGCTGCAAAAATGCATTCCATGCTCTCTTTTAAATTGCTTTGCTATTATCTGTTGGCAAAGTATTGAACACTTCAGGAACGTTGGTAGACATTTCCATGTGTCACTTGTTTTAATGGGAAACACAGAGTTTTACAGTGTGTCTGAAAGGAAACATGCATGATGCTTTCCTTGACATTATATTAATCATTCTAAATATCCGACTGTTGCTCTGCTTCTGAGTTTAGCCAATATGCTGCCTATGTTGGAATACATTTCATTTACATCAGCCTGGTATAAACATTCTAAACTTTGAAAATTGAAGAAGCGCAGAAAGAAATTGTTTGTTCCTTTAAGTTTGTTGGTCAACTCTGTGTTCATAAAAAGAATTGAAAAATACTTGGAAGTTGTTTGCACTTGTCATGGAAGTTAAGCCCTGCACAGTCTTTGTGTTTGAAGATAATTTGTGAAATATTCAAGGATGCTAATGTATTCAGAAATACATTCAGTGTCCAGTGTTGAACTTCAGCTGCAGTTTCTCATTCTTGGTGAAAGTACACTGTAGGATGGCATAAAATATGTGTACCGGTATATCTGTTACTGTGTTCATTGACAAGGTATGTTTCTGTACACCATAATCTGTGGCCAGGGTGGAATTGTGGGAAAGGGGCAGCCATTTTGTTTCTATTTTTATTTGCATGCAGATGATTCTCTTCCCCCCCAGTGAGGCTATATTTTGTTTGCTTACAGTGCATTTGTTTCATGTACATGTATGTGGTTATGGATGCATGGAACTGTCACTGGTGGTTTCATTTTTGAATATTTGATTGCTTGATTGACAAACCATGTGTGTAGAGAGGATATATAGAGGCTCAACAATTCCACTGACAAATTCTGACCCAAAGTGTCCCTTTTGGTACCTTTCTCGATCAGAACTATTTTATTTTAATTGAGGTTTTATTGTTGTTTTTCTAAACTACTGTCAAACATTCAAAAAGCAAGCTTATTTTATTCAAGGCCGTCTTAACTTCTGCGTGAAGTTCCCACCCAAACAGTATTTCTCATTTTTTTTGGATAAGCTGGGTAGAAATAACAAATATTTTTTTTCAAAATCTTGCCATTGTAATCCATAATTCCTGCAGTTTTTTCATGAGTGTTTAAAATATTTCTTAAAGGGGGCTGTTTGCTTTTTACTGTTTTTCACGACAAAAGCTGAAACAAATTTAATATTTACAAACAGCTAATATTCAGACATGTTCACTTTAGTTTGTACTTTATAAAATGATTCTTGCATTTTGAAAACTAGTTTGGCTTTTTTCAGAATTTTTTTAGATGCATTTATGTACCATAGTAGCAACATTATTTGTTTAAAAATAGTCACCCCTTCCTTTTGGTGTTAGTTTCTTCATTGGTTTTCTATTATTTTTGCACATTTCCTTCTCTCCATTTTCATCAACTTATTTTTCTATAAGAATTTTCTTAAATTGGAATTTTAAGAAGTTATTATTACTATCTTGGGTGCTTTCCTTTGCTGCGCAACAAGCCTTGTATTTATATATGCAGATTGCAAAACATTCCTTTGATCTGATTGGATATGTGGGTCTGATCATGTGACTGCCACCAGCCAATGATTGTTTGGTTTGATTTGGTGATTACAAATTCCCCTATTCTGTAAATTCAGTCATAGAAACAAAAGTTGGATGTCACTGTTAAATCCCTGCCTCTACGCCTCTACACACATTTCATGGTTTGTGAATCAAAACCGATATAAAAATTGAATTGGTTTCCTATTACTACATTGAGTAGACTGTTACTGTTAATCCACATAGATCTTATTGCCAAATCATTAACACTTTACCCATTACAGTCTGACACATAAGAACTTTTACAGTTGTCACTGTAGCTGCTTGTAGCCAATCACAGAGCTCCTTACATCCTCCTCTTCCCATTCTGCATACAACAGAGGAGCCCATTCGTTCATCTAGCAGGCCACAGTCTTCAACTTTGCCTCGGGCAAAGACCAAGTCACGATCCCTCGAAAGTAGCGGCCTGTCCGCTGCCGAACGTCTGGGCATCAAAAGTCCACCCCCTCAAAGGACTCCCTCGACAGGTGCATACATTTGCATATTATTTACATAAGTTTGCACAAATTGCTGCATTATTTTGCTATTTTAAATTGTGAAATCCCACGTGCAGTGTTACTCAGCAGCTTAGAGGCAATTCATCTAATAAGATGCTTGATCCAAACTTTGAAAGCAAATTTTTCAATTTTCTTTCCCATGAGCATTTTTTTCTCAATGAAGCATCGGTTTTACACCATCCACTTTTAAAATGCCATATTCCAAGACCATCCCACCGAATTTCACTCACACTTTCAACTTGCAAAAGTAACCCCCTGGCTTACTTATCTCTGTCCTTTGATCTTATGACCCTTAACCTGTGACCTCTGATTGTCTGTCCTGTGATCCAAATAAGTGGAATCCCTGAGCTTTCTACCTTCTTAATTTTCTCCCTTACATGTATTTCTAGTGCCTTTTGACCTCTAACCTCATCTGATTTCCTAATATAGCATATTATGTCATGACCTCATTGTGCACTCACAGTTCAAGAAATTAATCCTCATGTATGTAGTGTCAGCGATCAGCATCACATGACATAATTGTTTACGTTGTGAGAGGTCCAATCAGGGATCCTCAAGTTGTTCAAAGGTGGATTAGGAATTTTTTGAATTTTTATGTTAGATGGGCACCTGCTATTACCACTCATTAATACCGGCCACATTCAGTGCTGCCATAAGTTGACAAGTGCTGCTTCTCTGAAACTCTGCTTATAGTGCCGCAGCATACAGCAGCGGTTAGCAAGCTATGTGTTGTAAAGTATTCACAGGCAGCATAAGTACAGCGGCAGGATGCAGCATGTAAAGAGCTGCTGTTCAGTATTGGCAAGGAGCAACGAGCATGTTGTTGCATTCGGCATGGTTCTTATTGTAGATGTGTTGCATTTTGTTGCATATGGTGCATACAGAGAAAGGCCCTATAGAGGAAAATATTGGCTAAAATTAAAGCTATAGTTGCTCTCAATTTCATCATTTATGGTATTAATTACATGCATTTGCTTAATCAAAATTACAGTTGTACTGGAGATTTTTTGCGGATCTCACACTCCTTCGAGTATGGGGCATCTTAGGGGTGTAAGTGCGGTCAGAGCCACTACATGTGCCACTTTAAGAAGCCCACAAACTGGCTAAGCACCAGAAATATTTGCTTAGTGAAAATGGGTAGCAACCAGTTATGCAGTGGTTATTGCTTTCAGCCATTTTTGTTCAGCACATACGTTTCTTGTCAAGCAATTTCTTTGTCCGTCGAGCAGGTCCAAGATGTACATGTAAGCCCATTTTGCTTAATTACACTCAGTGGCTTCTGCAGCTTTCTTGCTTTCATCTTGCTTCAATTGCTGTGAATAGTTTAACTTACCCACATGCTGATGATATTGAATCACTGATGCAGGAGTGAGAATTTTTCCTGATTTCAGGATTTTTTCATCAGAATTTTCTGTATTTGTGAATTTATCAACCTCTTTTCAAATCTGGAAAATCCTCCAAATACCATAAGGGTGTTTTGTTGTATAAAAGCTGATATAAAGAAAACCAAAAATGGTATTTTAGGGGATCTAAAGTGACCCTCTAAAATACCCCCATGGGGCCCTCCAAAGCTCTTATCTCACACCTGCTGATGTACCGTTACATGTACATGCTATGTTTTGAGTGTTTTCTATATCCTTGCAGGTAAGTGTGAATCAAATATATATTCACTTAACATTTCCCTTTAAAGGTTGCTGCAGAGTATATTAATAGAGGGAAATGTTTCTTTCCCTGCTTAATGTCCGAGAAGTCAGTCAAAATGAAATTAAAGTCACAACCATTAGCTTTTTGAGTACTGCTCAATTTTAATGTAGTGTTTAGTGTAGTAGTTGTTTTTGGAATATAATGCCTAATGAGCTGGCTGAGAACTTGCTGGCATGGACTGGGAAAGCTGTAGTCAGTTCTTCCATGTGACAAATTTTAAGAAGTTTTGCTCAAGGGAGGAACGGAAGTGTACAAAAAGCAGTGATGGAGAGAACTAATAGGTAGTGAACCACATAAAAAATCAATAAAGTGAAGGAGTATTTGTTTTGAAATAACTGAAAGCAACACCGGTATAACCAAAATGATGTCAACATGTAAACTGATTTGTTCTGAACACAAAAAATATATTTCAGCCTTATTTGATAAGATCGCATTGCATTTTAAGTACGATAACCTTTACAGCCCTTGATATAATATGTGCAAGAAACAGTTTCCCCTGAAAAATATCACTGCATTCCAAACTCAGCTGGCTTGCTTGTTGATAAGATCTAAAAAGGCCAAGATATTTAAAGAATTTTTTTTTAGTTTGGAAAAAGGATAGATGCATTGATGCACATATAGCATAGCGTATTCTGTGTTATTTTTATGAATGGTCAGATTTTGATATACATTTCGTGTTATTTCTTGTGAGCATCAACCTTTTGGTTTGTACCTATTTAAGGTAGTTTATCGAATTTTCTTTTTATGTTATTTTTGTTATTTACTGTTTATTTAAAATTCATCAAGAGTAACAAGTGATACCTTGGAGGTCAGTAGTTTTCTCTTCTACTAGAAAATTCCTTACATTGTGGGTCCTTTTCAATGACCACTTAAAGAGGACTATAGAAATTGACAGAAGAATGAGTGGACAAGCTTAGAATGTAATGTTTAAGCTTGGTCAGTTTTTGTATTTGCAAAAATCTGATTGATGATCGAAAGCCTTCAAAGCAAAGTTGGATTCTTCTCAGTCTATGGTAGAGCACTTTATATTTTAAAATGTATTCCGAATTGTGACATTCTTGATAAGACTGCGTGAACTATCGGCAACCCCGGTCAATGACACCAATAAACCTGTCAAAGGGCTTGAATTCCGTTATCACGGCTCAACCACTCCTACCCATCACAGTTATTTCCAACTCAACAAGCTCCGACACCCGGGAAAAAATTAACTCTGGGAAAGGAAAAAAAATAGGAATTTATCAGCAAATTTCTTCCCTACTGAGATGCCAAAATTTCTTTCCTCCTACGTGTCGGTGAGATCACCAGACTTTTCAATTACCAGGCAGTGGCACTCGAGTCCTGGCCTGACCTGGAATTCCTGGTCACGATAAGGGTTGGAGAGCCTGCTGCTTTTATTCTGTCGCTTGTTCTGTTTCAAATGACGTACTAGTTTCAAGCATTGGATTGAACTTATCAGTCAAGGCAATGTGTGTATGAGCAAGAGATTAAATGTACTGAAGGAGCAGTCTTGCCACATTTGTGGGGAAAGAACACAGCCTTCAAGTCACTGACTGTGATGTACTTTGGAGTTTGAAGCTCTGGAGGGAGAACAATTATCATCATAATAAGTGAGCCAGACTGACCTGGCTTAGAGCCAGTAATCCTCAGTTAAAACTGTCAGCATGTGTGGTTTGGGTGGCATCATATGATCCTGGAAGCTGGACTTGTGTGGCTGTTAAGCATTGCGAGATGAATTAATGCTGAACGTAAGGAAGTCTGGATTGGAACCAGTACTCTCCAGATTGCAACTTTGCATCCCTGCGATCACTCCAATTTTCTGCTGTGGTTGGAATATTTCCCCCCTGATCATGAACAGTATCTTTGCTTGGAGACTTGCAAGTCAAATCAAAGTGGTACTGATTAAAATCTCTAATTCCTAATTCTTCAGACTCTGGCTCCAAGATTGGTGTCCTTGCGCCATGGTCTAAATGCTGTCTGCAGTACGGCTTTTTCCCCGCACTACAATGTTCATCATGGAGCCTGTGCTTGAGTTATGAACAAGTTCACCTGCCCCAAGGGGAAGACACAGTTGGACTTAATTAAGATGTAAGAGCTGCGCTTGCATCAAAGTGCATATCATTGAAATTTATCCAAGGATGCTCTCTGCTCTGCTGAGACTAACTCATAAACTACACAGCAGTGGTTCTGAAAGATACATGTACACCCAGCTCATGTTGGTGTAAATTTCTGCAACTGTATCTTCCCTGTCACTGGCATCTTGAAATGTTGATTCTGCCGTAAGAATTTACAGCTTGAATTTACTGCAGGGCAAGGCAACATACCAAACAGAACAGATCATCTGAACCTGGGTTTGGAATCTAGACTTCTCGCTCGACTGCACATTGGTTTTGCATGTGAATTGCCAGCATATGTCTGTGTGGGCAGCGCCCCACCGTGCCATCCAATGCATTCAGGAAGAAGTGGCTTTAGTTCTCTTTTTTTTTGTCTCAGTGGCCAGAAACTGGGAAATCACTTACAGGCACGCAGGTTGGAAATTCTCAAGATTATTCAAAGCATCTCATATGGAGATGAAAGGTAATGTCTTTATGAGGAGTGCATTTGGAGCCGGAGAGATCAGATGAATCTGTAGAAACTGGGTGCTGATTTGTGATGCCTGTTAAGAAAGAGGTTTACATCAGATGTGCTCATAGACAACTGTAAATTAAGTTGATGAAGGATATCCTTGTTAAATTCATGTGTAGCGAGTTTGAAAAGTAACAGCTTATTGAGGCTTATATCAGCGGTCAGTGAACTGTGCAGTTGCCTCCTATCGCTTTGTCTAAATCAACACCTTGGCTGTTCAATTTGCACCCAACCAGCACAACTACAAGTTGAGATCTTCTGGTGACACCAGCCACTTCAAAGTCTCGCCGATTATTCTGACAGCTGACCTGCAACTATAAACAGTTTTTGTCAGGGTTCAACTAGCCCATGAAAGAAATGTTTCAGTTCAAGCAACTGTGTTTTATTCGATTCAAGCATATCACATAACATCTCTGAGAACTAGCATTCTGGACATGAGCATGGTTCTCTTTAACTTGTCTCTCAACTCGTGCAGCTGTTGGTACAAATATAGCATCAAGTGCCTTCAACGTAGATAAACCAATTACAAGCTCCCTTGATATCTCATGAAGGAGTAACCTCAGTATCCTACAAAAACACTGGCCTGTAATGCTTTGACCAGAGGAGATAGATATCGTTACTTCTGACATTGAGAGATTTGTTCT